CATTCGCCCCGTGTCTTCAATGGCAACATATTATAGGTATAGGAGAAGGTTTGCATTTTATTCTAGGTTTCATGTACGTACACATATCGATAAATTTATAGCTGCACAATATTTGAAAAGATTTCGATTTAGCTACAATAAACAAGCTGGAAAATGTAGAGATATACTGGTACAGACACGAACATCAATCATACATGTGCATAGCTGTGTATATGTATTAAAACGAAAAATGTATTCAGATATGTTCATATATATATATATATATATATATTCATTTTTGACATACATACATATATGTAAATGCAGAAAATAGAAAATGTATTTAAATATAGAGATCCATGCAGCATAGATCTAGGTATAAAACACAGAAATGTGTGTATATGTAGTATGTACGTATATATAGAAGAGATAATTGATATATATATATATATATATATACATATATCAATCAACAAAGACTTAAATATAAATCAAGACATAGATACAGATGAAAATATATACATATATACAGATTCAGATATAGATATGGACATAGATATAAACATAACATACATGCATAAATTGTTAGAAATATCTGCAAATAAATTCGAAAAGCATACAAAGTACATAGCTATCTGTGTATATATACTGAACCAGATTCACATGTGCGATATAGAAATCATTCTTATCAACATGTATTTGTCGGTATGCACATATATACATATATGTAGCAATATAGATGTAGCTATGGATATGGGGATAGATATAGGTATAAACATAGGTTTAAATATAGGTATAGATATAGGTATAGATATAGGTTCAAATGGAGTTATAGGTATAGGTACAGATAAGATATAGGTATAGGTATAGGTATAGATATGGGTATAAATATAGGTATAGGTATAGGTATAGATACAGGTATAGGTATAGATATAGGTATAGATATAGGTATAGGAATAGATATAGATATTGACATTAGTATTGACACACACAGAGATATAGATGCAGATACTAATATAGATATCGATGCAAATAGAATATAGATATAGTTAAGATATAGATGCGGATAAAGATATAGGTATAGACAAAGGTATAGATATAGGTAAGACAGGCACAGATATAGATATAGACTTAGATTTAGACCTGCATGCAGATATAGATCTAAGTGAAGATGAAGACATACAGGCATGAACTAGTTCAAATCGACAAAACCATGAAGATATAGATATGGGAGCAGATATTGAAACAGACATAGATGTAGATATAGTCATGCAATTGCGTAAAGTTAACTACGAAGTTCACTGCATTTGAGGAACTGCATGCACGCATAAGCAGAGAGAACGAGGTACCGATGCTCAGACATGCGAATATAGGTACAAACAGATGATAATGCCTAGATATGGCCGCAATTGACTTCAACGTGGCCCCCCAAAGCTGATTACTTCAATTTACTAATACCCGGTTCCTCATATGATCTCGAGAAGAACTGGTGCGGATTTAAGCTTGCTTTAGCTTTCGATCCGCACTGTCCCAAAACTACATCTTCAATATGACCCGTCATTTGCAAAGTATATGAGAGGTGAAGAAAATACATCGTATTTACATATATATACATATATATAGAGACATGTAAAAGGAACGATAGGCAAATACCTAGTGTTTTATACAGACATGCGGGCTTAATTACATACATATATATATATATGCATATATATTTGTATATATATACACATATATACATATATATATATATATATTCGTAGATACGAAGGTATATAGGCATAGATATATATACATATATCTATATTCGCATGTATATATACATGAAATTTTTCATATGACTCTATAGCCAGAGAGAACATACACAGATACAAAAGATAAAGACATGTAGATACATATATAGATATACAGATATGCAGATATTCACATATATACATATGTAGGCAGCTTTTTGTATACAGAGACAAATAGAAACATATTCATGGGTCTAGATACATCCACAAATCTCAGCATTGGTACAAGTACATATACATACAGTTACCTGTACTCTAAATATAAACTACGATATACATGCAGCCATAAACTTACACTAATCTAGATAATTTATCCATGATTTTGGCTTTTTTCCATTTGTATACATATATATATATATATATAGATAGAGCTATGAACATATACATATAGACAGAAGTAGAGATACAAATATCATTGATATCAATATATGCTACATAAAATTATAAACGTCATCGCATAGGGTGCATGTTTGAAAGCTATTACATGTGTACTTAGACTTTCAAACCTGTGTAGTCTTGCACCATTCCGCCTCGGCCGGTGGCTTCCGCCCCCGGCCTCGGCGGAAACTAAACTCTCTGTCGTAGCACCCTTATCATTTTATTGAACAGATCATTGGAATGATATCAATTGTTCTATGTTTGGAATATACTCAAACTTTTCAACCTATGTAGTCTTGCAAGTAGCCCCGTGTGGACGACAGCTGCTTTAAAATTCATACTTCTACTACCGAAACGCAAACAAAAAAGAAAGACTATTAACCAACTATTTGATAAGAAAATTTGTCTTTTAAACAAAGAAAAGTCCTTACTGTTTTTTTACCATTCCTCAACTTGGGTTTTAAGTTTTGTAAGCATTTGTCTCACTCACTCACTCACTTTCATTCAACCATTCTTCTTCACTCCTTCTCACTCGCTGATTTTTCATTCTCTCATGTTCACTCGCTCTTTCTCATCACGCGCTCACGAACACTCACGCCACCGCCAAAACAAAATCGATTTTTGAATCTTCATTTCTGTGTTTTCACGCGTCGCCGAAACAAATTTGGTTCGGCAACTGTCGTTTTTGGGATTCTAAACCCCGTCCGTCCGTCCGTCCGTCCTTCCGTCCTTCCGTCCTTCCGTCTCGTCCGTCCGTACGTCCGTACGTCCGTCCCCGTCCATCCGTCCGTCCGTCCCCCGTCCATCCGTCCCCGCCCGTCTGTCCTTCCCCGTCCGTCTGTCCGTCCGTCCCCGTCCCTTCTGTCCGTCAGTCCCCTTCCGTCCGTCCGTCCCCCTCCTCGTCCCTTCCGTCCGCTCCCTTCCCTCCGTTCCGTCCTTGTCCGTCCGCCCCTCGGTCCTCGTCCGTCCTTGTCCGTCCGTCCGCGTCCTCCGTCTGTCCCTGTCCGTCTGTCCGTCCATGTCCGTCCGTCCGTCCGTCCGTGGTCCGTCCGTCCGCCCATGTCCGTCCGTCCCTGTCCGTCCGCCCGTGTCCGTCCGTCCGCCCGCGTCCGTCTGTCCGTGCGTGTCCGTCCGTCCGTCCGTCCGTCCATCCGTCCGTCCGTCCGTCCCTTCCGGCCGTTCCTGTGATTGTCCGTTCATCCATCCGTCTGTCCACGCGTTCAATCAAGCGTTTGGCGGCTTTCAGTTTGGCGTTTGCGGTCTCGACTTTGGGCTTTTGGTGATTTGGGTATCGCGTTTGCCTTGTAATTGAACGAAATCACAAAAACAAATCTGTTTCTGGAATTGTCGTTTTTGTTTTCCTATCGCGGTCCGTCCGTCCATGTCCGTCCGTCCGTCCGTCCGTGGTCCGTCCGTCCGCCCATGTCCGTCCGTCCCTGTCCGTCCGCCCGTGTCCGTCCGTCCGCCCGCGTCCGTCTGTCCGTGCGTGTCCGTCCGTCCGTCCGTCCATCCGTCCGTCCGTCCGTCCCTTCCGGCCGTTCCTGTGATTGTCCGTTCATCCATCCGTCTGTCCACGCGTTCAATCAAGCGTTTGGCGGCTTTCAGTTTGGCGTTTGCGGTCTCGACTTTGGGCTTTTGGTGATTTGGGTATCGCGTTTGCCTCGTAATTGAACGAAATCACAAAAACAAATCTGTTTCTGGAGTTGTCGTTTTTGTTTTCCTATCGCGGTCCGTCCGTCCGTCCGTCCGTCTCCGTCCGTCCGTGCGTCCGTAACCATCCATCCGGCCGCGCCCGGTCCGTGCCGTTCGGGTCCGTCGAGTCCGTCCCGTCCCGCGCTGTCCCGTCCGCCGTCCGTCCGTGGGTCTGTCTGTGCGTCCATCCGTCCGTCTGTCCGTCCGTCCATCCGAGCGGAAGCCAACGAGATTTGCGACAACGAACGCTTTAGGGCTAAGGGCCGGAGCCCCTTGTTTAACCATGAGTTGACCAGGGCGCCAGCTGCGCTGGCGGACCCTAAACCCTAAACCCTAAACCCTAAACCCTTTTAACCCTTTTAACCCTTTTAACCCTTTTAACCCTTTTAACCCTTTTAACCCTTTTAACCCTTTTAACCCTTTTAACCCTTTTAACCCTTTTAACCCTTTTAACCCTTTTAACCCTTTTAAACCCTAAACCCTTTTAAACCCTAAACCCTTTTAAACCCTAAACCCTAAACCCTAAACCACCCTAAACCCTAAACCCTAAACCCCTAAACCCTAAACCCTAAACCCCTAAACCCTTAACCCCTAAACCCTAAACCCTAAACGCAAGCTTCATGGTGGCTGTGATGCCTCCATGGCCGGCGGTGTTTGCATCCGCAATGAAGGGGTTCATGTAATCCTTAGTCGGCGCTCTGGCAACTGCGATACTCTTCATCAAACATATCAAACGATACTAGGGTTAAAAGTTTACGGGCTGAGAAATTCCACTCAAGACCTGCCGCCTGAACATTATCTCGGGACAGCAGTAAGATAGCTCACCTCTGGCAGGCAAACTCTTCCAAGCATTACCCACTTCTCTAAACAGCTTAACCCCAAACGCCAAACACTTCTCCGGAACCCCTGAACCCTCATGTAGGGGCCTTGAGAAGCATCTCAGGGTTGTGGGTTCCTTCATATTATGCTATCATTATCATTATTATTATTATTGTTATTATTATTAATATTATTCTTATTACTACTATTACTATTATTACTACTATTATGATTAATACTATTGTGATTTTTAATGCTGTTTTTCCCACCCGCTCAGCTGACAAAGTCGCACCGCAGGGGTTTCTTTATGCTACTAGTGTTGTTATTAATGCCCCTACATTAGGCACATCTTGGTGACCGGGAGTCGACGACGGGGGCCTTGGCGCGATAATCGGCCGACATGCTGCGGCGCTCTTCGTACCTTGTGGTCGGGCCGAAGAGACTTCAGGGCTTATTAGGTTTGCATGGTTAAGGTGTTCAAGTTTTCCGGGTTTTAGTGGTTTAATAGGTTTAGGGGTTTAGGGTTGAAGGCTTAAGCAAGGGCTTAGTAGGGCTTAGGTTCAAGGTTTCAGGGCCTGGTTTTCGGGGTTTTTATAAGTTTTAGGGTTTGGAGATTTAGGGTTGGGGGGTAAGCAATGGCTTTAGGCTTTGGGCCTAGGATTTAGTGCAGCATCGACTGAGCAAGGCGCTGCTTGCGGTCGTGGAAAAGCTGGGTGCGGAACAGCTGGTCCACCTGCGGAGCTCAAGAGGGTTTGGGGTAAATTTAGGCTTTCCCTAAACTCTAAACCACGTGCACTCTTTCAGGAACAACTCTCGTCTGCTCACTTGGGCGAGGAAAGCCCTGGTTGTTTCCCTTGTCGTAGCAGCACGTGTCTTCGGGACTCCTTTCAAGCAGCAGGTTCGCTGCTTGTCGTCCCGCCAAAGCATGGTCGTGCTCAGCAGCTGGGCCAGCTGTTCAGAACACGAACCGGCACAAGGCTGGTAAAGGACATTTGGCACGAGCGCGCCCTCAAACTTGGGTAGGCAGAGCCTGCTTGCAACTGGTTGCCAACTTCTTTGAAGTTAGCCTTGCAAACAGATCAGAAGGAGGAACAAGGCAAAAGCTGAAGCCTCCTTGTGCAACGCATAGCTTGCGTCTAATATGCCCGTGACCGGATTCGTCACCGTGGTCGTCATGGACATGGTCATGGCATCTGTCATTGTCACAGTCTCCGTGGCAGTGGCAGTGGCGCTGGTGACCGTGGTCACCGTGGTCATGGTGTTAGTAATCACCGTGGTGGTGGTCGTCGTGTCGATGCTGAACACCAAGAAGGAGTCGGAATCGTATCCTGTCACATAAGCGTAAGCGCCAGCGATCGCAATGCCACGGGAATCACGCAACGAGGGATGCTGCCAATTGCCGACGATGGTGAGGTTGCTTGGGTCGCTGATGTCAATCATCGTCACCGAGTGATGATCCTCTGATGTCACGAACGCATGATTCCCATCCACCGCAGGCCTCCTCAAGGAGGTCTGAGTCCTCGACGTAGCCTCTGGATTCTTGCTAAGGAATTCAATTTTAAGCGACGGTCAAGGAAAGTGTAGTACTTGCAAGATACCACCCCTCTTAAGGCAACAGATATTGTGGCGCTCAGCAAGGCCCCTGGCCTACGATGGTGAGGTTGCTGGGGTCGGCGATGTGGATCGCAGCGAAACCGTCTTCGTCGTGGCAAGCCACATACGCATAGTCCCCGACCACCGCAAGGCCCCGTGCTTCCTCAAGCCTGTCCTGAGTTCTTTTTAACGGATCTAATTTAAGATACCATAAGAGGGTTTCGGGTTTAGGGCTTCGGGGTTCTATGTAAGTTACCATAACAGGGATTCATAGTACATAGTAGGGTTTGATTATTATAGCAACTTAAACCAAACCCTGTAACAACAACCCAGTGTCGTCCCTGATAGTGCCTGCGAGACTGATGTTGTACGGGTCGGCGATGTTGAGTATGGTCAAGGAGTCCTCAAACTGTGTCTGAACTAAGGTACATGATGCTGCAGATTCATATATGTTATATATTAAAACTATATTATATGTCTAGATGTATGTGACGTTGCTTGTATTATCTACTAGGTTCTCTCGATATTAAAGATTGTTTTTCAGACACGATAAGATGCTCAGCCCCTGTTGGATCGGATCCTCGCTGTAAGCCGTCACATAGGCCAGGTTCCCGACGATCACGATATTCTCCTTGGGGCTTGAAGGGCGGTACGGTTTAGGATACAGGCTGGTACGCGCTTCAGGGTTTACTGGGCTGTTTTGGGAAGCCCTAAACAGTTCGTCATTTCTCTCTTCACATCATTTCTTATTCCGTCTTGCTTTTTAAAGGCACGAAGATGCTACGACCGAAATCATTTTCAGGAAGAGCCTAGTCTCCGCACCATCAAGTGTGCTGTCTTTGAAATGGCTGGCGACCGTCAGGTTGTTGGGGTTGCTGATGTCGACCGCTGTGACAGCGTCCTCTCGCAGGGTGGAGAGCTTTGGGCGAAAAACAAAAAACAGATACGTAAATATTGTTGATGACAGGAAGAAGACTACAGATAAACAGAATTCAGATGACGGAAACACTGATGAGCTTTCGAGCCACATTTGCATTGTACTGACTTTGAGCTGAGTCCTCAGAGTAGGCGGTCACAAACGCATAGTTTCCGGCGATCGCCACATCCGTGGCACCGTCGAAGAGGTCCTAAGCGTACCCCCTAGAACGCTCAGGAGCCTTAGATTATGGGGGCTCCGGCAATGGTAGTGGTCCGACAACCGCTCTGGAAGGGTTTCGGGCTTTGGCGCGTTCGCGCTTTTTGCCTAGGCCCCTGGTACGAAGTTTGGCGGGCTCCCCCTCCAAGTATGAGGATTATTCGGAGACCCAAGCCGCAAAAAGCAAATAGGATTCCTGACGTTGACCTAGGGTCGTCATCTTGGAGAAATCCTGCGATGGCCAAGTTGGCTTTGTCGGCAATGTGGACGGCAACAAAGCCGTCGTAGGAGTTCGCAGCCACATAGGCATAGTCTCCAGAGACTGCAAGGCCCTCGGCACCGTCCATCTTCATGTCAAAGATGGTGCTTACGAGTTGCGGGTCGCGTGGGTTGCTGATGTCGATCACGGTGAAAGAACCTTCGTCACCGACCACATAGGCATAGTTCCCATCGACTTTCACACCATGGGCATCCTCGAGGAAGCTCTTCGGGTTCTCACCAAAGAAGGAAACCTCGCGAAGGTTGCTTGGAGTGCTGATGTCCACCACGGCCATGCCTCGGTGCATAAAGCCCGAATTGCAGGCCACGTAGGCATGGTTGCCGACAATGGCGATCTCCTTCGCATACGCGTCGGTATCGGAATCTGAAGGATCGTCAGTTATTTGGACACCTGTGCCGAGGATGGTGGGGCTGCTGGGGTCGCTGATGTCCACAGTCACAACGCCATGCCGGGTAGAGACATAAGCATTGCTCCCCACCACCTGGAGCCCCATGGCTTGGTCAAGCAGGGTGCTGTTCATGACCATACCGTGGACATGCCTTAGTTCTTGTTCAAGGGATTTTATTTAAGTAACCATACTAAAAAACCCTTTCATGTCTTGTGGATCCCTATTATGACACCTGAAATTCAATCCGAACAAGAACCCAGATGCAGGTTGGTCGGGTCTGTGATGTTGACCACCACCAAAGAATCAGTCTGCATCCCGGTCACATAGGCGTAGCTCCCGACCACAACTGTGCGAGCAGCTTGCTCCAATTCACCTGCTGAGAGGGTGCCGATGAGGCTTGGGTTGCTCGGGTCGGAGATGTCGACCACGGCAAAGTCGATATTGCCGTTGTTAGTGCACAAATAGGCACGGTCACCGACGATGTCAATGCCGCGGACTCCATAAAAAAGGCTGCTGACATGGAGGGTTCCTGCCAGGGTGAGATTGCTCGGGTCAGTGATGTCGATCACCGAAAGCGCGCTACCCCACTGCGAAGCAACGTAGGCATAATTCCCATCGAGCACAACCTGATCAATTCCATAAATCCTGCTGAAGGAATCGTGCACTGAGCTCACGATCGTCATGTTGCTTGGATCGGCAATGCTGATTGACACGAAGTAGCCTTGGGTCCCCACGAAAGCATGGGCCCCTCTGATCGCAATGCCCGAGGCATAGTCCAAGATCGTGCGGTCTTTGATGGACCCTGCCAGAGTCGGGCTGGTGGGATCCGTGATGTCGAGCACCGTCACCCCATCATCAAATTGCGATGCGACGTAGGCGAGGCCCCCCTCAATGGCAATGCCCCAAGCTCCATTGAGCTGAACGGGGTCTTGGAGGACGGCTACGACGTCCACCATATCGCTTCTCCCCGATGCTCCACTCCGCAAAGCTTGCACCAGAACTAGCAAACCAAAGATCATGGCCATGGCGTCCGGGCAGCCTCAAGGGAAGACGATGATGTGGCTGTGCTTGAAGGCAACAGCTGGCAGCGAACCGGCATAAGAACTGACGAGTCACCTGTAGAGGGCATGACAGCAACAATGATGATGGTCGTCGTCATCATCATCACCATAAAGTAGTAATAACATGATAGCGTTGGTGCCACTGCCAGCATGCACCTAGCACGGATGACGTGGGTTTGCACACGCTTCTGCTGGCAATAGGCCAAGCCTGCAGCCAGCAAGCCCCTGCTTGCGTCATGCACCCTTTTGCAGCTGGGCTCTGAGTCTGCCCCAGCTCTGCCCGCTGAGATTCAAACAAAGAGTCTTGCACCCTAAACTTGAGACATATGACGGGCCCGGCTCTTTCGCACCTTGTTGGGCACGGTGTATCACGGTGTCATAGGGGTAGTCGGCCACGTCAGGGCCCGGCTCGTTCGAGGTGGAGGCTGTGGAGGAGCACCTGGCAGCCGGGCCGTGCCAATATGTGCCAATTAGAGCAGAGCTCCTTTCAAGGGATGCTTTAAAGGGGCTACGGTGGATGGAGGAAATCTTGCACCACCTACACACAGTGTTTCGAATACACATCCGAGCAACAACCCCGCGCCCCCTTTTTAACATTGACGACAGATCTCTTGGGGCGGTGCAAGATTTCTGTCGTTGGAACGATTTTGCAAAACCCCATGTTCATAGCAATGTTAAGAAGGGGGCGAGGGGTGAAGCTACATAACATATCTTAAAAGCGGTGCAAGATTTCCTCCATCCACAGTCCCCAGAGCGGGGTCTAGCTTTGGCCTGCTCGTGGCTTCCTACATGGCTGGTGGATACTTCCAGTCAGAACGTTACATAGAAGTCATAGTTAACGTTCAGTTAACGTTCCAGTTAACGTTCCGAAAATGCTGGCAGGGAGAGCATTTTGGAGTTTTCAAGCATAAACAGCAAGAACACACATGTTTTTCTTGCTTTTTATGCTTGAAATCTCCAGCATGCTGCCCCTGCCGGCATTTTCGCAACGTTAACTGGAACGTTAACTGTATGTTAACTGCAAATTCCTACCAAATGTAGCAAGATTGTTGAATGGGCGTACCCGTGGCTCCATCCTGTGATGGCTGCACACTTCCCTCAGGGAGGCATGGACTCAGGTTCCTCTCACATTTGTGAGCGGAGGCAGTTACATAGAAGTCACAGTCAACGTTCAGTTAGTTAGACGTATACAGTAGTAGTAATAATAATAATAGTACTACTACTATTACTACTAATAATAATAACAATAATAATAACAATCATCATCATCATAATAATCATAATAATAATAATAATCATCATAATAACAATAATAATAAAAAATAAATAATAATAATCATCATCATCATAATAATCATCATCATAATAATAATAATCATCATAATAACAATAATAATAAAAAATAAATAATAATAATCATCATCATCATAATAATCATCATCATAATAATAATAATCATCATAATAACAATAATAATAATAAATAAATAATAATAATAATAATAATAATAATAATAATTATTATTATTATAAATAATAATAATAATAACAATAATAATAAATAATAATAAAAAATAATCAATAATAATAATAATAACAATAATAATATAGGGACCTTAATAACTAAAAAAAGCTGGGTGAAAAAATATTCTACTTGCAATAAGGAACCCCAACATAACATTGGCAGTTGTTTAGGCCGCTTTATGAAACGAATGTCGGGTTGTGGTCCAATTGTGCTCAGGCAAGGAGTTTGGAGGTTCGATTGCGATTTTATGTGGAGGATAACAAGGGAGTTCAAACGAAATCCTACATACTTCGACTGCATACAGAGCAGCCCGGATGGATCATGTGAGTTTGCAGGGTGGAGTTTGTTGGATATCGTCACAGGGAAGCTTCTGATACCAGTATGCTAACCCGAAGGACCCGGGACAAAGGTGGCACCAAGACTGTCAGAAGGGGCACTGCCAGCCGCTCACGTAGACCGAGGTCAAGTACTTGGCCATCTGCGTAACCTCCACTGCAGGATTTAGGGTTTGGGGTTTACTGGCCGGGCGAGCTCTACTCAAGCCAGCATCAAGCTCGAAAAGGCCTAGAAGGAAGCTGCAGATGGTAGATGGTAGACCCCATCGAAGCATGGCGAGTCATGAAGCTGCAAGCCCAGGCTGCCTGAACTCCGGACCCTGAGCCCGAAACCCCTCTTTACAACTGGGACGCACAGGAATGCAACCCCAAGGAACAAGAGAGTCTGAAACGAAAACGGACAGCTCCTGGCAAAGTCCATGAAGGGGCCCGCCTGGACGGTATCGAGAGCCCCGAAGGTGTGGGAGCAGGTTCCCTTCGCCTCTTCCAAGCTCAGAGCTCAAACAGAACTACTTGGAGGTTCACGCTTAGTTCTACATGGGGTTTCAAGCAGGACAACTATGATTATGAGGTTCATGCTTAGTTCGAAATGGGGTTATACACGAAGGGTAACTCGAATTGGAACCCGCATTCCGGGGATGTCCAACCCTACTTATGACTGCCCATGAATCTGCAAGTAGGCCATCCCAGTACCCTATACCGTGATTGTATGGGCCTTAACAATTAGAATAGGGTTTTGGGGTTGACTATAGCAAATAACCAAAATCATAAATAAGGCCCCCAAACCCCTATTCTGATCACTAAGAAGAACCCTACATTACGCCCTGCACGAGTACTGGTCTGCACATTCCCTGGTATAGCCCTCTTATCAGGGAAGGGACTCCGCCTCTTATTAAAACCGGAATCCCTTCACCCCCGAACCCAAGGCCTAGACCGCTGAAGCCCCCCGAAATGAAAAGGGCATGAGTGCAAATGCAGGTCCAAGCTCTTCCCAAGCGCTGAAAAGCAAGAGCCCGCCTCCAAATCTGATAATTTTGGGGGGGCTAACCAAACACGCAGACTCAAATCTAAAGCCTTCTTATTACAGGCTTTCCAGTTCTTCCCCCCCCAAACTAAAGATCGACTCTGAGTTGGGAAGCCGACGAAAAAGCAGATGTCAGCAACAGTTGACGATTTCGCCCTGGCCCCTCCACACAAAGCTTCACTAGACACTGACCAGACCTGCAGCCCCACCCCACCCGCCGCCTTCCTCTCACCTGCCATCCAGTTGCTTGCAAAGGTCTCTGTGCGGGTTGAAGAGCATCCATGAGCTCCCTGCCCAGCTGGTGCCAAAAAAGGAGCTTGGTGTTAAACGGCGCCACCTGCCCTGCCTGGGAACTCGGCCCAATGTTTGAGCGTGCGCATCATGCACGGAATGAATCCTCAAGACTTGATCATGCACTGCAAGGGGCAGCCAAGCTTCCAGGGAGGGGCACGCAGCTCCAGGCTGACATGATCGAACTAGAGTCACCCATGTGCTGCATTGCAGGGTTTTGCCGAGGTTGACCATAGTTCACAATGTTCAGGGATTAAGGTCGTTGTTGTGACAAGCTGCCTCTACAGCGAGCCTCAAAGCAGCCTTGGTCATGCTCCGTTCCTTGACCTCGCTGCCCCCCACTTCTGCACCGACTGCAGTGCTGCGAACCTACAACCTACCCCACATCAACTATGGAGTCCAGAAGGTCTTCAATATCCTGGGGGTCGACCCTATGCCCATCTCTGTTGAAGAGAATAGTGGAACTTGAGAGCCTGCGGTGTCAGTGTCGTGCATTTGGTGCGGTGGTTCTTGCAAGGGTAATGTGATTCAGAAACAGTTCATATAGATTCCAGTCTAGGTGTTTACGATAGCCCTAGAAATGGGCGACATCCTGTCGGATTTAGGTTTTTCTGTTTGAGACTTCATGGGTTTCGTGTGCAGGGAAAGGGTGCGGGTCCAAGTGCTCGATTGATATACGATCACTACGAAAAAGAGAACATAAACGCTCTTGGTGCCGAACGATGTGTTACTTGAACATTCGAAAAGTTGCAGAGCTCAAACGGTCGCCATAGACCTTAAGTGTTAATTTGACTCTACACGCCGCACACCTGACACATGCAGGTAAATGGCAAACTGTTGTCTGCAAAACTTGGTCGTCGTTATGCCTAAGCGTCTGCCCCTGACCGCAAGGTGAGTGGTTCCACAAACCGAACAGCATCGCTGTAAGATCAATTCCTTTGAAACATCAAACAAACACTAGACTCCACACCATTCCGAAGGACACTCTTCCTCAACCTGGACGCCCGAGCATTACGACCCTAATTATGTGGTCAAACCCCAGAACCAAAACCCGAAATCGACTGCAAGACGCAACAGTAGCCTGAAACGTTGGCAGTGAGAACAATCATAAACCTGACAAATAAGCACATGCGAAGACATCTCCACCAAGCCACGGAAAAGTATGGTATTATTGCAAAGCCATGCAACTAAATCAACAGCAGCTGTACTGCTGGCAATAGCTTTTTAATATTTTCAGGTTTAGGTTGTCAGGGTCTAAGGCTGTATAGATCCGAGGTTTCTGTGCTGAACCCTGTGAGGACAAGCGAGTGTCACAAAACCCACGAGTTCTAAGGACACAAAATCATCACAGTGGCCTGCAAGGGTTCAAGAACTACAAGCACCAACGAAACACAAGGTCAATCATAAGCAGATAGCAATGACAAGATGAGTTGCATTGCTAGTCACAATGCTTTGCAAGTTGAGAAATTAAAGAGGACAGCTTGAGTATGTGCATTCCATACAACATGGCTAGCCATGACTACAACGACCTAAGCTCCCGCACGATTAGGTTGAGAATGCAGGGTTTAGGAGGATCAGGAGACTCAGGAAGGTCATCGGGGCCAGCTGCCACATTGGCACCGAAGATGCGGCATTCTGCAGTTCAACGATTTGCGCTTGCCTCCAGCTTTCGGGCCCCCTTACATCGACGCAACTGAGGATATGCCCGTTGTGTTTTAAATTAAAGTACTCCTGACCTTTTGAAGGAAAGCTTGCACCAGTTTCTTGTCCATGGGCAGTTTGATTGCCCTTCTGCGGGGTTGGCGTTCGCTGCTGACCGACAGATGATACATCAATCCACTGCGGAGCGATAATTACCACTGCCTAGATGTGCGCTGTCGATCGATTACGACTCACCTCTGTCATTCGACTTCGACGTTTAAAAAGTTCGAATGTCGTCTGGGCTTCTCAGGACTCGCCGGCAGGGAGAGTTGTCGGAATCAGCGCAATCCCTCTGGATGAACCTTCTGCTTCGCTCTCCAAGCAAGTACCTGGCAGGGAAGGTTGGGTGTCCTCCACAGCCCTACACAGGAAAGGAGCACAGCAGTCCTGTTGCGGCCAGCCGCGTCATTGCGGCTGAAGCAGAGCTTCTGACCGTCCATTGAACTGCCGGAATCGCCGCCGCCCCAGCAAACGCAAGCTGAAAAGCGTCCTACAAGATTTTGGTTGGGTTGACACCTGATCTAGCTTCAAGCTGCGCGTGGCTACTCGCCACTCTTCCATTCCTAACACCGCAATCGAAACGGAGCAAACCTAATTAATGTCCTTGACATTGTTCATGCCTTTCGCATCCAAGCTCGGCGGAGCAAGGCTGGAGAACTCACAGGCACCGGAAATCTCGCTGCGATGGATGTGGTACGTCCAGCTGCACAAGATGCAGGCCAGCGGCACAGTGATCAATATCCTCTCGCTGGCTGGCTGAACTAGCACATAACAAAGTTGGGAAAGGAAACACTGATTATTCTGACTCTTGGGCTGCTAACTTCATGACAATAGATATCCCGGGCACGTTGTTGGACAAACATGCGTCAGACAGGCCTGGGGAAGAACGCATACGGTATCAGGTGTCCGGCATCTTGCCCCAAGATGTCCTGCAGCAAAAACGGACACACACACACACACACATTCATTTGAGTAGGCCAGGGCCAAGATCTAGCCGACAATTTTGAGAACCGTCAGCAGCACAGGCATTGACAGCAGCAGGAGCAGGGGATCGAGTCTTTGACGGTGTATGGGCGCGTGCTTCAGTCGAGAGCGGGCACACTGAATGATAGCCAAACGAAACTGTTCTCTACCGGAGATGCATCCCGCAATCAAGCTGTAGGCAAAAAAGCACCTCAAGGTTGCAGGCACGACCCATGTCCTGAAATGCCAGCTCAAGCTTGTGGAACAAGCGCGGGCTGGAAGTGATGTCGTTTGGGATGAAGGATCGAATGCTGTGTATGTAGTACGCCCCAGCCACCAGAACAGCCATGAAAGCGGAGAGTGCGACAGATGGAATCCTCCTGCATAAGACAAACTTGGCGAAAGGGCAACTGTATTGCCACTTGACCATGGCAATCCCAAGCCAGCAAATCACGGCAATCATCAGAATCAGCATGGAACACATCCACATCCTGTGCTTGTGTAGCAGCCACAGGACGTGGCTTTTCCTACTTTGTGCTATGAGTTGACATTCTTGCCAAGTTCCTTCATCGACAACAGGACCAACAGGTGACAAGTGCGCGGAACCCTCTGCATACTTCTCGATGTGGAAAATCGACTCTGGAGAGTTCAGGACTGCTAGCTTGCAAATTTGCTTGTATCTGGCTCTCTCTTTTGGCCGCTTCTCCGGCAACTGACAGATGTTTTCGAAGAGCGCATGATCTTGGCTCAGCAGGTAAAGGAAGTGACCAACAGCCTCGCCATTGCTTCCACAGGCAGCCTGTGCCAGCTCCAGAAACTGTTCCCCACGTTTCCCGCCTTTTGCTACGTGCTCCTTGTATGGTACGTATGGGTCTCTTTCACCCCAGATAAAGGAGTACCTCTGGGAACCATCGGTGTCTGTGCTTGTTCTGCTGTAGCCAACATCATTGAATACGAGGCCGTCGCTTGCTACAAGTGCCAACATGATGTCGTGTGCATAAATCTCGACATCGCCTTTCTTGACCAAGCAGCCATCCTTTCCAAGGAGGCCTTTCTTCACCAGCTCAGCAAGGACTTGAAGCTTGCTGCCGCAACTGGGGATGCAGTGATGCGGGAGACACATGCGATCCAACTCGATCTCTGCCAGCTCCTGTAGCAAGGCCTGCTTCGCTTCCAAGTCATCGCCCCTACTGAACATGGTGCCACACTTCAGCCACGCATACAGAGAGAGGCAGAAGAGACACCCTACAGCGAGAAGACATGTTGGAAACATCTGACCCCAAAACAGTGGAAAGACCAGCCAGCGTGCGTACCGAAGGCACCCAAGGCTAAGCACCAAGGTGACCAGGCTGAGACATGACAACAATCTAATGCCGGCCAACTTGGCACTTTCTTGCCGGCTATCTATATGAAGCTCGTCCCAGAGTGGCCCAATGTCTGTCAGGGCGACAAGCGTTTCTTTTGAGCAGCCTTGCAACCTCTCCTCGCGAATCAAACCGTGAATGGTGGCAGGATCACATCGCACTGCCTCCGGGATCAGATGTTGCTCCAAAGCACGCTGGCTTGCTTCCGGCATGGGCGTATGGAAGGGGCTGCCGGTTCTCTGGGTAATCGCATGATCTCTCGAATTATCTGAAAGCTCCACACCCTCTCTAAGATTTTCCAGGTTGTGGTAACCCTGCATCTGTGGATGGAAACAGGCAAGCCCCAGACAACCTGAAATGATGTCTTCCACAATGCGCACGACCCTGGTCCAGGCGTGCTTGATGCAGTACCACTGCACCATGTGGCCTGCAACGCAGTGCGCGAAAAAGACCAAGAGGAGTTTCCAAACATCCTCCGTCTCGGAGTTGCTGAAGTGCTCGTTACAGTAGTCCGGGCTGCAGGTGCTGTCAGTTCTAAGCTTTGCTGCGCTACACTTCTCGCACTTCTGCACGGAGATGTTCACAGTCAACATGGTTCGAAGCATCTCCACATCTCGGGGGCATGTGTGGAATTGTGATGGCAGCTGGTACACCAGGAATCCGTCTCCACCATTTGCCGTCGCCGCAGCTGAATCCCAAAACACGTCCCTGTCACTGGGATCGTCAATAACCAGCTCATCACAATGGTCTCTACCACTACTGGGCTGGAGCAAGTTGGCCAAAGAGATCGATGTTCTTAACAAGGTCGTGGTGGTGCTGGTTGTGCTGGTCATGGTGGCTGTAGTGCTGGTTGTGCTGCTCTTGGTGGTTGTAGTGCTGGTCGTGCTGCTCATAGTACCGGATGTTGTTCTGCTTGTCGTTGTACGGCTTGTTGTGGTAAGGCTTGTCGTTGTGGCGGTCCTGGTGGTGCCCGTGGCAGTGTTGCTCGTCGTGGTGGTAGTGATTGTCGTGATGGTGATGCTGGTCATGGTGACGGTTGAGGTGGACAGTGTGGCTGTCGTACTACTTGGCCCCGGGACACCATCAACTATTCCAGACAGCGCTTCTTGAACCTGTTTCACCAGATCCCACTGTTCTCCCAGCCGCCGCGCGTTTGCGAGAACTGGAAACGTGTGCTGAACCTCGTAGCAGTCCTGGTCGTTGGGCCCCGGGTCGACATCGGCTGTCTCACTGTACCTCGGAGTGCGGATAGGAGCAAAATCACTCTGTGTTTGTTCACAGTCTACTCTTGTGCAGCTTTTGAGGGCAGCACAGCCAGCACCGTGGTTGGGCACCGTTGCCGAGAGTGAACTTGAAGGCACGGCATTGGGGAGCATCGACAATGCAGCTGTGCACACATTCCTGTTTGGTCATTGGGCGCACCTTCGAGTAGCTCCGCTCGCTCCGCTCCCCTCCACATTTTCGAGAAGGGGAAGTGTATTCGAAGTCTAGATACTGTGCGAAGTTGCCTGAGGTTTTCAGAGTTGCGGTGTGTGTTGACAGTGTTGACGTCCGGCTGAGGCTCAATGTTGTACTTGTAGAGGTCGCGGTTGTCGAAGTCGTCGTTGTGCTGGTGCATTCCAGATTGAAAGCAATAGGGTCAAGCGTGCATATCCACGGAAGCACTGTGCACTCGAGATCGGAGGCAGCAGTGATGGGGATTAAAAGGGCGACGCTGACCACGGCATTGGCAGAACTGCCGAGTGGCTGGCAAGAGAAGTGCAGCACAAAGTGTGGTTGAGTCCGCAGCCCGTGCTGTGATCCGTTCGCTGCACTGACAAGCTGATGTGCCATTGAGGTCATGCGACACCTGGCTTCCATTTGCCCGCTCACCACCGTCAAGTTGTAGCCATCATCCAGCATGGAATACCGAAAGCCCGAAGGCCGTTCTTGCGAAATGACGAAGTTAGAGGCCGCCAGACCTGCATCTTCGGGATGCAAGACGCATTTACTCTCCTCTCCACAGAGTCCGTGCGGCTCCAGGTAACCCCCGGTTGCCCAGTCTGCTCTGGCATCTTTGTACCGGAACAAGCTCCTGTTGCAGAAGTCGCAGACCGCAATCAGGAGCAGGACAAGCACAACTCGAGTAGTCCAGAACTCCTGCATGAGAGAACTCTATCTCGGCATATCTGCGGCACTTCAGAGCCAAATCGCGGGCATAGTTGCAAAGATTTAGGCGTGGCCTATGAGTCGTCAGTTCCCTTCAACCGACCGGTGAGAACTCGGCTGAACGAAGGCCAGGATCCTGGGTCAAACGATAATCCTGGATGGCTTTGAGAGGAGAAAATGGATCTGTGAAGCTTTATCCGACGCTATGTGTGTTAATATGTATATAGTATACCCATATATGACGAACCATATTATACTGGCTGGTTGTGGGCACAAGAACATCAGGATGGCAAATCCGTCGATGATATGCAAGAGCTGTGACTCTTGGCGGCACACTTCCATGGGCGCTTTGCTCACACTATGATGGTGATGTATTGTTTCAATTGTTTGCCACATGTACCATTCCAAACTTGGGACATGCATACCGTTCGGCGCAGTTAGTTCTGGTCGAGGACTGCTCGTGAGTGTGATACCCTGAAATCCGTGAACCTCGCACCGGCCCATGCGCTCCAAAACAACTAACAACCAAATACTGATGCGCATCGATCTTCGCCTGGCTCGATTGCGAAAATTGTTGCTAAGTCGACCCTGACAAACACGATCGTGATTGAGGGTTCGCAAGCGGAAGCAAGCTTTCGCCTCGGCCACTGGGCTTGTGGTCCATATATGCCCATGTCAGATTTCCACCATCGTGGTGGGCTCATGCTCGTGGATGTCAACTCCAGCCTCCGTGAGCGCCTCAAGCTGGTGGACGCGCTCACGGATCTGCCGGGCTGTGGGGTCTACAAGAAGCAGGCCGTAGGCTGCATCTGCAGTGGTGCAGAGGCTAAGCAACGACGACAAAGTGACCGAGGCCATTGCATAAACCCCGCTGGCACAAAGGTAATACGAGGCGTAGTACTGCAGCAGAAGGAACACAGGAGCTTCCACGGTTTTCTGTGGCAGCAGTATGTCACGTAGCGCATCTGTTGTCTGTCCAAGCGAACTGGATCTTTCATATTCCAGCCTCAACGTCGTCAAACTCCCGACAGACCGCGTCCCAACAAAGACCAGGAAGCCCAGGCTGAAGAAAGCGTAGTGGTGGAAGAAAAGAAAGATGCACAATGTGTGAAAGTCGCTCACAAGGTCCAACATCCACACCAGAATCAAACAGTGCAGCTTGATCTGCCGGAGGCGGGTTGCTTTGGACGACTCCTTGATTGAACGAAATCCAACCAACGAGCACAGCCGTGTCCTACGATTGGGCTACTGTAGCAGTCGGGTCTCAGCAAGCAAGCATGCCGGTCAAGATCGATAGATTCCTCGACACTACACTCTGCCCCATACGAGTATATACTGCCCCGCAGTCCTGCACCATGCGGATAGCTGCTTCATATGTCCTGCCTGCATTGGGTTGCACCCCAAGCCACGTGTACAGACAGCATTGAGCCGGTAACAATCCTAGAATTGCTAGGAGCGGCCAAAAGATAATCCAAATCCTGGTGGGCCTGGTGCCCGGTGCCTGGCAGACCGCGGCTGCCTGTGTGCGACAGCTTGTCTGTCGATACCAAGGCAGGTCTTCCTGACACTGGAAAAACGTCGTCAGGTTGATCTGCTGCGAGGCGCAACAGGGCTGCAGCCAAGAGGGCGCCTGCGCGAAGTCGCATCCCAGAGCGTGAGAATTATGGAAATCCTCGTGCATGTCCTGACCGTAATGTGCCCCAAACTGCTCATCATTGGCCCTAAGCGCCAAGAAACAGCAAAGCAAGCAAGCGAGACGTAGCAATGCGCCCAAAGCCCGTTTACTGAGCAATGCCTGCCCAGAAGGCAAGAACATCAGCACCGGCAGCGCCGAGCTCAAAAACGTCTGAAAATGACCTTTCTCTTGCTGTTGCACCAAGGACATAATCACCATCGGACCGAATGCTAATCCGAAGATCCAAGGCGTGGTAGACCAAGCAGTGCATGGAACGATGAGCCAGGAGGAAATATCTAAGACCAACTGGACGTAGGCCCATGTGCCGCCGCACTCGGACAGCAGCTCGACGGCGGCTTCTTTGTCCGCCTTTGAATGTGGGAAGAGTGCCGTCGCCACCGGAGGCATGGCTCAGCACAGCGTCGCTCTTGGAGTGAGGGACATCTGCCAAGCTTGGCCTGGGCCGGAGTTTGGCAAGGACAATTCTTCCACGGCAACACATCACTCAAGCTTCTCTCCCAAAACAAGAATGCTAATCTCTCAACTCTATCCAAACAAAAACAGTTCTGCGGGCCGGTTTGGCGAACTGCAGTGCCAAGTGCTAGCGATTGAATCTGACCGATCGTGCTCCAGCACAAATGCACGGTGGGTTTTGAGACTTCGCTTCGGACCACGACTCGACAAACCTTGAAACGGAAGACTACCTTCACGGACCTGGCGGCTGTGCGCACAGACTCTTTTTACACGGCTGCAGGTGGCAGCCGGAGCCATGTTCAACAGTGAAACCAACTACGTCCACGGCACATTTCGGTTCAAGCTGACAGGCACACTGCTCAATTCACCTGACCCGTCATCTGCATGGAGGTGTGCTGCCGGAGCTTGAGCTCCAGTTCTGGATCGTATCCTCAGACCCGGCGAGAAACACAACTGAAGGATTGCTATGCGGTTGTACCTGCGATACCGAATCAGAAACGACTGGAACTCAGTCGTGCATTTTGTGTCTGCTGCCTCCTGCTGTTCTACAGTTTGCTACAACAGCCCCATGCAGATCCACCAACAGCTGTGCGGCCATGTGTAAAAAATCACAGGCGACCATTTGTTGCAGACCGTCTGCTTCGAGATTGAAGCAGCTATGCCGTCAACAATGCCGAAATGTGCTGAAGCTTGCTTCGCAGGAGCCCGAAATCCTGTGGTTCCTGAAGAACACGATGAAGCATGCACTGCCCAGGGTCCCACTGCACATGCCGGCATGAACTGAACATCGGTGAAAAGAAGAAATTGCTATGCTTCTTTGTTCGTCGTGGCAAGCCGGCAGGAGCGAAAAGACTTGCAAAGGACATGCTTCAGTCATGGACCTCTCAAGTACCAAGAAAGTTCTTCAGTTTTAGGAGGTGAAATTCAAAGAGGGTTTTGCAAGCACAGTCTGCAAGACTTCAACATGAGAGCAACAGCAGCGCGTGCTGCTTGCAGATGAGCCGTCTGTGTGTTGCGCCGTAGAGCACCATCTTTACTTGCTTCAGCTGCGTTATGGGCACGACATGCCGCCAGGGTCACAAAGTCTTCGCGACTGCAACAATCTCAGAAAGCTGGACGATTTGACTGCAAGTCTGAGACCTGTACCCTCTTCGTACAGCTTCTTAACCGGTGCGAAGGCCCTTTTGAAGCTTCGGTCCTCAGGTCCCAAGCAAGCATCAGGGTCAGCCTGTTTCGCGTAGGTACACATGCACCTATGCTGTGGCTCATTCCGCACGACCTTTTCCAATGCTGCAATCTCATGCCACCATCGGTCAGTTGACAGCAAGCCTCTCCCTGAGGACCGTGCTTTCCGCAGGGTTTTCAATATGTCGGCAGCCAATGGTGTTGCCGGACAGTTTGCCTTCGATAAACCCATTGAATAACCACAGCAGCAGAGTGGCTGCCGTTGGGTCACGTTATGAACAGAGGAAAGTTGAAAGAGCTCTAGATGCGTTTTCCAAGCAACCAAAAATGCATTTTGGCTGGGTTCGGATTCCTGGAATCCAGTTTAACTAAAGTCTGGAGCAGTTTCGACTGTAACGGTGTATGGGACACCACAACTGTCTAAAGGCGTCCCAGATGCACGTTTTTTGCTTGAAGAATGCTTTTAGGCGTGCTTTCGAGCTTCGGGAAATCATTCAGCCGCGTATTCGGGTGGCAGCAAACACATCCAAAAGAGCGCCGAACGCACTGTTCTGGGCTGGAAACTGCCTCCCGAAATGCTATTAAGAGTATCTTTTGCAAAGGTTCGGGTGGGACACGGTGGGACGGCATTGAACACTAGATTTGCTGAAACCAGGGCCGAATGGGCGAAGAAAGCCCCGGAACCTGCCCGACAGCTTGCTCAAATCTGCCCCTAGTCCTAATTTCGGCAGAACATTCCAAAGCCCTTAAACGGCATCACTCAACGGCACGTAAGCCTACGTTACCCATGTCGGATGAAAGCCTTCTCCAGACGCAGCAGCAGCTGCAACATTGGTGCCTCCATGGTGCGAGACCGCGCTAGTAGCTATCTAGCCAAGCCAGGAGCGAGCCCAAGGTTGCTCCTTCTAGTGAACTGCACCGTCTGCGCATCAAACCGACGGCACTCTAGCATTGATGCTTGTGTCATCAGTATGCAGCATCGATTTTGCACTTCAAGTCTGCTCAGCTTTGTCTGTGGATCCTTACTTAAACCGGAAGCTGCAACCTTGACCAAATTCGGATTCTGCACGTCACTCTGGCTCACTGGCTGGATGTGATCCAACCAGGCGCATGCTGAGAATTCTACACAGTATGCATTGACATATCGATGCCTCTTCAACAAATTTTGCTTCTTTTTATGAACCAGAAGGGTACCATGCCTGCTCGGTTTGATGGCAGAAATCCTCAACAACTCGCATCGGCTCGTGTCAAATACTCAGAACAAGGGTCTGTGTTGAAGCTCGACAGATGTTGTTGTCAGTATGCATGTGTACCATAAATACGACATCTGTGCACTTAGGGAATGGGTCGTCCTAATCGAACTCTGTCTTTTGAAACAGTCGCTGTCTGCGACGCAGCGACAACATCGAGGGTTGCCGGAGTCAAACGCAACTGTGTCGCAAGGTGACGGCGTCTGCCCATGTGCAGAAGCGATAGGCCTCACGCAAGTTCGTGCTCAAGATGTCAGGCCTCAAGTTTGTCAAGCAAGGAGTTCTAGTGTCAGCTCAACACATCAATGTCAGTACCTAGTGCTGCGTCTTGAGGTTGTGACTTCTGCAGCGATATCGCATGAAACACATGGATGATGTCCTCAAGTCAATTTGCATCTTTGTATATAGACATGCCCCCTCTGCGGATGCCACTCGAAATATCCGCTGGAGCGGGCAGCATCCTGGAATGACTCGGTACTTGCCGCCCCATCCATCCACAATTGAATGCCCAACTTCACAAGCTCCTGTGGCACACGTCGAACACCGACAAAGCAAATAACTGAATGCTTGTAGACGCCAATCTCGCGGCTCATGTCTCCTTTACAAACCGCTCGGCATTCGTTTGGAGGATATCCATGAAGCCCTGTCAGGGTGTCAGGGTGCAGAAACGACTGGAAGCTTGAGTCCGGCCCAATGCTGACATGACATCAGGAGCACAGGTCTGTTGTTACATGGCCAGCACAACGTTCCAGCATCATGTGAGGAAGCGCATCAACATTCGCTACACTCTGGGTGGGACGGGCAATGGTCGCGATAGCTGCCCCAAGCATATCCAAGCATCTTCGATTAGGTGAAGGACCCTTATGACTCCGACCTTAGGTAGGGGTTTCCGTGCAGCAACCCTGCCACGCCTGGGCAGCGGTACACTGCATAAGCAATTTGCTGGCAGATCTTCTTGCTGCTGGCACGGCGAGGCTCGCTTCCTGAACAAGCACCGAGTTTTAGGGCATCCCCGTTTCTCGCTTCTGCCTGTGGGAAATTGAGTGCACCACGACATGAGAAGGAACTGGCTGTGATTTTGGCGAAGGCACTGACATCAAAGCCTGTTGGGTCCATGGTCATGCAGTGTCACACACCTCCAATGTGTCGTGCAACGAGGAGCAAGAACTGCCTCCAGCGCCCCCCTCGGCTGAGTTGGAGCAGATCAGCTTGGCAACGATAAGATTCATTTCAGCTTATTCTGGGTCCCGAACAGGCGGACCATCTTCTCGACATTCTCAAGGTATGTCTGCCAGTGCCACGTCGAAATATCGCATCACGGTCGCATGAGGCAGTACTTCAAGCACCTGTGAAATCGTTGACAAGCACGACAAGGCATGCTCGGCGACCTGAGGCGGCGCCTCGGCCAGAATTACAAGGTCCGACAAAGCAGTTTAGCCGCTTAGCCCGTCAAGTGTTCGAGGTCTAGCCGAGTCTAGCCGCTAGCCAATCCCAGTGCTGGCATCCCTCAAGGTCGCCTTAGCCTACACAGTAAGCATCACCTTCTTTCACCTCAGCGTCAGAGCACTAAAACCCAAGAATGGGGGGGGGAATATGCCTAGTCTGCCTAGTGACCAATGTAGCAGCACGCGGTTCCAGAGCTGCCGTGGATCGCTGCCGCATTTTCAAACCCCCCCTCTGCAGTCGGAGGAATGCCCTGAGGCATTAGGAAGCGCCTGCAGTAGAGGAAGAACGACAAGCAGGCCGTCACCTTCAAGACTTGCCCAGTCATGGACAGTGCCACGCTCTCCGATTTTCCGACCGCCTTCATTGAAGGCTGCTTCGTAGGTCTCTCGCTCCAACTCTCTGTCCTGACAGTCCAAATCCATCCCGATCGCGCTATGCGCCAAGCGACATCTTCGCTGGCGGTCCTTCAAGAGCTTGTGCTCCAATGTCTTTGCTATGACCTCCCGATGCACTGCTGGAATCCTGTGTTAGTTAGCACAGATACAACACGCGAAATTGCATGTGAAGACAGCGATGCCTCCAGAAGGAGAGCCACGTAGCGAATGGCCGGGGATCCCTCAAGCTCCATGTAGACCATGTGCTGCAGGCAGATAAGAACTGAACGAGCATTCAGAATGAAGACAACATCCTGCATGGATTTGCCCGGACCTTGTCCTGTCCGGCATCCACAACTGTCTTTTGCCTTCAGTTCTCGGAAGCTTTACCAGCAATCGGTGTATGAAAAATGTATCGAGGAATTTGCGGAGCCGAATCAAGGATGTGTCGCATGGTTCGCAGCATCTGCGTCACCTGAAGTTTGTTACATGTATTGACAACAGCTGCAGCTCGCTGTAAGCTCGTGCCCCTAGCCAATCAGCCTCTTCTGCCGAAACAAGCTGTGGATCGTCGATGGCGTTCTTTGCCACCAGCTCGCCAAGGGTTCGCACGCATGCCTGCATGACCATGGCAACATGAAGCTGTGATGGGCAAACTTGGGCGAATCGAAGGCGCCACAGTGCAGTGCATTTCGCCTGAGGGCTTGTGAAGAAGCCGCCTTGCCCTGAGCGGCTCGCCAACTGTGGCATGATCCCCCGCAGGGTTCCTGGGATCGCCGCACCCGATAAAGCTGCGGGTGATGGCTGACTTGCTGAAGCTCCGGCGCTTTTTTAAACGTCCGCCGCAGGCGATGACGTCTAGCAGCAGCAAGGCGGCCTCACCAACTGTCTTCTGCAATGCGCAGCACACGGCACTCCAAGGTACGATTTGATGGCTGCAAGGTCTGCAAAGTGTCGGCAACAGTCTATAACACTGCATCTGGCGTTGCTTGAGCATGGTGTGGCTTCGTTTCCAAGCACCGTCGTAAACCCGGCACCCGGCAGCCCGCACCTGCTCTCTGGAGGCTGGAGACACCATTGGCGAGTCAGGTCCCGAGACAGAGTCATCGTGTGGCGAAGCTTGCAACGCCTCCAGTGCTTGTTCCCATCTATGCCCGACTGCACATTCTGAAGAAACCACCTTCAGTAATTTTAGCTCCGACCTGGGAAAGGTAAAAGGCTGCACGCTCCACAACGACGCTGTGGGTTTGGACCTCGAGACTCGAGCAGAGACTCGTCCTAGAGAATCTCTGATGCAAACAAAACCTTGGGAAGCGGCCAACTCTAGACTCTGACTTCTGCATCGTTCCTGCAGGCGAAGCTCATCGCAGCTCCCGTGCATTGTCCCAGTGCGAAAGTGCTTGTGAAAGCAAACCCAGTCCCACAAGCCATGCACCACAGAGATCAAGCGCTCGCAGACCTCCTTTTCAACCTGCTCGGCCGGGCAGTCGCCAGTTGCGAACTTGGATCTTGGGTGGAAGGTGATGTCATGGAATGAAATTCCTTGCAGCTTGGAACGGTGGCCTCAGGCCTTGCAGTTGCAGCCTCCCAGAAGCGCCCAGAAGCAGTGCGTGTCTGCTGCAAGAAGCCTCCCATGCGAGAATGCGCGACAACAACTGCAGTGTTCTCTGTCTGCCACTTGAGGAGTGACAGTGAACGAATGCCTCCCTCTGATCTCAACTTGAGAAGAGGGCCACGAAAGCTAGGGGAGAGGAAGCGTAGCTGCGAGCAATTGGGGCTGAGTAAGGCGGGGGACACATGTGACATGAGAGTACTGTCGAACGACACTGCGAAGGACCAAAAAGAACTGGAGCCAAGACGCAGCGCAAACGACAAACTTCAAACACAAGCAAACTCAGGGACCTTGTGGAAGGAGGGGGGGGGGGACCTGTGGGTAGGGGGGGGGGAGCCCCCCCCCCACCTTGTCCCACGCGCCGCAACCTTAAAGGTGGGGGGGGGAGGCGGGGGGAAACCACACCTTGTCTCTTCAAAATGCTTCATGAGCGAGGTGAGGGGGGGGGCGGCCCCTCCTCCCCCCCACCCCCCCACCTTAACTCTTGGACGTCCCACCTGATAAGGTGTAAGCCCTGGTTTTGCCCTAGTGCCTTAATACAAGGTAGACCAAGTGAAAATTGCTAAAGGGCAACTCCCGCGAGCTCAACAGAGCTAGCTTTCGTGAAAGATCTCAAAAGCACGACTCATGCCACAGCCGCGCTCCGCACATAATTGATCGCGCTGTGCCTTGTTCATTTCTTTCTCTCTTTCCGTTGGACATGAACGCTCTGTCTTTCTCGTCCGTCGCTCTCTCTTGCGTTGTGGCTTTTCAGGGCAGAGGGCTGCATACCGCAATCATACCGCTCAGTATGTCACTCCGGAGAGCAAGGGGGAGTGAAACATATATGAGTCGGCTTTTGGGCCAACAAAGACTTTTCAATGCATCGTCCTGGTCCTAGGTATCCGCAGCGTCTTGGCGGTCCTGCAGCCGCCGCTCATGCAAGCGGCGGGTCAGAAAGGCAACGTCTGCCTCACTCATGTCGCCCAAGGCCTCTAGAAGTCGAATGGAGGCTTCCTTGCCGACCGATGAATCGTTCTGTGCTGGACTGACCCGAACCCCCTGCGGCAGGTTTTCGCAACGTTGCCCCAATCTGTTTAAGAAAACGTACACATCTGTCCCAAAGCCTTCCATCGACTTCAACACGACGTCGCCTCCATAGTATCGCGCATGGAGTCGGGCCAGTGGCAGGCCGACACCGAGTGGCTTCTGCGGCTCTTCCGACCCTCTAAAGCGCTCTTCTGTACCAGTGGTGTAATAGCTCCATGCCGTTTGAAGTTCAGACCTTGGAATTCCACCGCCCTCGTCTGAAACTTTGATAGACACTTCGTCAGCTCCGTGGGCGAAGATCGCTCGGACTGGTGCTGGCCCGTCTCCGTACGATCCGTACTTTGAACCTTTTGCTCTCCACATACCGTGCGCTACCGGGAGAGTCGCCACGGCAGCTCGGCCAAGCGGCACAAATCCTGGCGGATTGTCCTCCTGCCCGGCGTGCAGTGCACTCGATGCTATGGACAATAAAAGTTCCTGCTGTTGCTGAAGTTGTCGTCTTTGCCATTGGCAGGCTACAGCGCGACATGCGTTGTGCAACAACTCGAAACAAATGAAATGTACATGACTCGGCACGTGAGTAACGTGGCGATTATGCAGCAAGTTGGGGCTGCTTGCAAGACTTCTGCCTGTTGCATAGGTACTTGCATGAGTCGCGTGGGTGATCGGGATCTCAGCGCCATCCCCAACAACCTCTACATCTGGGGCGATGCCTAGCTCTGTTTCAACAGCTTTGCGTGCCTCAGCTGCAGCACATCGAAGAATCTCTCCAACCCCAACATCACTTCGTATAATGCCAGAGGAATCTGGAACCACCTTTGCAGCTTCAATGTGGTGTTGTATTAAAAAGCGAAGTCCAATGCGCTTGATAAAGAATCGGTCCAAAATCAGATCCACCTCAGGCCGAACTTCTTCATAAGAGTTTCCAAGCATCGACTTTACTTCCAGCACAGCCGTTCCAATGGATCGGGTCACGTCTGCACTGTCTTGGAGTATTTGTTCGAGCAGCTTCGTGAAGTCTTCATCGTGGCTCGATTGCCGTGGTACCGGAAAGGCCGCCAGCCAATCTACATAGCTGCTGAAGCAATTTACGACGCGGCCAATTCCTTGTGTCTGTGCCAAGCCAAAAGGAAGAAGAAGGAGCTCCTTGCACAACTGTGCATTTCGAATCGCCACCTCTTGATGGATAAGCCGGGCAAGGTGCAAACGATCCTGCCCAGTACCACGGCCCAAGCGGTATAGCTCCTCCAATGGAAATGCTCTGCAGCTTTTCCGGGCAAAGTCTTCAATGCGACGGCTCAGGGTTGGAATGGCAGCACCGGCCATCGGGCTAACATGTCGTGGCGGCGCAATCACGTGACCAAGTGCAGTCGTAGACATCTCAAGCTTCTACGTTCATGCTGTTGCTTTGCAGCTACTGCTTTCGAGATCAATTTTGTTTCGACGTTGAGAATGGACCTTCAGAGAGCACAAGGTGCCAAGGACAGAGGCAGTCAAACTGCAGAGGCAAAGCTGCAGTGCGGACACTGGCGGCTAAAGCCAACTCAGGAACATAGGGCTGACGGCGTGACATGCTTCCCGCTCATGCGCCATGAGCAGTAAATAGTTTCGTCGTGTTTGGGAGCAAGCCACTGGCCACCGTAGCACGACTGCAGGTTCTGCTCAGTTCTATAGCAAAGGATCCAAGTCAACCTGCAACCTTTCCGGCCTTTACCTATGTCATAAGCCAGCCCAGGGTCAGGTTGCACGTCCATGCCAAGTTGGTGAGGGGTTTACTTACGCTCTGGCACTCGAGATATGCGAAGTTGCACTTTGTCTGGGCAAATCTTGGTTCGGGGAGGGCAGCTTCTGTGTTTCAAGCGGGTGGAAGCCGAAGGTTTCAAGCACCCGGCCGCAGGTTGGGTTCATTTCCGTCGCAAAGGAGCGCGGCCACCTGCTGTGGAGCAAACCTCTCCAGTACCGGCCAGTCTGCGAATCTGAGAGTCCGGCAGACGCAACAGTGGCGGCACCTGTGCTGGAGTCGTACGTCACCCCATACCCCAAACATGAACCGAGTCAGTCCAGTCTTCTTGGTTGACCTTTGATGCTAGACACTCTTTCCATGTTAGAGGAGGTGTGGTCTTGAAATCAGTTTAGTTTGTTGCGCCACTTCTTAAAGAACACTCTCCTGCCGGGTATATGCTGTGAGAAGTATTGGACTCTGTTCTGTAAGCCGCAGAAAACCGACGATCGAGCTCAACTGTCTGCGATGTGCAAACGGTCACGTCAAGCCTGGCAGCTTGAAGAGGTCCACGAATTTGCCTTCCAAATTCGTTCGCCACTGCGCCTGTGCTGGGAACACAAACTTCATGGCTTCACAGTGCTGCACTTCAAGCCAACGCTTGGACAACTTGCCGCAGGCAATCATCATGCTCCACGGTGAAAGGCTGGCTCTCAAAGCCACACAACCAAAACCAAAAACTATTGGCCCGAACTGTCGGCGTGCAGCAGGGGCCTGGATAATGTTGACCACACACCGCAGAACTCCATTGATCTGGAGCAGTGCCTGCGGGAAACATGAGACAAGGCTCACGCCTCGTATCGTCATGTTTTGGCTATTGCCGAGGGACTGCTCAAAAACCGTAGCATTAACGCCACTTATGAACATGCCAAAATGAAAGATGCAACATGATGCAACAATAACAATGCAAGGTATCAAAGAGTGTTTTCAAAAAAACGTGGAAAGGAAACAACAACTGTCTGGATATATACACTTCATTCAATGCACAGTATGCCGATTTTGAATACCAACTTGATTTGCCATTTCCAAAAATGATTTAGAAGCGCAAAACCACAGAATAGGCTTATTGCTTCTTGATCTATTTTCCCAAGCAACCTGAGCACGTCACGGCTGGGATCATGGAGGCACTAAACTAACAAAATCCAATGGAAGCCCACGCTTATCTATTCTGATGAAGGGAATCTCAATACTCTGGATCTTTTTGACTTTTTCAAGGACGCAGGAACTCGGACATTCAAAAACATGTTGTTCAAAGGCTGATGCAAATGAGAAAAAGGGAAAAAGTCAATGTACACCTGGTTGGTTACATCCCCGAGATCGTGCTAACATGGAACAAAAAATTAAATGGTTCCTCTGCACATTGACATGACTCCAAACGATGCCCGCAAGAGGGGGAACCGTTTTGATGTTAAGATGAAGCTTGAGATGAATAGGAGGAGAGCCCGCAAACATCCCCCTGTTAGGGTTGCCTATGAGGTCAAAACTTATCATGAGAAGGGGATCAGTGACAAAGAAAGAACCAGTTCGTGGTCGGCAAACAAGTTTACGATTGAAAGGATAGGACGAAAGCTTGGGCAATAATACTATTGTGTTGAAGGTATGTCTCGTGCATATTTGCCCGTCGGAATTTCTGAAACTGTCACAAGTGTGCAGGGTGTGGCGATGTACGCACTGAACTGTCACACGCGCTTGTTCTTCCTCGCTGGCTCCTGTGCGCTGTCGGCCGGCTTGGGCTTCAAGCAGTTGGACCAGCCCGCCAAGCAAATTCCGGGCTTCTGCGCCCGTGACTATGATTGTCTCGGAGATGGTTTGTTCAGCTTCTTCAAAGGTGATGTTCACGAGGTTTGGCAGCAACACCACACCCGTCAATTCTCGGACTCCCAAGTCATCACGCAGACGCTCCTGGCAAACGATGTCATTCATCTTCTGAACCTTATCCGTGCTTCCATCATGTCGCTGGTGCCTCCGACATCAACCAAATGCAGGGCACCTGTGTCACCCTTGAACAAATTTCCGCGCACGAGCGGTTGCCTTCTGCATAATAAAGCGTAGCTTGCTAAATAAGCGTGTTCCAACACCCTCCCTGCAGTCACTGCTGCCTTGGGGTTCACTTCAGCACACTTTTGAAGCGACTTTGACAACGACGATGCAGCTTGTTGGCAGGGTCTTTCGGGGAACAGTCAGTATTCCTTGCAATGCAACCACCGGTGGAAAACGCTGCTCTCGTACTCTCTTCGACTGCTCCTTGGTGCCGCAAAGCACATCTATCAAGTGCTCCGATTCCTCTGCTGCGTCAATCATGCACTTTTGATTGCATTCTTCGATGCAGTTCCCAAGCCTCTTGACGGCTTCACTCCCATTCGCCAAAATCTCGTTGAGCTTTTTCAACAGCTCGTCAACCTCACTTGTCTCGGCCGGCTTCAAACACGGGACAGCCAGGCAAGCAGTTTGACAAGCCCGCCAAGCAAATTCCGGGCTTCTGCGCCCGTGACCATGATTGTCTCGGAGATGGTTTGTTCAGCTTCTTCACAGGTGATGTGCATGATGTTTGGCAGCAACACCACACCCGTCAATTCTCGGACTCCCAGGTCATCACGCAGGCGCTCCTGGCAAACGATCATCTTCTGAACTTTTTCCGTGCCTTCATCATGTCGCTGGTGTCTCCGACATCAACCAAATACAGGGCACCTGTGTCACCCTTGAAAAAAAATGTCCGCGCATGGCTGGATGCCTTCTGCATAATATAGCGAAGCTTGCTTCAGCCCTGCAATTTTGGCAGAGTCCAGACTGTTGTTGTTGCATGTTGTTACCCTCAAAAATATAGCCTGGCTGGACGCCTTTGCATTGGAAATCGACCACCTGCTCGCCAAACGTGACTTCCGCGAGCTTGTAGGACCGTAAGACTTGCAGGCAAGCACCCATGACTAAGCGTGTTCCAAACCCCTCCCTGCAGTCACTGCTGCCTTGGGGTTCACTTCAGCACACTTTTGAAGCGACTTTGACAATTTGTTGGCAGGGTCATTCGGGTCACTATCATGCATAAGCACCTCCAGTGGAGCAGTCAGTATTCCTTGCAATGCAACCACCTGTGGAAAACGCTGCTCTCGTACTTTCTTCAACTGTTCCTTGATGCCGCAAAGCAAATCTATCAAGTGCTCCGATTCCTCTGCAGCGATTGCAGTCTTCGATGCAATTTTCAAGCCTCTTGACGGCTGCGCCCTGATTCGCCAAAATGTCGCTGAGCCTGTTCAACAGCTCGTCAACCTCACTGTCATTAAAGTGCAAGCCGGCAAGCAAGCGTTTCTGGAGAGCAAGCTCAATGGTCACTCGTAAAGTCGCAACACGTAGCAGAACTGCCTTATCCATCAAATCCAAAAACACATCTGCAAGCGCTCATCCATGATTGTTTGACATTGGGCAGAAAACATGCGATTGGTCTCGGGCAGGTTCTGAAGACCTTTGACCTGGCAATGGTAGTATGTCAGTGTAGGTGGCCAAGACCTGGACACTGGGAGCTCTGCAAGCACTCTCAATGCGCCTCGTCGAAAATCTGGATCTGGGCACATAGCCCTGTGCTCATCCACATGCAACAAAAGCACACCTTTCGGACTGCGCTGCATGAAGGTGGAGACATCCTCTTGCAGAACTTTCGCTGTTGCCTTGAAGCTTGGAATGGTGTCTGGTGGATTCCAAACATCTACAGTATGTATTCCCCTTCAGAAATTTGTGCCCTCGAGCAATCCCGCACGTAGCACGCGCCTAAGGCTGGCTCTGGCCACATGCACTCACCAAGAGCTCCTCATCATCCACATATTTGCTATGGAAGTTTCCAGCATTTTTTGAAAAGGGCATCTACGAGTAATGAGCGAATTCCAATGCTTTGCCACCAATAATGCCTTCTCTGGATCTAAGAAAGCCCACCAACACAGAGGCCGACTTGCCTGAACGGGAGGAGGCAGCGATGTAATCTACCGTCGACCGAACGCTGCGCCAACTCACAGCTCATCTGCTTGGCAAAAAAATCCAAATCAACAGCTGCGACGCAAAAAGGCAGTTGGTGCAATGCAAGAGGTTTGCCCCGTCGAAGTTCGCGCACTGGCAAGGCGGTCTCATATGTTGCATAATCCTTCAACCGGGGCACGGCATCTGTTTGCATGCTCTCTGCGAAACACCCCCGCAGCTTGCGATTGATACCACCAGGTTGACACCACCATCCAGTGTCGCTACAGCTATCTGGACAGCATCACGACGATGTGGAATGACATGACTCACAAATCCTGCTGGAATCCAGCACGCGAGGAGCAACAACAAAAGCACTGCTGAAAGTCCGCGTAGCCGCTGCTTCTGTGCACGGTCGTGCTTCATGGCAACACGATGCTGCAGGCTTGCCACATCTAAAGTTCAATGGGCAAACAATGACGCTGCTGACTTGTGACATCCGACTGAAACAACACATTGCATCAAACGAATCTCGATAGGTGAGTGAATCTGAGGTGAAAAGCATGTTGCTGATCGTGACCAGCATATTGGAAGCAGTGCGAAATTACAAGCCAGCCTTGTTCATTAGGAATTGTCGAACTGTTGAGACTGTGGTGAAACGACCTTACCTTGCAGGGGATGTCTTGGGCTGTTGATGTAGAAATATGAGGCAGTTGCGACGGCTTTTTAGGTTGTTGCTCCGGAAGTCTGGGGCAGTTGCAGTGGATTTCTGGGGCTGTTGCGATTGTTGCTGCGTCAGTGGCAGCTGTCGCCCATGTTAGTTGGAGCGGTCACCCTTGTCAGTTGCAACTGTTTACGTCTGTTGCAATTGCAGACATCAGCACATCAGCCACGACAGTGAACATCTATCTAACATAGTTGAGTGTTTTGAAGAGCTGGGTGATGAGCTATATACGACGTTACAGTGACGTTACGTACTATACAAGAATAAGTAGTTCTCATGTTTTGCTTACACGCATGCAGCGGGTGGTTGTCTTTGATTTGCGCCTATACCATACCCCTGTCGTATTTCCATCTGTTGCCTCTTGTCATACGGTTTCTGCATTCCTGGACATGACAAGAACTGGCTAACCAGCAGACCAGCACAAAAGACGCACGTTAGCCGAGGCACTTGCCTGCCACAAGAGGCGCTCTTAATGCCCTGTGGGCCTGCAAGGACTCCAAGACTTCGCTCTCCACTTGCTGCGCGTTGACGAGGATGTACTCAAGCCTCAATTCGCTCGCGGGAGCGTAGCATGACGAAACCACTTGCTCTCACGTCAGTACATTCTACAGACTGCTCAAGAGCGGAGAAGTAACCCTCCCCGCGAGCCAGTGTGCAAGAACTGGAAAACAGGAGTCGCAGTATGCAGTGGGGGGCCCGCATGTTATGTGAAAGAACCTCTCCGGCAAATTCCAGCAATATTTGCCAGCATACGCACCAGGATCACCAAGTTTCCGCTTAGTTTGGCCTTCGTTGGAAAAGAATTGCCTCATTTGCGGGCCCTCTAGGCTCAGTGCATCCCCGAGTACTGCTGTATAAAGCATGGATGATAAGCTCTTTGAAGAGGCTCAGCTCCAAACTACGTTGTTGTTTTGTTGTCTGCGTGTCGTTTCTCCACGAAAAAAGCGAATTTTACGTACCTTTTCAAAAGTAAGCATAGTGGCAGAGTATGTGATGCCGTTTTGCACTCATGGGGTGCAGAGTCTGTAGAGGGTTGGAATGCCAGGTGCTCTTTCAAAGTTGGGGCAAAACTGGCATCATTTCTCGTACTCGCTTCTTCTTCTCCTCCCACAGGAAACGATGTAGCAGAAACCGAGCAGGGGCGTGCCAAGACTCTGTCAAGACTGAATGATGGCGCAGGAATATTACACAATCCCAGCTGAAGCAACGGAAAAGGATCTCAGCATGAACTACTGTAAGTAATATAATCTATGCCGGGCCAGAGGGCACACCACCCTTTCCCGTCCGCGCACACCTGCAGTTCTATGCAGGTCTTCGGTGCCAGCGGAGAGTTCGCTTGACATGCTAGATTCAGCTAGGTCATGCTAGGCCCATCTGCTTCCCCTTCTCTCCACTGGTTTTGCTTTCTGTCTCTGAGTTGTTAGCTGGAGGCAGGACAACGACTTTTGAGGAGTCTCCGTTGTGCTGTCGCGCAGAGCCCATGAAGGTTTTAAGACTGTTTTAAGACACAAGACACCGAGAGCCCGCAATGGACAATTGCAATGGCCCGCTTCCAGGGCACAGCCAGCGCGACTGAAACCATCAAATCGAGCTCGGGTTTCTTCGGTAGGGCAGTTCGACAACAGCAAGTGGCGTCAAAGAAGCCCCCGCGCTGGGACCAGGTCTGGAGTTCTGCGCCATTCTTCTTCGATTCTCAAGGAAGATGACGCAACCGCATGGCTTGTTGGCTTGGCTGGGTTTGAGCAAGTCCGCGTTCCGCTGTTTTGCGCGTGCTTTAGCCCAAAAGCCATGCCCACACCAAAAAGGGTTCAACAAGCACGTGCGAAGCAGAAATCGCTTTGCTGGGCTCGAAGCTTGCTGAGGATGGTCATGAGCGATGAAGGAAATGCAAAGCTGCTTTCTGCTTCTGCCGCCTGCCCAAACCCTCAGCAAAATACGAACACTCACCTGGAACACGGATACTGCCTCGCCTTCAATGCTGAGAACTCTTTTTGGAGGTCCTGCATTTGGAGAAGAACCCTGGGCCCTGTCACGCCGCAACAGCGAAACATAGCACTCCTCCGAGACGTTTGCAACATACTCCATGAGCTTTCTGCCGTGAGTGCTGTCCATGCCAGCCTCGTGCCTCGGACTTGGCTACCGATGCAAGTGGACGCTCTATTGACTCTAGTACACTGGTAGCACACCAGCAATGCTGCACCATTTCTGAAAGAGGTGAAGAATTTCCAAAGGGCCTTTCTCCTCGAGATTGAGATGGAGTTCCACCTGACAATGGGACTTCGGAAAGCAACGGCAACATTTACCGCTGCAGCAGCTCAAGAGGATTACCTCATAAACTTGCCGGTGCAGCGACCAACAGACCGCAACGCGAGGCGAGTTGCTTCAGCCATGCGCTGAATCTCCTGGGTCCATCTGGGGCATGCAGCAGCCTCTCTGCTGCTTCCTAGTCCGGAGCTCCCTAAAGTTGATTTGCAGCTCAGCAGCTGCATGGCTGCGTTCCGGGTATGAGTGACGGTGAAGTAAGGCAAGAACGGGGCAACCCCAGCAAATACCATTGCTTAGATTCTGCACTGCCCAAAGCATTGGCGAGAGACCTGGCTCTGTGGGTAGTTGCGGCGCTCGTGGTGCAACAGTCGCATTGCCTGCACGAATCTTGACGCTCTGGGTGGAGACCACATTAGAAGCTGCGTACCCACGTTGAATTCCATCAACACAGACAATTTACTGATCACATTAGGCATTCATCGTGTAAGTGTCTGCAAGCCAGCGCCTTGCCCCAGGCACTGCAAATATTGGAAGTCTGATTTTGTGGCTACCATTCTTGATACAAGAATCTACAAGAATGACTATGCAATCTAAAAAGGACAGGATTACAATACAGGACTCGTTGTCATCGCCCCATGCACGGGCCATTGAGCTAGCCGCTGGAACAAGCAGTGCCTCTGACATCCGGTTCATCGCATGCAGGGCACGGCCCAGTCGCCTAAGAACACCATTGGTCAGAGCCGGCACGACAGGAATCTCACAAAAGGCCGGCGTTGATATGCCTCCCAATACCACATTTAAGGCATGTACAGTACCGTTTTCTGGTGAAGTTGTCGCAAGCTTTCGCTGTCTCCTCGCATCCATCACATCTGTCCCAACCCGTGCCATCAACTCTCATCTTGTTCTACTCCGATGCACTCGACAAAGGCAATAGCCTGTTGCCGTTGCGAAGGAGCGGATGTACTTAAGAGCCTGGCGATTGCGTCAAGAACGGCTGTGGCACTTTCGGAATCGATCTGGAACAAAGGCGGCCTCATCAGCATCATCAGCCGCACCACGAAAGTCCTGGCAAGTTGCCGTATCCTTCTTTGTGGCTGCCAGAAGCCCTCCACACCTGGAATCGCATACGCGCTTCCGAACGGTTTGACAAGAGAAGTGCATAAGGCCTTGCTTTCAGAAGCCATCCAGCAATACGCTGGCACCCAGCAGCAACAGCTTGGATCCCTGCTCTGCATGTTCCTCTTGGTCAATTCCTGTACAACTTCTCAGAGCAGACCAACACAGACCAACAATTTCAATAGGACTCAAACTCCGGTGCTTGCTGGATAAGGGGCGTGCCACACTTCAGTGCCTGCGATTGCAAGCATGCTCTTCGCACGACACTTTGGAACTCTGAGCCCGCAGAAGAGAGTGGTGCTGATGAATCTGCTTCCGAGGCAATTCCGGAGTGCCTGAGAGTACCATAATTCCGCATCCTGCCACTTGCGCTGGCTGAAAGCTCGATTGCCCCGGTCCTGCGCTGCAAATCTCAACAATTGCAGGTCGGGGAATGTGGGCGTCCTTGAAAGTCCGAGCGGCTGCCACCTCTCAGGCTGCTCACATTCAAAAACAATGCAAAGCGTCGTCGTGGTGAGGTCTGGAAAGCACGGTGTACAATCGAACCGCGTGTCTTGCGTGGCATCAGTCCATATCAGTCGCCTCTGTCCTCAAGCATGAGGCCGTGACATTCGGCCCATCACGTGGTCTGACTGATGGATGTGCATTGAGAAGTGGGCATCAATCAACACCACACTCCGACTGATCAAACAAAGGATTTCATTCCAGGCTGGCAGGGCTTCCATGTTGGATTTCCGACACCTCCGGAAAGCTCAATTTGATACTATTAATCGGCGAGCTGTCGCGGAACAGGAACCTGCTTTGAGGATAAAGAGAATCTTTGCTCCGCAATTATCTGCCGGGTCATGCTTTGCATTGCTTTGCGTCAAGCTGAGAAAGAAACATCATGTCGCATGTCATATGCGGGCCTTCGGTTTCGCATCCCTTGGACGCCTCCGCTGTCGAGCTTTGCAGCAAGCTATTCTTGAATCGCGGTGCATCAGGATCGGAAGAGGGGACAGTTGAGCTGCTATGGGGCAGTCGTTAGTTACTGTCAGCTTCTGCACCGGATGTGGGAAATGCTTAGTTTGCATCTGCGCGTACTGTGCTCTAAGCTGTTTGGCGCCGCGGAGCGTGCGGCTTAAAGGCCTAAAGCTTCGGCTGCGGCTTGAACAAGTGCTGAAAACACTGTATCCTCTCGGCTAGAGAGCGCATCTCAAACAAGTAGAAGTTGTCTGCTGGGTCTCCTGCTGTCTTTGCTGGTGTGACAGGCCACTGGCGGACTGGCGGCCGCTTTTTCAGGTCGTTCACAGCAGCGAAACCCATCCGTTCCGAAAAGTTGTTGGCATGGAACTAGTGGGGAGATTCGGTATGTGCACGAGGACAGGTCTGCACGGAAGCCATGGAGAGAAGGGATCAAAATGCAAGGGTTCAGCTTGTTGTGCTTCTGCAGGGTTGAGCATGATGATGGCCAGGAATCTCGCGATTGCTTGCTGCGATTGCTTGCTGAGTCGGGGCTTCCGGCTTTGAGGGACTGTACTGAACTGGTACAAACGAGCGAGCAACATGACCAGCCACACAACACCACACTGACCAAGCAGGCGACACTGAAGCTCGCGCTGGGGTGAGTGAGCAAGAGGCTGCTGCCGAATGTCGCATATAAACCCCTCCGGCCGAACATCAGGGTCACTCCTCAACGAACTCTTGCGAATCACAAAGTGCTGTCCCGCACATGACTTCCCAAACCGTGGCCGGAAGCTGTATCAAGCCGGCCTTCTCTGTTTCTGGTACCTAGTTGTTTGCGGTCGAATTCGGTTAAATGTGAAGCATTTACCTTCGGAAGGTTTGGGTAGCAACTGAACAGAAGTGAGCTCTTTGCTTTTGGATTGTAGACCGCTGTATCCGCTGTAGTTCTACATGGGCATCTCCAGCTTCTGCTTGCGACACTGCGCACGAAGCGGATGCATGCTGCTGGTGCCTTGGAGTAGTAGCGTATGACAGGTACAGGCTCAGGGGCCGTAAAAGCCTGGCAGCAAAACATCTGGCTGGAGGTGCAAAGGACTGGGCGAGGCAGACTCGCCATGGCCTGCCAACCCAAAGTCGGGGCCGAGAGATCATCGCATTTCACACCATAGAGTGGCCGTCGCTCGGATACGCTGCCGATGACCCAGCTATACACCTGACGAGGCATCCGATTTTGAGGCGAGGACAAAAGCACAGCAAGGCGCCTCTGGCGACCCATGGGCTTCTCGGCTCAAGACCAAGCCATTCCTCTTGAGTTTTGAAGCAGGTAGCGCTCCCTCTCTCGCTCTCTCTCTATCTACACACACACACACACTGACTGCATCTGATACCGACAAGTGCCGAGCAGCGATGTGTAAACATTTGAAGAGAATCCAAGGATCTGGCTGATTCTGGTACAGCGGAACACCGTTCCGCTCATCACCTGTGGGAAAGTACTCGCCGATTGCCTCCGGATCGCCTGCTTCTTTCACCCAGTAGTGGTGCATGACCTCGGCAGTGTTGCCAGTGGTCAGGCCCATGTGAACACCAGCGTGGACCCGGACCGAGTCTGCAGGTCTTCGCTTCTCATAGGCCTCCACAGCCATCTTGATCTTGAGCTCCTGAAGCCTCTGCCGTAGGAAGAGGTAAGCAAGTTGAAACTCGACATTCCGGCGTAAGCAGGCCTACCCCCCGAACCAACAAGTCTCCCAAGTGCAATTCAAGGAGGCAGATTGTTTCTCTGAACCATCTTAAGAGCACCTCCATTTCACTCAGTATTTGCGGGACTATCGTAATGTCCTACCACTTACTTGTTGTCTCAAAATCCACGTGTCGACTTTGCAAGCTCGAGCTTCGGCTTTTGGAAGGGTTCGAGGGGTGGTGGGGTAAAGGGGGGGAATGACGGCGCGTTTGCGCACACATGCCCATTTTACTCGATATTTACAATACTTGTCACAGTGCAGCCACATGCCCTGAAGAGAGCAGACCGACAAAACTCACTCTCCTTTTTTCACCACACGCCGAGATCCGTGAAGTGGCAGATCAGATCAAAATTCCGAGGGACCCAGCGCAAGCATAGCTCAGAGAGGTCCGAAGACCGGTCAGAAATACGCCAACTCCCCCCTACGGATTGATCCAAGGGGAATTTCACAACTCTCAATCCGGTCCGAGAGTCCAAGAATAAACGTGCCCCGAGAGTCCGCGAGGAGTAGATACCCCCCAATGCTCCAAAAGGTCAGGGAAATCGGTGGTAATCAGCGCCTGAGGCAACCGTACCCGCGGAGGATCCCTGTCAGTAATGGCAGGCCAGGGTGCCAGAGGCAGCCGTTGGTCAAGCAGGACCAGATTTGAGGGAAAGAAGTTTATCCAGGACCATCCAGTTCGGGGTTCAAGATACCGAGACACCCTTTCTACGGCAAGGGGAGAACCCTTCAAAGTTAAAATGTGTGAGCTGATCTGCCCACGTATTGGAACACCTCTTGACATGGGTGACATGAGCAAACATACCCCTATGAAACTCCTGGGCCGCGAGTTCCATGAGCAAGGCCGAGCAATGCCACTTCTTGGAAGATCTCTTGCTGGCAGAATTGGCATTCCCTTCGTTGTCTGTAGTGAGGGGAGGGTGTGCCTGAAGCATACTCGGTCCAATGGTCTCAGCCACCAACAGGAAAAGGACCAAGGAACCTAAAAGTTCCAACGTTCTGATCCGACGCTTCACCGAAGTGTGTGTGTGTGTGTGTGTGTGTGCTAGCAAGGCCTGGACCCAGGGGGTCTTCTTGACATCCCGGGAGAACCAGTAAACCTCTTCCTTCGCGGGATTGGGCATCGTCGAGAACCAACCCCCAATGGCCACACGATTGTCATCCTCCCCTGCGTCGCTGCTCCCATGGCAGGGGGAGTTGAGCTGAAGGCGTAGGGGAACAGAAGGACCAGCATCCAGGATGGAAAGGAGAAGGGTGGCCAGGAAACGTACAAGATCACCTGGCCGACATTTCCGCTCCAACTTCTGCTCCCAAGCGTGAAGAGGTTGGAGATGTGGGCTCACCTGCGGGTAGGCTTTCGCTACCCACTGAAGCTTGCCAAGAAGGGAGGTGATTTCCTTTCTGATGTGAAGCTCACCTTCCTCTAATTTCTGAAGCGCTGGTCGGATGATTGACATTTTATCTTCCGGGAGCCAAACCGGTCCCTCAGAGATGTCCATCATGTAGCCCAACCAGCAGTTCTGCTTACCCAAGACATTCTTATGCCAAGAGATTGGGCAGCCCACCAGAGTGAGGAAGAGCATCAATGTAGCCGCGCCAAGGTCCCCGAGCCTCCTTCATGAGTGCCATGAAGTCGTCGACGAAGACCAGCAGCCAGAGGAAGATGTCAGAGACGTGGTAAGACAGCCGGGTGAGGATCGCCGCCAAGCGGCCCCAGTAGAGCTGTGCCGAGGCCACCCCATATATGCCAACCTTGTTGGCCCAATACTGCTTTTTGATTTTGGCCACCATGTACTTCCAGTGCTTCTTGAGCACCTTAACCCTGCGCTGAGCCTTGCTGACGTCTGATTTGGAGAGCGTGAGGCCCAAATCACCAAGGTGGAGTTTGGCAAAGAGGAGATCATAAAGCATGGGAGCGGTTGTCTTCTTGTCCGTGTTGGCCCTGATGTTGTCATTGACACCAATGACAGTGGCATCGAAAATGGTTCTGATCTTGTCCAGTTTTCCTGGGTCCCTGCCATGGCCCCAACACAGAGTTCCGGGATCGAACAACCGCAGAGGGCCGCAGCCTCTTGCTCTGTGAGGGGCCTTCCACCAGGAGTTTTTCCTTCCAAGAAGGTGGCCTCAATGGTGTCCTCAAACACCTCTGCGCTCGGGTAGTTCTCCGCCGCAGAAGGTACTGGTGGTTCTAAGTCACCTGGAGCATTGCCGAGCTCCTGTTTTGAAGGCCAAATGTCCGGGTCGGTCAAGGTGGGGCCCGTCTACTCCCAATGGCACACCTTCGTACAAGTTCTTGACACAGTCCTTGTCCGGGTCCCCCGACAGCTCCACCATGGCCTGTAGACCAGGGCGAAGGGGTCCAGAGGTAACCTCAGTGCAAACAGGTTTCTGGAAGAGATGTGAGAGGCGTTTTGCCAATCCCAATAGTCTGGCCATGGGCACCCGTTCCGGAACATGCGTGACTCCCCGAGGTGAGAACCTCCTTGATCCAATTGCCAATCCAGGCATCCCGAAAAGGGCGTGAACGGTGGCCTGCCGGACCGTCAGAGTCCGAGCCTCCATGGGACCAGAGGGCCCCCACCAATTCCAGGTTGAACTGCCAACCCCACCTGGCCTCGACCACCATGTCGGGTGGCTCGGATGCCTGCACCTGAGGCCATCCCAATCCAGCGGAAGGTTGGTGAGAACTGATGTGGGCTTCCTTGCACAATGTCCTAACATGCACTGGTCAAAGCAGTGTATCTTCATACGAGACAGGCCAGCGAAGTCCTTGCACTGGGTGGTAGCCCACCATGAAGAAGAGGACGTGTGGGCCTCCGAATTGCCAAAATCAGATGGGTTCGCCGGATGTTCCAGTGGGCCAGACCTGCCTGACCACACCTGGGCAGCCTTTCCCGGCACGAAGTCGCAAGAAGGACCAGGTCCTGCAATTGGGACCCCAGGATAGCCATGAGGTTCCCCGAAAGCGCCAGCTTGCAAAGGCCCGCAAAGACCGTGTCATCAAGGATATTGTGCAGCTTTTTGCAAATGTCCATTTCCACCACGAAGTCCGCAAAGTGGGGGATTTCTTGGCGAATGGCTGCTTTGGTGCTCCTGGTATCTGTTTGTCAAGCGTGATCCGCAGCCCGTGGTTCTTCTCACAAGTCTTGCCATTGGATAACCGGATAACCGGGCAGTTGGGGGACCTTCCGCAGTCTCCCGGGCAGCGATTGAAGGCATGGTACTTCTTGCAAAAATCCTTGCTATCCGAGGAAGTCGTTGCGCACTCCAGAAGGGAAGTCTTATGACGTACCCCCACCGGAGAGGGGGGGGGCTGATGGTTGGTTGGCAGAGTCATCCGCCCGTGTGGCCCAATTCCAGTGCCCTTCCATGTGCGGTATCCCTTGCCTTTCCAAGGGTCCCACTGCTTGGCCAGCAGCTGCAGAGTTTTGCCCTTGGCTTTGCCTCTGCCTTTTCCTCTCCTCGGGTGCAAGGGCTGGGACCTGCGAAGGCAGAACTCATCAATCTCCATGGACCAGAAGCGGGAGTTATTCTGAATGTCCTTCAAGGCCCCAGAGATCGTCGGGGTCTCATCCTTTGCCATGTTGAGAGCCAAGAGTCTCCAGGCCTTTCTTTCTGCCGTCATCAAGACAGAGAGGGAAGGTGCCGGGTCCCGGCCCATAATGGTGTCCCCAAACAAGAAGCTGTAGAACTCATCCAAGTCAGCTTTGGTGAGCTGTATGGAAGATGGCCCCGTGCAGGTAGCCACCACCATAAGGAGAGACGTTCTCCAGATCATCAGGACCCGCTTCCACTGCTTCTCAGTTTGGACCCGATTGGCCTCCTCATGGATCCATTCCACATCCTCTTTAGTCTGGCGTTTCTGGAACTTGACCTCACCGTCCTTGCGGTGGTTTGCCATGACCTTGTTGAGATCCAGCTGCGGGCCCGAGCAAACTTTGCCAAGTACGCCGCACGCATCTCCTGGCGGTCCCCACGACCAATGATGGCCTTGTAATCCTCGACCGAATGGATGTCCACCTCGGCCAGCTTCCTCTTCTTCAGCAACTTGAACTGCTCGATGGCATTCTCCAGGCGGATGGAGGCGAGAACGCTGGTGTCATCATCGTATCCGTTCTGGCCCGGCTTGAATCCAAGCTTGGGGGCTTTCTTGCGAAGTTCCCCTTCTTCCCAACGCCCAGCCCAGTCTTGGGCCGTGACAAAAGCTTGCGATGCCATGACGTAGAGCACTAGCCAGGGCACCTGGTGCCGTGCCAAGACCAACCTCACATTCTCATCAATTTTTAGGACCTCCGTCTTGTAAACATCAGGACAGGAGTCCGGCGGACGGCAGACCGTCAACTTGCCATCAACCTCACCTTCCGGTCGATCTCCCATATTCGGTGCCGAGTTCCAAGAGGCCCTTCAGGAGCGCGAGGGCGGGCAAGAAAACCAGAAACCCGAGACAACGAGCCGAAGGGAAAACCAGAAAGCACCCCGACGTGCCTATGATCCAAAATGGCCGCACGGCCCGACGACATCCGGAGGCACCCAAGTGCGCACAAGCAGCTGGCTTGGCCCTATGACATGCGAGTTGATAAGTGCAAGCACGGATTCCTCTACACTTGTAATGTCCTATCACTGCTTGTCGCCTCAAGTATTCCTTTGTCTACTTAGCCAACTCGAGCTTCCAAAACCCTGGGTTGACAAGCGTGATTGCTAGGTGGGGGGTGGCTAGTAGTCGCCGTCGTCGTCGTAGTATGTCGTAGTAATACCACTGCTCGCTGCCATTGAGGAGCCAATCAATGCATTGAATGCATTGCCGGCTTGACACTGGGTCGCTCATGAGCGGTTGTGCATTGCATGCAAAACAAACACTAGTAGTAGCAATACCAGCAGCAGGAGCAGTAGCAGCAGTAGCAGTAGCAGTAGTAGTAGTAGTAGTAGTAGTAGTAGTAGTAGTAGTAGTAGTAGTAGTAGTAGTAGTAGTAGTAGTAGTACAACTCCTACTCCTACTCCTACTCCTACTACTATTCCGACTCCGACTCCGACTCCTGCTCCTGCTCCTGCTCCTGCTCCTACTCCTACTAGTACTCCTACTCCTACTCCTACTCCTACTGCTACTACTACTACTACTTCTACTACCCGCACTGTACTGGTACTACTGTTCCTGCTGCTACTACGACTACGAGTACGAAGACCAATACGACAGCGACGACGACTACGACAACAACCGCCACTACCAGTACCACGAAGACTACTACTTTGCTTTGCGTGCACAACGGCTCGACACGGCGATTTTCGATGTATTCGAGCTTGTGGCCTCATAACAGCGTGTGTTGTTCGTAAAGTTGAGGACCATGAGTCTTGTTCATTGGCACCGTTTCAGAATGTTTTTTTTGTTGCACTGCAGCAGACCATGCACGTCATTACAGTGCGGGCACGGATGCGCTCTTCCCAAGTCTCACAGACCACAGGGACGTTATTCCGGTGCCGGCATGAATGCTCTCTTCCCAACTCGTACTAATAAACGTTATTGCGGTTTGGGCATGTCCATTCCTTTCCCAAGTCGTCATCATCGCGCAAGCATAGAGGCATAGATGCTCAAGCCACTCGCTTCCGCTGGTAGCAAAGACGTCATTATCGTGGAGGCTTGGATGGTCCGGTCACTCAATTTCGCTGGTCGCATGGACGTTGTTATTATCAGGGAATGCTCTCCTCAGTACTCCTGGTGATAGACTGTCGAGAACCTAGACAGGATTCGGCAAGTTTCCATGTCTGATATACACCAAATTAAGTAAGGTCCCTCTTCCTTTCTATATGGGTGCCCTACCATTTTCGGGACCCAAAAAGGGACCCTATTTAGAGAACTTCCCATCTTATTACGTGCTTAATATGGCATCGGATGTTGTTCACGCGATCTGGATCTGCATCATGAAATGCCTGCCTGTCGACTTGTTGTGAACGACCAGTCTCCTGCATTGCATGGCAGGACAAGATCAATCAGCAAAGCTCAGTATGGTTCAAAGCAGCTGCGGCCTTTGCATATACCTGGTCCATCGTGATGACTGGCTCCTTTGCCACTTCTCGTTCATAGCGTTGGACTTCATCCTCTCAGAGTCAGCGAGAGTGTGGCGGGATCAAGTTATCCCTCATTTGGTCCTCCTCCTCGGCGGCCTCAACCGGGACACTTTGCACTTGCAAACGTGTTCGCGTTTGCCCGTGTGCCTCCTCTCGCGCAATCCGCTTCCACTTCGAATAGTCAATAGAAAAGCCTTTCGTGCAATTTCGGGCATGCAAGCATCACCAGGTCAAGAGAATGGTTCGCCGGGGTTCTGCCGAGGAAAACATCCTGCAAAGACACACGTGCGGGTTACATCAGGCTCGTTGTTTGAATGCGAACCAATCGAATCCAATCAACATGCTATTAGAGTGCGGTGCTTTGCCACTGATTGAGGCGCCCACTTGGCATCTGGCCTCAATGACTCAGCAGTCTGAAGTTTGCGGAGATGCAAATTGGATATGTTGTTCTGGAAGGAGGCCTGAGGAGGCCATTGGTCTTCACAAAAGTACCAGTAGGGTCAACCAAGTTACTCCCCCCTTCAGCACTGCGAGCTGTCTGCAAGGCTCGCGAAAAGTGTACCCGCTAGTCATACCGACCCGACACAAACAAACGAACTGCGAACTACGTTCGTTCGACGAGCATGCTGGATGTCGAACGACGAAATATGGCGAAAACTCAGACTAAGGGGCGTGCCGTGCGCATCAGGTCGATCCGAAAATCAGGCTCCCATGCTCTACAGGGTTCATAATGTTCGTAACTCGTGTGAAAGAAGATGTCATGTAGCCGCATCACTATGCTCTGATATCTCGATTCATTATCAACTATCCTTTTCTATATCTCAGCTTGGGACCAAGATGCAGATCGAGTGAGCTCTGCAGGCTTGCAAGGCGCGGTTGATGCAAAGAGCATGGGGCTAAACAAACAGAACTTCCTTCTCGGATTTTGCATCCAGTCTGCTCCGGTCCAACTTCTCCAGTGATGGTGTAAACTCGGCACGGCACCTCAGTACGAGCAATTTGAAAGTGTGCCGTGGCTGTCAGTTCGGCTGCCTCACCAGTTGGTGAGCCTTTCGTGTCCATGCCCATTGCCAAGTCGTCTGCTTTGCAGGTCGCAGATGTTTAAAACGTGTACGAATGATCCGCAGTCGAAGGTCCCTATACTTGCATTTCAAAATCTGCATTGCGCAAGAAGTCGCAGGTGGGCCGTGAAATGATGAAGCCTCTTGCCAAAAGCTCGACAGCCACGAACGGCGGCAAGAAACTACAAGAAGTCGCGAGACTGTGTTTGACACAGCTCGAAGACAAACTGCTCCCAGGCGCGCCATCTCATTGTGAGATCTTGGAGGCTGTCAACCAAGGCGGTGGCCTGTCCGGCGTTGTCGGTCTTACACTCTGTTCATCCTTGTCTTCGGATGGAACATGACATGCACATGTTGGCGTTCGCTTGAGCTTCTGGGAAATCACCATCAGCGGAGAAGCTTGTCCCATCGAGCAGCAACTTGCACGAAGCATATTTCGTCTGAGCACACAACCAAGCCGAACGCAACTGCTGCAACTAGCCGTATGCCTTCACATGTGCGATCGTCGTTTTCTGCATTGCTTGATGGCATCAGCTGGCTTCTGCGGCCTTCTAACTTGTGGCTGAAATTTTGACAGCATAGTGCAGGTGCTGCTTCAGCACTTGTTTACACTATACAATTCAAGAAGCCCGGAGGCTCTGCTGCCTGTGAACGACTCCAAACTTTGGGAGGTCGCTATGGCAATTATGGTACAATCAGTAACAAGAAGTCTTATGTCTCATTTTCAAGATGTGCACGCAGCACTGGAGCGTGGAGTCACGAGCCTCGGATACCCACTGCTAAAGCTGAAAGGAACGAGACGGCTAGCCGGCTATCCTTTCACAAGTTTCGGCACTTGCCGTCAGTTTTCATTCCTCTCTGTTGATGCTGGTTTGCAAGTGCTGAGTGGTATTGGGAAGATGTGGGGAGCAGGGTTGCAACAAACTGCTAATTGCTATTGTCAGGGGTAGGGGTAGCAGCAGTAGCAGTAGTAGTAGCAGTAGTAGTAGTAGTAGATAGTAGTAGTAATAGTAGTAGTAGTTGTACAAGAAGTCGATCAGAAGTGTCGGGGTCATAGTCGTAGCTCATGTCGGTCGCCGTCGTCGTCATCGTAGTCGAAGTGGGTAAGTGTAGTAGCGACAACCAGAGATGCTCTTTTTAGACTTCGCTGGCCGCCGTAACGGAAAGGAATGAGACGGCTGGCCGGAGGGCATTGAACGAGTTTCAGTAAGCGCCGTCAGTTTTCGTTTTCGTCAGGTTGCTTTGTGGATGCTGGCGTAAGAAGTAGTAAGTGGTAGCTGCGTCCAACGAAACCCTCAAATGCATCAAATCTGCATCTGCCAGGTTTCAGCAGCGAAAGCGAGATATGCAGGCTCTTAATAAGTGAGAGCTAGAAAGTCGCGAGTGCATGAACAGAAAGGCCAACACCGAGTTCCAAATTCAGCGGAAATGCGGAATCTGGCAATGAACTGTGCCCCTGCATGTGCATGGATGCTGAGAGAAGGCAGTTGTCTTCCACGGTTTGACTGTCTACACTAGTCTACACGACATGCCGTCACTTATCTTCTTCAGATCGCCAACGTCACATCGAAACTATGTTAAGCAACCTGGCAAAACTTCTTGCATCCTCGACCACCCTTCCTAACATCCCGCCTGAAAACATCTTCAAACAAACATCTAAAGATCGATTTCCACTGCTCAGAAGCCCTTTTCGCGGACAACTTTCTCGAAAGCGTTGACATCGTCATAGCAAGTTGGAGTTCAACTGCACGGATCGTCATAGCAGAATGGAGTTCAAACTGCAAAGAAGCGAATGAGCTGCTGCTTCGCAATGATCCCCCCCGAACCACCTTGGGCGGGCGGGAGGGTGCACTTGAGAGGGGACAGCGTCAGATCAATGGCTTCATCACTGCTCCAATCTTCTCGAGCACGCTCTAACAGATTTCCACTGCTCAGAAGCCCTTTTCGCGGACAACTTTCTCGAAAGTGTTGACATCGTCATAGCAAGTTGGAGTTCAACTGCAAGGATCGTCATAGCAGAATGGAGTTCAAACTGCAAAGAAGCGAATCGGCTGCTGCTTCGAAGAGGCATAAAAGAGCCCATAAGCTCGCAATGATCCCAAAGCTTCCAAAAGGCGAAGTTCACGAAATCAGAGTTGGGGAGGGCCGTGGTGGGGCGCAGTCAGAGCGTAAGCTAAAGCAGCGTTGAGCTGGTTCGGGTAGATTTCTGCGAGCTCGGTGAGGCTTTGACCTCGCCACCTGCCAACTAACGACCGGTGAGGTTTCTGGGTTTGGCTGCAAACTCCCGGAGGCCCATGACACGTCCTCGACAGACGATGAAGGTCATCCTCAGGAATGTGGGCAGCGAGAAACAACGTGGGTCGCTTCCAGCGGGCGCCAAACTGACAGAAGTGAGCAGGCACCACTCGCACCCAAGGCCGTGACAGGTGTTCCTGAAGCGGCGGAAGCATCCAGGCTTTAGAAGAAACGGGATGCTCAAAGATGTACGGAATGCTGAATTTGTCAAGCTCGTGCATGATGCGCAGGCAAGATAGGAGACACTGATGCGCTAGTTGAGTGCTTTCTTGAACTGCTGGCAAAACGGTCTGATGTTGACTCCCCCGGGTTCGCTATGAATCTCCGATGCCTTTGAGCAATCACGGGCTCGACAGAGACCGGTACAAGGCGGAGCCATCATGCACGACAAAACGTTTCCTTGACGGATAGAGCGAAGGATTCTTCGAACCGTGCTCTTCTTGGTAAGGTCATGCTCAGGGCCATGTCGTATGTCCCAGAACTTGGAGTGGAAACCAAAACGCCGCACTGCTCGGCTAAAACCGCCACTGCCCGAAAAGAGGTCAATCACCCACTTGCCCGGCCGCCGGTTCCGATAAAATGGGGGGCCGATTTGCGACCCGAAAGAATTGCCCCAAGGTCTTGCTCGCACAGCTTGGCGTGGGTCTTGAATGCCGTTGGCAGTGACTCCCACGTGCTGGCAAGCCGTGCGCTCTTTTCGTAACGCACCACACTCTTGTGAGCACGCCATTGGCCGCGTTTTTGCACCTCCAGCAAGCTTCGATACTGGCGGGATCGGTCGATTGATGGTCCTGAGTGCCGTGTTTGGTACGGGGTGACGGGCACCCCAAACTGCTCCGAGATCTGCTGGATCATGTGATGGTGCTCCTGGTAGTTGAAATCCCAGAGCGGGGCCGACGGGTGGGATTGCTTCAGAGAGTCGAATAATGCATGGCTCCAGCCCTTCAGCCATGGACTGTCCAAAACAATCGACACATCGTATTCCCCGGTTTTGGTCGCTGTCTGCTCCTCTTCGGGAGCCAGCAAAAGCGACCAACAGCTCGTTATCCCGCCCGTCGGCCGTACAAGGCTGAAGACTTTGGCTCGCAACAACTCCGCAGGCCTGGCATAGGTGCTCGCCGCCATGAGAAGGAAAAGTGCCATCCTCAGACGCCGAAGCCGTGCCAGTTCTACCGCAAAGGCGGCCCAAAGGGCCAAGGGGTACGCGAGCCGGCTCTTCGCTGGGGTGAGCTTCCTGAAGCCCTTCAGCGCTCTCCAAGCTCGTGGAAGCTTCTGGCCTCCGAGCTTTCCGAACTGGGGCCAGTGGTGAAGCACTTCAGCCAACAGGCGGTCCCCGCGATAGCTCTGATACCCATCCAGGTACATGCGATTCATATAGTCGACCAAGAGGTCGTCTACCGAAGTTGCGATCGTCTTCTTCAGACCTCGAGGCTTGGCAAACTTGAGAAAGCTGCTCAGCTCCTTCTGATACTGCTTTGATGTGGAGCCCGCCACTGCATGCTGCTCCAGAAGCGTCAAGCCGTCCAGGTGGTGGTCGACTAAAGCCTTGGCGCGTCGCCTGGCTCTCCGCTCTAAACGCGGGCGTTTGGGGCTGGTCGATCCGCTCGAATCCTCGTCTCTGCCCCGTTTCAGGCTCCTGGTTGACCCCTTTTCCAAAGGCACTTCCACAAGGCTGAATGCATTGCCTGCGCGTGGGGTCACTAGAGCCTCCTCCTGGTTGGGCTTGGTCAAGCCCGTTTCCCTCCTGACCGCCTTGGATGACACACTCGGCCGCTCCAGGATCCTCGACTTCGGTTTGGGTCTGCTCACCTTTGGCACTGGTGGCAGGAGCACAGTCTCCCGTCGAGGGCCACCGGACATGAGGGATGAGGTGGGCCAAATCCTTACTCGCCTCTCCTGAGTGTAACCTGCTTGGTCCATCTGCACTGTTCAGTTCCGAAGGCACCCACCGAACAACACAATAAATATTTCTTGCAAGGCAGTAGGCTGTATACTTTCGTATTTGCACCAAAAGGCTGAAACTGCGGGCTCGAGCACGATCGAATGCCAGACAGACGCTCATGTTATCGGTAAGGATAAGCTGTCTCACGTCATGCCCGAAAACACTGTTGGCTATCCGTTTGAGCCCTTTGACTAAGGCTCGAGCCTCGAGCTCAAGGATGCCCGAGGGATGACGCCACCTTCCCCAGAGCCGAGGCGTCCAGAGATCAGACCGCAACAAATAACCAGGTACTTCCTGAAATTTTCGGTCAAGGGCCCAGCCTGTTTGCTGCAGGTAGTCGCTGCTGTCCAACCATCCCGCCTTCCACCGGTCGGTTGTCTCATCATGGACAAATCCCGCGGAAGTGAGCGCTGAGGTACGAGCTGAATGGCTGCCAAGCTTCTCGAAGCGAGCTCTCTCGAGGTTCCGGCCAACGTTAGCAACCTCGTGCTGCGACCAGTGGCTGGAAACAACTCCATAACCTTCAAGAGACGAGTCCGTGGCAGTAACGTAAGTGTTCCACGGGCGTCCCCAGTCGGCATGCAGGAATATCATGAGCCCCCTGAACACAGTCAGCTCCTCTCTCACGCTCTCCCACAGCACAGATGGTTTGAAGTAGTGGGCACTGATGTATCTGTAAACTGTATTGAAGACGCTGAGGACGGGTCGGTTCATCAAGGCGACAAATGTGGCATGACCTATGACGGTTTCAAGAAAACGACCAGAAACACGTTTTACGCTCGAGCAACCCTTGAATGGCTTGTCGTAGTTTGTGGTACCTCTCCGCTGTAACCCGACTGGCCAGTAGGTCACCTCTGAGAGCGCAACCAAGAGCTTTCGTGGTGCCACAGGTAACCGCACCTGGATGAAGGATCAGGTTATGTTCGCCGAAGACCTCCTCTACTTCACGGAGGCCCGTTTCAACAGTATCATGGGTAACACTGAGGATGCCAAGGTTATCGACGTACACATAGTGGTGAACCGGACGACTTGGCTCTTCCGGTCTCTTACTGTCGGCAGCCGCCTCCTCTTCGGCAGACGGCGCCGCACCAAATACAGCCGCCACGGACCTGTCGTGGATCAAGCAAGACTTCTGGAGGGTCGGCACTTTGCTCATCAGGCCTTCGCTAACACGCTGCGCGAAGTACAGCGCCCAAGTGAATCCCATGGGTAAGGAGCCTGGGGCCGGAAACACAATTGAGTCTTCAGTCAGCAACTGGTTGTCAAGGTATGTATTCTCGAGCCCTACCCATGATGCTGGCACACCATCCAGGCAGAAATACTCAGCGAGCCATTTAGGATGCCGAAGACGATGAAAACAATCCTTCACATCGCTGAGCCCTATGCTGATTCGGTGCTCTTTCAGGTAGTCATTGAAGCTGTCGGTTCCTGGAACAAGATGTTTTGGTATGCTGAGCTCTATCCTCGAAAAGCCGTCCGAGGTCAGAAGATCAACACCAGGAGGAGGGCGAAACATCTCGTTAGTGCCCCTAGCATCAATGATCATTCTTATCTTTTGGCCATCACTCTTTCTGACGAAAAACACTCCACAGAAGCTTTTTGGATGTTGGGTAAACACCAGGTATCCGGCTTTGTTCAGCTTCTGGATGAACTTCTTGTAGAGCTTGGTGTCCCTCCTCAGGAGCGGATCCCAATACGGTTGAAACTCCGCCAGGCCCGTATCGCAACCTGGTTTTAACATTCGCTCAGGGCACTGCAGGTATTGCCGGGCCTCCTCGTCCAAGAGACTCTCCACCGCCGGCGCGCCGTGGAGGGAATCCGGAAGTGAGATGCGCGCAAGTGAGCAGGCCGCCAACGTAGTCGGCTTCTCAGATGAATACTCTGATCTGCCACGGAGCAACGCCTTGAGGGCTGCCTCCGGTGCGGGGACTGATGCCAGTTCACCTGTTTCCTGACACAACCCCGCAAGATAACGAACTCTCCCAATCACCTCGGACTGAAGAGCATCTGGTGAAAACTGTGAATTCTTGAATTCGTCCTTGTAACCAGCCATCCAGTTGAGAGCCATCACGGCCTCGCGCTGTTTGCGAACCAACTGGGCTTGCCTGGCTATCCGCTGCGAGACCCTCCTCCCGACCTTCTTTTCCCTCTGCACCTCGGGCGGCACAGGTAAGGGGTACATATCTCGAGAGGCGCTTGATCTGGCAGCCCTTGCATCCCCGGACTGAAAGCCATAGTAAGGGCCGGCCGGGAGCAGCCCTGGCTCACTGACATCACTGACCATCCGGGGCACTCAGGCCCTTTCCACGGCCCTTGGCCTTGGCTTTGGCCTTCGCCCCGGTAGAAGGAAGCACTCCGTCCGCCACAGCTCCGGCTGCTTCGTCCGTGACTTGCAGCCCTCTCCGGTGATCCCGAACCTTAGCCCGAGATGTTGCCATGTCAAGCTCTTCCTTGGTACGCCGAGCTGCCCAGCTCCTGAGACTGGGAGACACGGCGTCATCCGCACTCCGGAAACCTGCAATGACCTTTGCGTTCTGCCAGTCTGGCCCAGATGCCCCGCCCAGGGAGTAAGCGTCTATAATCGCTTGCATTCTCCTCGCTATCACTTCGCAGCCTGCCAGCGAGACCAGGTTGATCTGGTCGTAAGTCCCGGCTGTGAACATGAAATCCGCTAGGCACCGCATCTCATGGGCTACCCGGTCATTCTCTGAAATGTTCTTTGAACGCATCCACTCCAACAGCCATCGCTTGGGGTCTCCACCAAAGGTGTGGAAATGGCGGATAAGGTGGCCGAACGACATGGGCCCTTCCAATGGCCAATCGGTAAATTCATACTGCTTACACTCGTTCACAACCTCGCGCCATTCCTTATGGCGCTCATTGACTGAGTTGTAATCCACGCTCAAAACCCGTGCATCCAGAGGCTCCGCGGTTGCTGCCTCGTCGGTCTCGTTAGGCCTCGTCCCTTGTACTTCTCCAGCCAAAGCTTGATGCGAAGAAGAAGAAGGGCGAAATTGACGCTCGGAGTACAAGCCAAAAACCTCCGCGACTTGCTCTATCGGCAGAAGGGTCAACGGAAGCCAAGAGTCGCCGGCCTTGATCAAGCCCAGGTTCTCGCCGGCCTGCACTCCTTGCCCGGGAGCAACTCGGGGACTCAGCACCTTCAACCCTGAGAGGAAGCAAAAAGACCCACATGTGTCCCGGTGGGGCGGCTTCCAAAGGCTGCAATCCTGGAGGTAGTCCGCTCGCAGTGGGGTCCAGGCTCTCTGGGTACTCAATCACACCTCGGCCGGTCTGATGTGCAACCGCTCGCGTGATCCTCCTCGGCACAAATCGCCTTCCTAGGAGAACCGAAGTTGCCACCAACCTTTGCCCCACTTTCACGTCCTTTGGCCTGCAGCCGTCCGCCGGCACCACATCCAAGTTCATCTCGTCCAAAGCCTTCTCGATGTAGGACCTCGTTTCTTCCTCGGTCAATCCCGACGAAAATCTGTAGGCAGGCGCCCTCAAGCGAGAAAAGTACTGGAAATGCTTCCCCTTCAGCTTTAACTTGCAAGGCCCATCGTCGCCTGCCAAAGAAAAGCTCTCTTCATACAAATCGAAGTCTGGCGTTAGAACATACCAGGATGTATCAGTCACCTTCCAGATCAGCACTCGCTCGTGCCAATATGAATCGTCGCTATAGAACACGGCGACACGATCACCTGGCAGGCACTGTAACAAGTCCTCGGCCGAACCTTCTTGGGCTGCCATGATACTGCTCAGCTGGCACGGCTAGTCGTCGTCTACAGATGCAAAGCAGGAGGAGAGGTAGGCAGCTCAAAGGCACAACCCACAGGAGATTCTCCGCAAGGGAACCGCACTGACAGTCGCAGGTGCAATGGCAATCCTTAGTCAATGCTTCCTGTGTCCTTTGCAGCTGCAGCCTTTCGTAAGGCTCTCTCAAACCAACCTCCAGTATGCGACTCGCCAATGCCAACAAGAGCGCCTCAAGTTTCATGGCTAACCTACCTCATGCACTTGAGAGGGGACAGCGTCAGATCAATGGCTTCATCACTGCTCCAATCTTCTCGAGCACGCTCTAACATTCCTCAACATGCGGTTTGGCCGGGGCGTGATCGAATTTGAGCATATGTTCGAAAACTTTCCCAGGATCTACCCAACAAGACGAACCTGAGGATTACCTGGGAAATTGTTCGAAATTTCTTCAAAAGCACCGGGCCAGCAGGGGCAATGCCGGGGAGATTTTCACGCATGTTCGAGGATTGTTCGAACACTCACTTTCCAACAAAACGATGACACATTTCCTGAGGACATGCTGCAACAGTCTTCCAGCAGTGTTCGGTGTTTTTTCCTACTGTAAATTCTTGGAAAACTCGCCGGCAAGCACAGCTCCGTTCAGGGGATGCTGGGTTGAAGATTTTTTGAAGCAGAAATCCCTGAAGCATGGTTCTGCTCGTCATTTCCAGGGTGGGGTGGGATCTTGAAGATTCTTTGACGCCGAACATGCCTGAGCGGTTCTTGGGATGGTCTCAGGGATGGGTTTTTGAAGATTCCTTGAAACCGAAACTTCCTGAAGCTTGGTTCGTGAGATGATCTTGGGAAGCCAAACAAAAAGACCACACTTTCTTCTTGAGCTTAGGCCAACACCTCTTGGCATGCTCGGCCCGAGAGTCGAAGACAAGTTGGAGAACTGCTCGGCTCCAGAACCAGAACTCCTCAGCCTGACCCAGGCGACCCATGACCACGACAGAACGCCAGGAAGCTCCAACTCTATGTGGCCAACGAGCTACAGCAGTCCAAGGGCAAAGGATTGCTTGGCGGCACACGCCGGGGTTGAAGCCGAAAGACCTGCGAGGCATAGTGGTACCTGGGTCTGCCACTGGACCACAATTCGTGTGTGCGTGTGTGTGTGTGTGTGTGTGTGTGTGTACTGACACTGATGTGGAAAGCAGCTGGCACTAGCTGGCCTTTGGCCGCGGTAATGTGAGAGACGCATTCCAGAAACCGTCGGCAGATTCACATTGTCCTCGAAGAAAATTCACAGAACACGCTTGGCTGATTGGTTACTCGTGTGCCCAGGTTTCCAAGCCGTTGGCTCATTCCTCGAACAGCCCCAGTAGGTTCGACCTGCAATCCGTGCAAATATCAAGTCACGGAGCATCTAGCTGAAAACCATCCTGAAAAGCCGCAACCTCCAAGGACGACTGGCCAGCGAATGCATTTCGAGTCCTTGCAGCTGAGTTTGCAGCGTTGCCTAGCACATTCCATCATTGACACAGCGTCTTCCTAGCAGAACCTGGCACATGATGGCGAACGCGTCGTTATGTTTCGTGCGGCTCTCTGGGAAGACTCAGCCCTCTAGTTTCGTCTCCTTGCTTAGTTGGGCATGAAAGGGGGTAGCATCTACGAAGTCAGGCAGGCACGGATTGCCCGAATTAATTTTTTCAACGATAGGTGTTCAACATGGGGCAGCCTCTGCGCGGTTTGAGCCGGGCGCCCCAAGCCAAATGATTTCGTAAAGAGAACTTCTTCAAAAATCAACCCCCAAGCCTAGACCCGAATCGATTGCAACATGAAGTTGTGTGTATCCTGTTGCAGAATCCTCGATCAGAAAAGGTTGAGGGCTTCGGAGTTATTGATGCTATTGGTTTTCTTATCTTGGATAGCTCATTTCCAGCCGCTCTTGGTTTTTGGTTCAGGATGCCTGCTCTGACAAGATGTCCGTGGAGGGTGACATTCAAGATCCGAAACCTTTGGGCGCATTCTGCCAAGCCCTTGCCAGAAACAGACCGACCAGAGTCTACGGAAGCCTTCGGCCAAAGTAGTCGCTACGAGACGAGTCACGCAGAGTCATAGTCACCTAGTCACAGCTAGTCGCTAGTCGCCGCTAGTCGCTCTGCGTCGCGAAGTGCGCTCTGCTCCGAGAGCAAGGCCGAGGCCCAGGCCGAGTCTCAGACCTCTCGGAGTCCTGTTCCACAGCGGCGCGGGAGCTCGCGATGCTCGTGTGTGGGGAGCTTGGGACGGATGGTGATGGGTACGTGAGCCTCATGAAACCGATGGCAAAAAAACAACGTAAAGAGAAAAGTTGCAGCATCCGCCAAGACGATGTTGGGGCCGTGTCAAACAAAGGTCTGGACGGCAGGCTCTCCTTCGTCAGATGGGCACGAAACCTGCAGTGAGCGACTCTGGATTCCTGAACTTGCTACCACTGAGGCTCAAGGTCCCAGACATGGACTCCAACCTGCGAAATTGCTCTTCGCGTACACGAGCCTGCCAAAGTGCCCCCAGTCAGTGGATGCTCACACGAGACGACGTACTCAACGGAGATGCACCTCTGCTGCAAGGCCTTTCAGCGATTTGGGCTTGAGATCTGAAAGAGATGATCATCAGACGAGTATGTGACGCAGGTGATCAGTGAAGGCCGAGAGGCGTTCTGAAAGGGAGGCCAGGCGAAGGCCGAAGCCATCCTGGCAGGAAATGCCTGACCATTGCTCCTAGTATGTGCCTTTCGCCAACCTTTGCCCTGGGCTCCTTCTCTGGCGAAGATGGCATGCCTTGGTCGCTTTTGCACAAAGAAGCAACTCTTCAACTTTGCGGCGCACTGCCAAAAGCCAGACCTTGTATCCAGCGACTGTAAGTCTGGAGCTGATTCTCTCTTCGAGAGCCTTTAGGTGATTGGCTGAAAGCTGCAGGGCTCCAAACCGCGCCTGGCCTCGAAGCGCTGCTCGAGGAGTGACAACCGCCCCCGGTCGGCGTCGGCTTCAGGTCTGCATCCAGTAAGGCCCATGCAAAGACTGCTTCTGCTTCTCGAAACAACTTGGTGCGGAGCCGAGGCAGGGCAGGCAGGGTGTCCTCATGCACCTCGTGAAAGGCCAAAGGCACAAGAGAGTAGCCAAGGCCAAAGCGAAGCAGAGGTCCTGGTTTTGCTTCTGAGACAGCGCAGCGAGCTTGAGGTCGAGCTGCGACTGGCAAATGCAGGGCCATGCAAAGGTGCCGAAGAAAAAACTGGGAGATGCAGGAAAGGGCCGGAAAGGGCTGTGCCTGGAAAGAACTCGGAAAATGTTAACCAGATACCCAAGTCCAAGGCGATTGCAGGGTGTTGTCCGGCCGTAGCACCATTTGGTTCTGGATAGAGCAGCTGCTTAGCCTGCGGTTGTGAAGGAGCCCCGGAATCGCAAGCCACATCCCTGTGGGGAAAAGGGCTCTTGCCGACGAGGCATTCGAGGATTTCGAGGACAACTGAACGTTGTGGGATGGCAACATCCGGAAGAGGCTCGAGCTCCAACTGATGCCGCGTCTGCAAAAGTCGAACATCGATGGCAAACGCATGCCAACACTGGACAGTCATGATGCGTGTAGAATTGGTTCCCCGAGAACATTAGCTCCATGCAATTCGCTAAGATCGCACGGCCACGTTCATCAGGGAAGCTCGATGTCAATTACATGCCGGCGCACAGTCAGGTTCACAGCAACGACCATCAAAGCAACTCCCAAGGATGGAGGATCGTGAACGATGAGACTTACCACAAGATTATCGGCCCACCAACTTCGAGCACACGACGATTTGCGCTTGCTGTCGGACGGCGGGGGTGACACGCGTGTAACCCTCTAATATGCTCTGCTCTCGTACGATTGGGCGAAAATCATGCAGGCAAGCACGCCCAAAGCACCAAGCGACTGTCGAACGCAGTAAGTCGTTGCGACGCGAGGGCCCATGCAGCCTCGACCTTAAGAGTGCTCGGTGCTAAGTCACAGTTGGTGGGGCTTCTCCGCGTCTGAGCTCCGATCCATCTGGTTGCAAGTGACCAGCATCGCCTCTTCAGGAGAGAGGAGGCCCAAGTCCGGAAAGAGTGGGACCGGCCTCGGCCCCTTGCAGCTGCTCTTGGAGCGTCAGGACAGCGCTCGCGCTCTGGCTCTGGCGCACTCTCTCCGAGTCTAAGCGTCCACCGCATCCCTTTTCCGGAGTTCCGGCATGGCAGGGGGCGCCCATCGCTCTGGCGCCGTGCAACCAGCTGCCTGCTGACGAAATGGGGCTAATCATCTTACTGAATGCTGAATGCTTCTCCCAGCACATCCCACCTGAACCAGGTGAATCGATGTCTGCTTTCAGGAACGGGATACCACCATGTGGCCTAAGACAGATTGCCAGTCATCCCTTGCCGTGAAGCTCCACCGCGGTCTGCTACGACTGCGACAGCTACCGCTGCAGTAGCCAGTGGTGTACTACTCTGGAGTGAGAAACAGTTGCCAAGATCGAAGAAAGACATAGCCAAACTACAGGCGGATTCTTCGTGAGCGCCCGGTCTGCTGTGCACTCCCCTGTTTTACCTCATGGATTAGACTGCATTTCGTAATATGGACAGGAAGGCTGCGATGGAGCTCTCAGCTTCACCCAAAAGACCGCTATGTCACTTTCCATCTAAAAGCTTTCTGGTCCAAGACGAAGAAATAAATGGCCAACCCTAAACCCAATCAACAAGCTGTGCAACGCAAAAAGGAGTGAGCGGTCTGACAGGCTACCTCCGTGAAACCAGAAACCCTTGGCTGGCCCTTCAATCAGACAACAACTGGCATCCTTCAAGGTTACTTGCTCGCCATCTGTAGGGTGCTACGACCGGTACAATGTGTTGTGCCCTTTGTCGCTTGGAACACTTCGCTGTTGCCTAACTAACTCCCCGGCCTCACAGACCCACCATGTTGTGTCGCAAGTACCGAAGAGTGCTAATGAAAGCGGCTTGTTGCTGAGCGAGTGCTTCTCACCCACATGAACTCTGAGACGGCAGGGGACCATGAAGTTTCCGGAGCCCCCACGAAGAAGTTGAGATGGATGGCAGGCCGCCCCTTCAGTGCTGGTCGACACACTCACTCTACTCATTGACTCGATCTCCATTTGGCTGTACTGTGACCGCAAGGAGATCGCTTCGTCCTTGTTGCATGTACGATCCGATCGTAGATCGTTGCCACTTGCTTGGGTGTGATAGATACAGTTGATGACAACGTCGAGTTCTGAGCCGCAGATTGTCACGCGCAGCCACACGCAGCTGCTAGCGCGCCGAACTTACTTAGCGTCTGCTTTACGTGCCACGCGAGACTGCTGGAGCTGTCTCCGCACCACAAAGGACAAATGACTCTTTCACTCTCAAGTACGAAAACGTGTCAGAATTAGGCGCCCTCCCAGTTGGCGTTGTCAAGTTCTACCTGATATGAGGACATGATGACGGTTCTGACCTACTCGGCTACCCGGTAGGGACTAGCCATTGATTGCTCAACGGCTTCTCCACTCCAAAGACGCTGCTGCCTTGAATGATGGTTGCAGAGGGTCAGAGGGGTGCCGCAGATGACATGAGATCTGATGGAAACTACCCTGCTTGCTCTTGTCCAGCAGGTGTGCAGGCTGTCCCCAAGTGTGACAGGCATGACAGGCGCAAGCTTGAAAGGACGGGACATGCAGGTTGCGACTTCAATCCCCGAATGACTCAACGATGCTTGGTGCCAAGCCCGTGGATTGTGCAATTATGCATCATATTTTGTTTCCAGATGCAAGACGAGCCTGCATTCGTAACGTCGTAAGGTTGCGGCCCGGCCATTGTCCGTTTTGAAGAGCTGCCTTTCAACAAGAAGCCATAGCCAAGCGTGCGTTGGTCTGAGACTCTGAGGATTCTCGGAGGGCCTGCACTCGACCTTGTGAGTGGGATTTCTTCCTGCACCTTGGCAAGCGGTGAGCAGCTTCTTGTAGTGAAAGATACGAAGCGACACACCGACATAGTAGCACAAGAGTGCGACGACAGCAGTGCAATGTTGGGCGATGGCGGCGATGGGAGGTTGAGAGCGACGAGGACGAGGAATTTCCCGTCCGCACCGGCAGCATTGAGAGGGGTCCTCATGGGTGCTGCTGTTCACATCATTATGTGTTGAGCAGTGAGTGTCTTGTAGCATCTTGCAATGACATCTGCACACACCATTAGCCAAGGTACCAGCGAGTATGGCCGTTGCAAGGCATGCATGGGGACAGTCACACTGCATGAAGTGGCAGCAACAAAAGAAACGCGAATTTCAATGCTTGCAATGCTCAGGGGCGTGGTGCACCTGGCTTGATCTGCCATCAATGCTATGGTGTTCTGTAGCCGGAAGAAGCCAAGACCTGAGCCCAATGTTCGCCAGCATTCAGCTCTGTTTCTTGCTGCGGTGTCGTGATTGAAAATAGTTGAAGATTGGTTCAAGAGGGGTCAAACCGACAACATCACAGTGAGCCATCAACTCAAGCAAACTCGAGAATGTTGCGAGCAATCATGGACAAGAGGTACTTTGTCTCTGTGCAAATCGTCGTGGTTTTTGATGCATGCACTTGCCTTGTGGCAGGCATGACATGTTCAAAACGCGGAGCATTCCAAACACCCCAAGCACCATCGGAATCGGCTCAAACTGCCGGGTGAAACCAAACGGCGTGCCGTTTAAACACACGTGCATTTGGGCTGAGCAGTGCCACACTTCGTGCAGACCCTCCCCGTTTCTGGGAAGCTGCCTCGAAGCCAGGATATTTGGCTGTGAAGCGGCTATGCTGCTTAGATTCTACGAGTGAAAGCAATGACACATGTGGCGAGCGGAAATACATGAGCCTATGTTCTGATGAGTCCTGCGCCGTTGCACAGGGGTACTGCGAACAAAAACATGGGAACCCGTCAAGTTCCAGCGAACGCGGCCTGGACAGGCTACACGAGAAACGAAAGCGACATTTGCTGACAGGAATAAACTTTGACATCATGTCTAGCAAAGCGAAGGTGCGTTCCTTCTGAAAATCTTCGAAATGGTTCTTTCGCACCTGTCGGAAGTGACTGGCAAACTGTACTTGCCCATAAGATTGTGGTGACTGTGATCGCGTAATCCAGGTGCCGTACTTCGCGGAAATCTTCCACAAGCTCGTTGTCGTCGGTGTTGCTAGACCTTTGCAGCCACCACAACAATTGTCCTAGAGATGCCGGCGAAGTAAGGGAGCGCTGCATCACAACTGAAACAGTTCCAAGGAAGGCCCTCGGAAGATGCATCAACCAGGCTCTAAATGCAACTCGTGATGGCCGGCAAGGACAAGCATCAGGATCAGTCAGCATGTATAGTCAGGTCGTGTCTTCATGCTTCCGCCCGGCTCTGAACTAAGCCAACTAAGCACCGCTCGCCCACTGAGATTTGTCAATATCATCTTCCTGCAGCACTGAAACAAAGCACATGCGTTGTTAAAAGCCTGATGCTTGGAGTCAGGCCGGCAGCTTAGACTCTGGGACACCATGACCATGCTTGCGAAATTCAGTGCTCCTGCACGCATACATCACTTCTGATGTAAGCTCCGTGCGCAGACTGATGCTGCGTTGTTTTGAAGACTGCGCACATCTTTGCCAGTGAGCAAGAACGAGCTCACTCCTCTGATGACATCCCAAGCGCCATGTGGTGGATGACGCAACCTCTGATGGACTTCATGCGAACTGTGTAAAACCGTGCTATCCGGCTGACAGCAGCGCAGTCGCATCTCAACTCAAACTCGCTTTGGTATATCGACAAGCAAGGTTCCCACGTACTCGTTCAAAATGTCCAGCAGCTTCCTTGCCAGTTCGACTTTCGCTTCCGACTTGCGACCGCCCAGGAAATTCTGTCCTGGGAATCTTTGGGAAGTCAGCGCTGGACATGAAGAACACCTAAGGCTTGGAGGCGCGATGATGATGCACAGGAAGTCGGCTGCATCCTGCGATATCTAGGGCTTCGGCCTCACACATCGGGGATGTGACGCGGACGGTGAATGGCTCCGGCGCCGGAAAGGGCAAGGAGCCAAACCTGAATACCCACTCAATGCTACAACAGTCTGTGCTGTCGCTCGACTCCAGAGAACGATCGCCGTAATCGCCGCCAGCCCAATGATGCAACGCCGTTGTTTTCTCGGTATGACAAAAATACTTATCGACTAAGCCATCGAGTAAAGCTCGCTTTGCAATGCAGCCGTTTTTGCACCGGACCTAGAGAATAAACTCTGATTGCTGTTTCCGCACTCCAAAGCTACCAAGCATTGCGCAACTTCCTCGAGGCTGCCACAAGCCTGTGTGTTTCTGTGGGTTAATGTCGGTGCCAAGAGCTTCTTTTCATCGTCTTTTTGCGTTGCAAACGCCGTTCTTTACTTCTAGTTCCCTATCCTCGGTATGGGGTTGTTGGATTTTCAAGCAGCCCTGCTCCTCCTACGAGTAGCAGCTGATTAGAACCCTACGAGACGGGCAGTCCAGGTATCGCTGGAGTGCCTGCCCCCCAGAACTCGCACGCTCAGAGTATGCAGCGTATCCCTAGAGCGCCAGCCTACTTTATCCGCTTAGCTTTGCGGAGTTTATGCCAGAATTTACCGTGATTACTTCGCCGAGGCTTCCCCCTGTAAGTCTTGAGCTTCTTGGGCTCCGTTTTATATTCTCCCGGCCCAGGCCCCCTGGCGCCCTGGCCCGGCCAGAGCCCGAACGTCACCCGAGGTGGGTTCGCACTGTCGCATAGCACGCGCGTAGCTGCGTAACGATAAAACCGTCGTCATGCTATCCCGACATGGTTCAAGGATGTTCAGGGATCGTACAGTATGAAATGGTACTGGTGTCCATCTACCGTGCTCAGTTTCCCGGTCTGAGTTCCGTGCACACCTCCAGCGACCAAAACCCCTCTGCGGCTCATGACCCCATTTGGATTGGAGTCGTTGGCCTGGTGATCTGCAGGGTACACAACAGCAGCCTGGAACAGTTCCGCACATCAGGAGACGAGCTGGTGTGCTTCTAGATTCTAGATGTAAGAGCACGCAGCGTTTTGGCATCTAAGTGAGACAGAGACTGATTGTGCAGAAACTTAGGCTCTTGCACGACGAGATCCCCGATTGCATCACGCATTGTACGTGGCGCAAGTCGCAAAAAAAGCTGAGCATTGATTGTTAGCTTCCGTGCAACTTTGGCACAGCGACTCAGCCGACTATCGACAAGCGCAATAAAGTCTGCTTAGGTGTTTTGTTGTTTCGCTCCTTTCGCTCCTTCTTCGAGGAGCTGAAGCTCTGTGGTCTGTGGTTGACTCTGCTCTGCTGGGAACCAGAACCACACACGGACAAACGGAGTAGCGAATGGTGCATTTCATTCGCCATCCAGATTGAGGAAGTCTCCTGCGATTGTTTCCATCCAGGAGTCCACAAGTCAAAATGTCAAGCTGCACAGGTACAAGGACGGAACTGTGGGCACGGCCTCCAAGAGACAATGTGCTAAGAAAGTCATCCCCCTCATCTGCAGGCTCTTCATCCTCACAGTCGTGGTGCTTTGTCAGGGCACACGAAGGATATCTCCAGAAGACAGGCTGGGTTCTTCTGGAATTGCGAAGCCTCACTTTCGCGGACACCCGTTATTGCTTGCACAGTGCATCTAACCATCGCTTCTCTGATGCCTCGCGAGTCAGGCTAGAGATGCTAGAGATCTCAGTACCTCAAAAGCCTTTAACGACTTCACGACTTGCTGTAGTAACGGAAGCATGCACGTTTGACAATTTTGACATTTTCCGGATGAGCAGTCAGAGCCCTCCCCAATGCTCGTCCACAGCTCCAATCGCCGAAGTCTGATGATTGAAAGACGATGATCCATAGGCCTTTTGTGGACTGGGTCCTCTGGTGCCCAGTCGAAAAAGCCTTGCTGCAACTTGTAGAGCAGGTGCCTGTGCAAGCTGCACAGCGGAGAGTTGGTCGACTTGGCTTGCACCTTTGTCAGAGTCGATGCTAGAATCCTGCCTTTGCCTGTGAACTTTCAGCCAGTCATCCAGGACGATACATACCTCAAGCAGGTTGCATTGCTCCAAGCAGATCCGTGCCTCCATGTGTTGCAGCTCCTCGCCAACCAATGCCAGGTCGATGGACTTCCCTTCCCGCCCACATGCTCCTGCCTGCGCCGTGCAGCAGTTTTCGTTTTCAATCCCACGGCATGACCGGCCACATGTATGGTACATCTGTGAGACTACAATCGTAAGAGCCAAGCCCTGACGCCATTGCGGAATAGGACGTTCATTTCGATAAATCTGGCCGCAAACAAGTCGGACCGAGCGAGTTTTCCAGAACAGCTGCAGAGCTTCAATCGCCCTTCCAGCCACTTTGTGAAACCTTTTGAGAATCATCCGCACCTGTGCCCACAAAAGGTCTCGGACTCCGGGTGGTAGCGGTTGATCACCTGAAGCTGCTATAGTGCAGCCTGATGCAACCGTTCTACGGAAGACGGTCAGGCTGGCCCGAACTAGCAGGAGCCGATCCAGCGATTTGTCCAAGCTCCTGAGCCGACTGCAAAGCTGCGCCAAGTTGCCGCAAAGCAATGCGCTGTGGTTTTGCGTTGCGAGCACCACAATGCTCAGACCAGGCATCCTGAAGAGGTCCAGCATTCGAAGCGCCTCTGCAAAACGGAATCAAGAAAGGCCGTCCCAACAAGGAGTTTGCAGAAACTGAGGGTCGGAACGGCCTTCGGTGAGTTCACGGATATCTGAGCACAGGATATTTCAGGACTGTTGGAACTTGCAGTCGGAAGAGCCTAAGCCTCTAAGCAGCCTGCCGTGCCACGGACCATGTCCAAGACTTGCGAGGCCGTAGTCCGACCTGCAGAGGCGGAGAAAAGCGCGCTTCCGCGTCGCCGCGTCGCTCCGCTCCCTTTGGCTCCTTCGAAGGTGTCAGCAGATGGCTTCAAGCCGAGAGCTCGCTCCTTGCACAGACAAGGCCCTCAGAGATCAAGCGGCTCTCCTCTAGCTCTAGCTGTCTGATGCTGTCTGGCTGTCCTTGTGCCTAGTTCTTTCCTCCGTCTTCACTGGGCCATGACGGTAACCTTGCAAGCACGCCCATGAGGCGAGATGAGGCGAGCTAGAACTGTTGGACCTGGATGCTTGGGCAATGGCTGGCCGTCAACCCCTGAAGAACCCATGTCGTTCAGCAGCTTGCCACAGCAAATCTGTTCCATTTCTCGCCTCCGTCTGGTGCTCAGTGTTGAACTTCTCCACGATGCCCCGCATCTTCCTGTTACACCTCAAGGATTAAGAAACGGCACAAGCAGGCTGCCGTTGGCGCTGCTCTGCTCCTAGTTTGTCTCAATAGGCATAGTCGGCAACTCGGCATCGATGCTGCTGACGCGCACGTTCCCGGGAGAAACCCTTTGGGTGGACAGGGGGAAACCCACCTCGCCATGCCTCAGGCTCGTGGCCAGCACGGAGGCAAACAGACCGGCCCACAGTTCGCGCTTGAGCAAGCCTCAGAAACCTCATACGTTCCAATGTAGGAGTTGGAACTAGACGGAACAGGACTCCTTGAATGCGGGGTGTGTAAGCGGACAACACGACAGGCGATGTAGGCATAGAATGCTGCACCCAAATGGACGGGAACGAGCGCAAAGGACCCAAACGATTATGCACCCACGAGCCCACGAACCATGCACGACCATTCCATGTGCAAACTTTTCCTGCCAAGCAGCCACTGTCAACTGCCACACAGTCAGCTCTGGGCGAACGACTCATGGTCCAGAAGCTGCGCACACTGCAGCAGCCAAGTCCGATATGCATTCCGCCAGAACGGTCGACCTCACGGGTTGCGCATGTTGCACTGCTGTGTGCAGTTGGCAATTGCCAAACAAAGTGCTTCCTTGCAGTCATTGAATCGGCATTTGGAAGACAAACAAGCACTTGCGTATCGGCTATGGCACCGCTCTTGCATCGCTCTGATATTGCCCTTGCTTAACATCTCAAATCTGACGCTGAAAAGTTCACATCGCACAAGAACTTTCCATGATTCTCGTGGAAGTAGTCACCGTGGGCATTCGTTAGTCCTAAAGGTCCTAGAGCCTGCAGCAACAACCCAAAGAAACTGATGGACTACTAGTAGCACCGAGCTCAAGTCGAAAACTGAGTTCCCCGGCCTATGCATTTCCCGGACACGCAGAATGCATAGATGGAGGGGTTTCGGGGGGTGACAGTAAGGAATTCCTTGGCGGCGCCTAGCCACCTTCGCAATGGTGTTATCACACCCAGTGAACCGGGCGGACGCAGGGGAGAAGGGTATGCAAGAGGAACAGAAGGCCTCATGTGGCCTTGTGCAACTGCTTGCTGGTTGTTCCAACTCAATCGATTTAAAGCGATGCATGAAGGGGCCAGACCCAAAGGAGTTTGGCTAAGCGCTCGAGGTCACAGAGCGCAATGATCCGCTGCTGCTGCCAGACTCCAAATTTCCCAGCAAATCCAAACCACGTGGGGTGACTGAGGGCCCTTGTGCCAACCAACTCCTTAGAATCTGGAGAATCAGCAGCACGAGCACGACACACTGTTTGAGGCCAGACGAGCCCAGAGATAGTCGGCCTCTCAGGCTCGTCTGGTGGTCGGGGTGTGCGATTTGGGTCTCCTTCTTCCAAATGCTCGAGGTGCCCGGTCTTTCGTCGGGCTTGGGAATTTTGGCCCTTGCGCGGTCTTCCCTGCGATCTTTCACCGGCATCTATGCTAGCGACACGAGACAAGGTTTTGTTATAAATTATAAGCATCAGCATGAATGTGCCTTGAACGGGCCCATCAGTCACTTCGGACTTCGGGCATTGCATCTTTGGTGGCGAAAAATGCGCTTTGTGAGAACGATCCCTGAGACTCGCGAAGGACCACCTTCTTGTGGAGGGGGTCTTGAAGACCTGCGTCAATCCATCTTCGTGTTTGGAGTTGCGCTGGTGACCACACAGGTCCTCTCTCGCCCAGGCCAGCGTTAATGATTCATCACGGCTGAAGCCCTGACCACACCGCAGCGTGTGGGATATGGTGAGCAACCTCGGCAAGCTCTCCCTCAAGTTCTGAGCGGATAGGCAAGTAGGCAAGGTAAGACTTTCGCTCAACCAATTCCAGCCGTGCTCCAGCATCAGTCTTACCTGCAGCACCGAACCGACTAGCTTGACATCCACTCTAGTGGCGACTGCCGAGCAGGCCTGCCATTCCAGCAGCACCCACCAAGCGGAACTGCTCCAAAGTTTCCGGAACATCCAGCCTACGTGTAGCTTGTGTTCAGCACAAGTCATATCATATGTGCTGTTCAACAGCATCAGGCAAGGCATCGTCGTGTTCAAGACAGTCTCGGCCAGGCAGCTGCTCAACCCACACCGGGAATGCAAGCGTGTTGATCTGGGATAGCAGCGGCCTTGCAAGATCGAAACAGAAACATTGAAGCTGCTGGAAGTTAAAACTCAGCTAAGGCAGCTGAGGAGCTTGTGGATGGACTCATGCTGTGCAACAGCCTCACTGCTGGCAACTTGCATCATATTCGAGCTCGGACAGAACGACAACACGTCAGTCTCTGCCAGAATGCGAGGCCCCAGCAGGGTGTGACCGCGAAACATCGTGAACAGACAAACATTGACAATCTGAAGAGTTGTAGGTATCCATCGTGGCCCGACCACACTTCACAACCATTCTCCTGCATAACAAACCAATGCACAACATGGCACCTTTGCTGCTGCTGCTGTTGTTGCGATCATCATCTAAGCCCGGCTCCCCCCCACCCACTGCATGGTCCTCACGTGCCATCGTGCAACACCCTCTGCCTTCATCTGACTTTTGGCTACTTCCAGCCAGCATCACTCCAAGAAAGAGTGTCTGTTCGTCGACCTATGTATCTCTAGCGATCTGTCATCTATCACTCTTCCCATCTATCTATATACCTATCAACCCATCCCTTTGTCAATATATCAATCTATCTACGGGCATGCTCTTATCGACGAACAATGGTTCCTGTCTTTGCATATATCGATATGTACCTATGTATATCCTCATACATATATATATATATATATATATATACAAGTAGACATGTGACTTTATGCAAACCATCATCTGTAAGCATCACCGCAAACTGCAGTTTGTTCACTCACAGACATGAGCCTTGGCGTCTGGACACCCTGACCGACTGCTTTCGATAGCTTGACTTCGAAGGAGTTCCAAGCGGAATTGTCACAGTCACCACTCGCCGTTGTCGCCTTCGCCCAGTCAGTTGGTTCCCGAACCCTTTTCGCAATCTTTCCTGCTTCAGGCGCAACATTAACCCAGTATAATGTAATCCTCCGCTTCGCAGGCCACGCATATCGCAATCTGGCGCACTAATTCAAGCTCTGCAAGTTTGCGCCCATCAAGCGTATGTGGCCTCTTAGTGGTGCAGTTTCGAGGCGAGACGAACATGATCTCACTGTGAGATCTTTTACAAAGGTAGCTGCCCGAGAAATAGTGGAAAAATGGCTGCAATACAACTGTCTATTGTACAGCTCCCGGTGTTGATTTCTCTTAGTTGCTAGTTTGTCTGATCTGTAGGGCCTTCACGACACCTGTAGCAAGGAAGGGAGAGCCCAAGTTATCATGGCGCCGTGGTGTCATAGAGATATTGAGCGAATGCGTCTCGGTTCAAGTGTCGTCGATCTGTGCATTCCCAGGTCTGGTGGTAGTAGCCGCTGTAGTAGCCCCACGACGCGCAACTTGCAACGATCCTTTGCCAAGGTAGTTCTGGCAACGAGCCCCAGATGGCCTGAGAAAAACTTACCCTGTTCCAAGACCCCACCCCTCGAAAGCAGAATGGAGCACAGTTACTTGGCGAAGTTTGGCCGGTGTTTCTCAATTGCACATTGGCTGCGGAACTCCTGCACCCTTAAATAAGTTCCTCCTGTGTCATCTTACAGAATCTGGCTGTCATGATAATCACGGGCAGCCGCTGCACGGCTCGACACATCAGGTGTGTTCACTACGTGACTGTTGCCATAGTCTAGCAAACCAACAGTTGCTGCTGCCGCCATTGTCACATATTGTCACACGACATGATCAATAGTATCCCGACAGACCAAGCGATAGAAACACAAGCTTTGGTTTTAACCAAGATGCAAAAGCAGCCTGGCAGAGTGTGGTCGATATCAGATGAGCAGACTCAGGCACAAACTACCAGCTTGTCACCATCTTCGTCCTCGTCTGTTAGCCTCGTCTCTTGCATTGATAGGCTTTGGGACACCTTAAAACAAGGAAAAGCATAACTCAGAGACCGACTTGGTGTACAGGAGATTGAACTGATCTCTGAAGTTGTCAAGCTCGTGCTCCACAAGTTTATGCCTCATGTCTGATCTCTCTGATCCGTGAGCAAGACCGAACTCTGAGCTTCCGACAACTCGGTCTTATAGGCTTCCCGGTTGTCAAACTTCCAAAGCGAGTTTGGCCGAGGTCCCCTTCCAAACCCATGCAACTTCCGCATGTGGACACTGGTGGCACAAGCATGGCAAGCCTGGTCTCCAGAAGCCAATGTCGGAAAAAATGAGTCTGAAGCTGCCTGCCTCAATGCTCTTCTGTTGCTGAAGCTGCAGTACGAATAAACGTGACCAAGCTCGAGTAGGGAAGCATAAGGAAGCTGCGTCGATCGACTTCCGCAAGATGCGCAGCCTTCCCCTGCCGTAGAACCCAAAGTAGCAATTACAAGTACAAGCTCTCTTGCAGCTGCTCAACATCCTGTCCGGTCGCCAGGTAACCACTGCGATTTCGGTATTTCACTGCACGCCACCTCGTCCGACAGATGCGCACCAGGGACAGTTTCCATGTCCACCTGCATCACTCGGCATACAGGTAGACTCTCAGGTAGACAAGCATCGCAGGTGAAGACATCTACGGTCATACCTATTTACTTATTTATCTAGCAAGTCCAAATAAGTGTACAAATGTGCGTGGGTGTCCATACATACATACATACATACATACGTATACACGTATTTCAAACATGGCTGCGCCCCTGGTGCTCCACCCCACCACTGGTCCCTGCATGTGGAACGGCTCGGGTCTTGAGCTGTTCACTTTCCCTCCTCCCCCCGCGTGGCTGGCAATTGGCAAGTAGCAGGATGCGGGCTCGAGGCAAGTAGCAAGCGGCAGGCAGGGAATCTCGCCTTCCTTTGTGCCCGGGCTGGTCCGGACCCCCACCCCCTTCCGGGAAGTTTCAAGGCAAACCAGCCAACCATTCCACAGCAAAGCTCAAAGGCCCAGCCGTTGCACAGGGGAGGGGGGCCTGAGGCGATGATCACGCCGCAGCCGTTTATGCACAAAAACGTAAAACAAAAACATTAAGCAAAATTAACAACTACAGGTACAGATACATAAACTTAATGGTAAAAACAAACATATGTAACTATATAATTACAAACGATGTTGGTATGTATGTGTCAGCATAAACAAAAAAGGCAAACAGATGTATAAGTAAAAGTACAAGTACGAACATAAGAACCAATATTGCACGCGAAGCGTGGCGCCTTGGGCTCATGGGGCGCCTCTGACTCTTCAATCAGCAAAACTCTTAGAAACCTTGAACTCCGAGGATGCAGCCTTGGATTGATGAGGCGCCCCTGATTTTTGAGGGTGGGGCCTTGGACTTCTGATGGAATTTCCCGAATTTTAAACTCAGAAAAAATTTGACCTGCAAGCATGGAGCCTTGGACTGATGGGGCGCCCCTGAATTGGAATTCTTGCAAATTGAACTCCGAGGGTGGAGCATTGAATTGATGGCGCCCCTGGTTTTTATACAAACCTTGAACTCCAACGTGGTGCCCCTGATTGTGAAATCACAACACTTACAAACCTTGCACTCTGAGGGTGGAGGCTTGGTGTGATGGTGCACCCCTGGTTTTAACGTCAACAGACGTCCTTCTACACTCTTCACTTTGAACTGCTGACAGCGAGCACTGCGAGTCCCCGTCGAAGTTCTGATGGAAATCATCCAATGCGACTTGAACTATGAGTATTTACAGCTTTTCAGTGGTCACTGTAGAAACAAACAAACTTCAAGTTAGCTGCCGTATTCTCGTACGCGGTTCCGCCTTAAAAAGCGTTACTAGTGGCTCGTTTCCTTGAGAAACGACGAGGGCCAGCTACTTGTACGGCATGTCGTTTCTTCTTTGTCTTTGGTGTGCTGCTTGGCTTCCATTCGTGTCAGAGCTACTGGAGTCGGAACAATACATGTAGGCAGACCGCTGCACCGTCCGTAGGACCCGAACAAACACCGAGCATCATTCCGTGTTGCTGCCTCTCCAGAGCGTATCCGAGGCAGCAGGGGCATGATGAGGTGCGTCCAGACAAGCTTCAACTTAACCTATCGGGACTGGAACGGAAACGGCATCGCAAGGGAAATTTCTGCATGCACACATTTACTCCCGTGCCTTGTTGGGCCCCTTAGCCGCGTGAAAGAAGTTCTCGTGCAAGCGGAGGCGGTCAGGGTGCTGAGTGCAAACAAGAGCAGAGCGGTATGTCCTCTCTTTGTTTCTCTGGGGCGTGATGAGGTCTGCGAGGCAATATCTCTTTCCCTTTCTCTCGGTTTTTCCTCATCATCGAGATATGCGCCCAGTTCGTCGCTCCTGAAGTCTTCCGGAACAAGGCTCAAGCTGCAGGCGAGGATGCAGGCTAACATAGCTCGCATGTGTTCAATTGGAAGAGAGGGAGGACAGAAATCAGATCCCAGCTACACACATGTGACCATGCGGTTGGCAGCCCATTGCAAAAACTGGCACCGTTGACGATGGGTAAGTCAGCTGTACTGTATTTGTCCCACGACATTTCAACTTCATGTTCCCTGCTTCAACAAGACTGGCTACTGCAGGCTGCTTTCGCTGTGATCTTCGCTTTGGGACCTTCGGCTCTGCAGGGTCGTGCAGATGAAGCGTGTTTTGCTCGACATAATTCGGCCAGCGCTGAGATGGTTCGTAGTGCCCTCAGCACAGCCTGGTGTCGATGTCTACGTCTGGTAGTGCGCGGTGAGGCACAAGTCGGAGACTGTGCACGAGTGCACGAGGTCAGTCCCATGTGTTCGGGCCCCTTCCGGAGTTCTAGGCGAAGCCTAAACCCACTGTTTTCGTCTTCGGCTTCGGTCTAGGCCAGGCAGTTCGACTTGGAAGGTGCTTTCTTGGTTCAGACGGCCGCTCCCCGATAAGTTAATGAGGTCTAAGGCGAGTCCTGTTGGACTCCACGCAAGCCGCGCTGACGGCAGGCACTTACAATGTCGATCCTCTAGTGCATGAGCAAGTGAACCCGTCGAATAGGTAGTCAGGTCGGTACTGGTAGGTTTTGATTCTAACCATTTAACCCGTCGGAATTTGCTCCTGTATTCATGAAACTCATATAACTCATAACAACTCCGACTTCGCACACGGTCAGTTCAGCTGCAAGCTGCCTCCCGAAGGTCAACTCGTGACTGTGTGGCATATTTCGTTCTGTCTATGGCAGCTCTCGGCTCTTTGGTCTGTTCTGAGCTGGCGCTGCCTGGTGGACTCCCGGGAGCATCAGCAGCTCCTGCAGGAAGAACTTTGTGAGCAGCACTTATCAAAATGTCTTTGCTGCGATCCTCAATCTTTTGCAGCGGCGTCATTTGCTCATCCTTGAGAATGGGGATTATGCCTGCAAGAAAGAAGCATCAGTGCAAACATCCGACAAAGCCTGATGGAAGTGTACTGACTGTACTGAGCATCAAGCGCTTTGAGAAATCAACTCCTTCACTGGGCTGCACCAGGCCAAGCGCCTTAAGAGCGGTTCCCTCGCCATCGGTGGCTTCAGCGGCTGAAGCTGTGCAGGAAAGCACGGATCCCGAGACTGAGAGGTTCACTGCGTCGTTCAGCTCCGTAGCCTGGTGGGGTCGGGGTTGGATCTGACGAGCTGATGATGAGGTCCGTATCGCTTCCCTACCTTCTGTGGCAGCTTCGTGACCATGTAAGGCGTGAAACCTCCGGTGCCTGACACTGACACGAAGCACCAACTGCACGGGTCGAAATGTACGGGCTCAACACCTTGAGAGGAGAGAGATGAGGAGAGTCCGCGGATGGTGCTGCAGCTAGGAAACCAGATCAGCGGAGGAGCATATCTGCTGAGGCTGTTGGGCATGTTCTAGCCCTTACGTCTCATGCTGCCCTTCCAAGTCTGCTTGGAGAAGTGACGATCCTTCGAGACCGAGACTTTGCAATTCTGGCTTGAAATATCGACGCCTCCGTCCTGAATCAGGGATCTAGATTCTAGAGGGATCGTTTTGCCGCAGACACCTGGGAAGGGCAGTCCCTTCTTTTCAAGGCCAGGGTCCTAGAGCGGCACGGTGCATTTCGGAAGTGGCCTATGCTAAGATGCGATGCAAAGGCCCCCTCCTGCGCTGAGAGATACTGTGAAGTCTGGCGGCAAGCTTGGCAGCTTTGCTAATCTACTATAGGCTCAGCTCGGTGATGGTGCAGACCAGTGGTGAACATGCATGTGTGCTTCGGGCTTAGCTTCGAGAGACTTACGGTCTTCTCAACTCGCAATGATATGATCAAGGCGTGCCGGTTCCCCCTCTCCTCCCCGCCCTGTGGTGTGTTCTTGTTCGACCGAGAATGGGGATGATGCATGACGCACCTCCGCAGATGCACCAACGAGCCCCCTAGTGAAAGCTTGAAAGATCGAAGTATCACTCAGAGAGAGCATACGACAGCACTGCAAGGAAGGCTGGCCTCGAATGTAAAGGTTGGCACCGCCATGGAGCAGCTCCTAACATTGGCGATTTTCTCTGAGTCCTAGACTTGACAACGGCCGATGAACAGACTCAAACTGCTGCGGTGCTACAGTCTATAATTATCTAGCACGGCCTAGTTCCAATGCAACCATATATTTTAGTCATGATGACCTGGAGACTCTGCTGCATCATTGCACGAAGGTCAACAACACGGCTTGTCCCTGTTGCGTTGCTTCAACTTTGAATATGGTTGATTGTTCCTGATAAAGCCTTTCCAGCTAGTGCTTTGGCGTCTTTTCTTTGCTGCTGCTTCTGCGGCTGCATCCCGAACTATTTGTGAAGTACTCCAGCTATTGCTGAAGGGCTTCCGCTATCCACGGTGTGTGCAGAAAGCTGACGCACGTGCACAACTCCAGAGATTGTCGCGATAGCATTCGAATGGTGAGAATTGCGGAGCCGGTAACGGATGGTCAACGAAAAAGCTGCACGTGGCGCTGCTGAACTGAGTTTTGAAGCAAAGAAGAGACCTGCATCATCCTGCAACAGCACCTGCCGGCTTTATCCACCCCACAGCTCTCCTTCACCATGCCCGAATTTCCATTGAAACAGGCATGGTGCAGGGGAGTCCATCCATCTACGTCCTGCAAGCATCGCTCTTCAAAACAGAGGGACACAGGATGCAACATGCCCGTACAACAGCTGCCCAAGCAAGATGCTCGGCCATGCAAGGATGGGCCTAAGAAGAATCATCTGCTGTGCCAAGCCTTGACGTCAGGATCGGCACCGTTGCTGATCAAGAGCTTGGCGATCTCTGGGAGGTCCTTCAGAGTTTGAGTTTGCAGTCCCTCCAATAATTTGGCCCTGCCGGTCGTCCAGATGCACGCTCGGTTTTAACCATAAGATAGTATACTGTCAGAAGCCCCTTCGATGCAAGATGCCTTCCGGGCTGCCACATGTAGCGCCGCTCGCCCTCTCGCATTCCTGCCTTAGAATCAGGCCTAGAATGTCGTTCACGTCTGTTGGCCGTGTAGTTTCGACGGTGAGCAAGCGCTTCTTGCTCGACCAGAGACAAAACCCCCAAACAAATCACCAATTGGCTGACATGTTCGTGATCCGAGGCTTCAGATGTTCCGGATCCAGGGCGTCAGCGGAGGCCCGCGATGACGGGTTAGCACTGTCGCGCGGAGACCAACTGAAGATACGATACAGTTCTGTTGCCAGCACACCACAGCCACGCACCCCACGCACCCCGCGCACCCCACGCACCCACACGCACCCACACGCACCCACACGCACCCACACACACCCACACCCACACACCCACACACCCACACACCCACACACCCACACACCCACACACCCACACACCCACACACCCACACACCCACACACCCACACACCCACACACCCACACATCCACACCCACACACCCACACCCACATACACACACCCACACACACCCACCCACCCACCCACCCATCCACCCACCCACCCATGCACACACCCACACCCACACCCACACACACACTCACACAGCCACACAGCCACCCACCCACCCATCCACCCACCCATCCACCCACCCGCCCACGCACCCACGCACCCACCCACACAGCCACGCAGCCACACAGCCACGCACCCACCCATGCACACACGCCTACCTCACTTCTCGGGAAGACATAGTACACTTGCTGGATCAGCGACTCGCTGTTCTGGGAGCCGGGCCCTGCATCTGTAGCTTCAGACCTCTCAGCGGATCCTGAATGCGAATCAGGGCCTCAGTATGCTCCATTTGCACCGTCTTTGGTGTGACAGTTTGTGATGTCTGTCATCATCTCTGTGCAAGGCACCTCGACACACTCCTTCCGATCATAGAAAACCGCCATAGTCAAAGGAGTCCAACCATTCAGCGCCTTCCGGGCTTGGCAGGGCAGGCTCTCTGGTGTCTCAATCTCAGGCATCCCAAGTGCCGTATTCGCCTTGTAGTTCAGGTCCGCACCTGGAGAGCTCGGCAAAGCAGAACGACATGCCATGGCTTTCTGCAAATGGAGCTATCCATCGCTCTCATGCGCAGAGGCAAACCCTGCACCGTAAGTTTGTACATTGGCAGGAGGCCCACTTGTGTCATGTTGCACTACGACTAAGAGAATTCTCTGGTCCCTAAATGACTGGATTCGTTCTCCCAATTCCCGCGCTATCCCACACTGAGGCTGGCACGTTTCGCAATCATCTGCTTGACTTGAGTACCAGACCACTGGTGCATCTGCTTAACCAAATCCTGACCGCTGTAGCTAGCCAGGTCTCATCATAAAGCGCTGCAGAACAAACACAGTGACCAGGGTGCGATTCTCCTCCCCGAGTTGCTGCCTCGCTTCTGGGGAGTTCTCCTCGAAGGCAGCACCCTGGCACAGAGGATCAATCAGAAACACTCACACTTTGCCGTGCCATCGAAGGACCTCCGCTGGGGGGCTCCAGTCTGGCCTGCATCAGAAACGATTGCATCATGAACCTACAGGACATGCAGGCCAACTTTCGGAAGTGTGGGCCACAACTGAAACAAAGGCAGTCAACCCACAACAAGGCTGGTACCAAAAGGCACCCCTCAAATTCTCGTGACAACACGCCGAAGATAGTGATAAGAGGCGATTAGCGATGTAATTGTGCAAAACGTGCAGGTAGAATTCTACAGGCATAGCATCAGTCTGAGATCCCTGCTGCAAGAAGACAGTCAGCACGCCCATGTGCCGCGCACGTGCTGCGCGGAAGATGGGGCAATCAAAGTCCTACTCGCAAACCGCTGCCGGCGGCCACGCAACAAAATGACATTACGAGTGCCCGTCCTTGTTGTGCCGCAGCGGGTCGCAGCGAGCACCGAGAAGTTGCTTGGCCTTGTTTGCAGTTCACGTCGACGGGCATATGTGTCAGCACCAAAGCACGAGAGATCGAAGTCTCAAGCGAAACTCGACTGTACCGGTAGGGTGCAATGTCAAGATAATTCAATCAAGGACAGAGAGCGCCCACTGCGGCGAATGACCGTGACTTCCGTTGGCTTCCGCACAAGCCGGATTGCGGTTGCAATGTTGTTCTTGCTTTTTTATGCTTGAAAACTCCAAAGTGCTGCCCCTGCCAGCATTTTCGCAACGTTAACTGGAACGTCAACTGAACGTTGACTGTATGTTAGCTGCAAATTCCTACCAAATGTAGCAAAATTGTTGAGTGGGTGCACCCGTGGCTCCATCCTCTGATGGCTGCACGGAGGCTTGCTTCCCTCAGGGAGGCATGGTCTCAGGTTCCTGTTACATGTGTGAGCGGAGGCAGAAAGCTTTTAACATGTCGGGCCCGATTTCTTACGATCGGCAAGCCAAACAAGTACCTCACGCACTCCATGTCACGACCATTTAGAAACGTCATCACTCGAGTCAGTCCCCAGAGCGGGGTCTAGCTTTGGTCTGCTCCTGGCTTTCCTACATGGCTTGCGGATACTTCCAGTCAGAACTTTACATAGAAGTCACAATCAACCTTCAGCTAATGTTCAGTTCACGTTCAGTTAGTCGGTGGATGGAGGAAATGTTGCACCACCTACACACACTGGTTCGAGTACACATCCAAGCAACAACACCGCGCCCACGTTTTAACATTGACGAGATCTCTTGGGGCGGTGCAAGATTTATGTCATTGGAACGATTTTGTAAAACCCCGTGTTCATAGCAATGTTAAGAAGGAGCGCGGGGTGAAGCTGCATAACATATGATACAAGCGGTGCAAGATTTCCTCCATCCACAGTAGTAGTAGTAGTAGTAGTAGTAGTAGCAGCAGTAGTAATAGCAGTAGTAGTAGTTGTCGTAGTAATTAGTAATAATAGTCGTAGTAGTAGTGATCGTCGTCGTAGTAGTAGTAGTAGGAGTAGGAGTAGCAGCAGTCGTAGTAGTAGTAGTAGTAGTCGTAATCGCAGCAGTCGTAGTGGTAGTAGTAGTAGTAGTAATAATAATAATAGTAATGTAGCAGTGGTACTGGCTGTTTTCTCGTCTAGTAGTAGCAGTAGTAGTAATAATGATAAAGATTGCAATCAATGTCAACCGCAAGAGCAAGCATCATAAACATAACCTCATGCAAATGATAGTAACAGTGGTAACTAAACAGGCGAACATAATGACGTTAGAAGCATGCCAGTACTATTAATATCCAGCTTAACTGCTTGCTTGCTAGCTTTTTCTGCTTGTTTTTCTTGTCTTGCAGCACATGGTAATAGCAATAATAACAGAAAGGAACATAATATTGTAAGTAAGTAGTACTGATACTAGTAGCAGCTATGGTCCATGGTAATAACACTTGCAAGAGCAATACCAGCAGCAATTGTAATGATACTGGCATTACTGCGACTAAGAGTAGTAGTCGCACGGATAGTGATACTCTTACGGAAACTGATAATACTAGCACTACTACTACCATTAGCAACAGCAGACCAGTAGTAATAATGGTGTAGTAGTACTAGTAGTTGTAATAATAATAGCGATAGTCATAGAAACACTAGTAGTGACCGTCTAAGTAGTAGTAGTAGTAGCAGCAGTAGCAGTAGCAGCAGCAGTAGCAGCAGCAGCAGTAGCAGCAGCAGCAGCAAGAGACAACCAACAGCAATGATGACATAGTAGTATTCGCAATTGTCAAAATGATCGCAATAGCCCTACTCGTAGTAACAATACTAGTGATCGTAGTGGTACTAGTAACAGTAGTAGTAGTAGTAGTAGTAGTAGTAGTTGTTGTTGTAGGAGTCGTCGTCGTCGTGGTGGCAGTAGTAGTAGTAGTAGTAGTAGTAGTAGTGGTAGTAGTAAGAGTAAGAGTAAGACTAAGGGTAAGAGCAAGAGCATGAGTAAGAGTAAGAGTACTAGTAAGCGCACGAGTCAGAGTGAGAGTAGTAACAATAGTTCTGGTACTAGTACTAGTACCAGTCCGAGTAAATAGTAGAAGTACTAGTCATAGCAGTGGCAATAGCAACACTACTGGCAGCACGAGTAATAGCAATGATAAAAGCAATGCTAACAGCACTAGTCACAGTCCTGGCAATGGTAATACTAACGGTACTCGCAAAAGTGATAGCAGCAGAAACAGTTCCAGAAAGGCAACATTCATAGCAACGGTACTAGTGGTGGTGAAGGTAGTAGTTATCGTAGTCGTCATAGTAGTAGTACTGATAGGAGCAGTAACATTTACGGTGATGTTTGCTTGTTTTGCATCGTTTCCTGTATGTTTGCTTGTGTGAGCACATGCTTGCTCACTTGCTTGCTCGCTTTGCGTGCTCCTTCTCTAGCTTAACTGCTTGCTTGCTTGTTCTGCTTGTTTTCTTGTCTTGCTTGCTTTCTTGCTGGCTGGCTTCATTTTCCTCTCTTGCTTGCTTGCTTACTTGCTTGCCTGCCTGTCTGCGGCTTGCCTACTCTGCTTATGGTCTTGCTTGCTTGCTTGCTTGCCTACCTGCATTTTTCTGGCTTGCTGGCTTGCTTGCTTGCCTGCTGCCACGCACCGCCGGGAACAAATGGAAAAAACTCCCGAACCAAATGGAAAAAACTCTCGCAAAAATGGGGACACCCGCCTTGCTTTTGCCAAGTGGAGACGGTCGCCGCATGCGGAAATACAGGGGACATAGATCATAGATGCGCCGCGTGCGCCAGTCGGCAGCAGTAGTCAACCCCTTCTCGTCCAGACAAACTTCAAACGGTTCGCACACATGTTCCTCAGATTCTCCGCGACTCCGCGGAAGCGTGGGCCAATTTTGGAACCGCGAGGTGCTCGCGCGATGCTCATAATGCTGGTTTATAGGGCTTATCGGGGTGCCATTGAAGGCTTCAGCAGTCATATCCGACGAAGATCCCGCCAGTGAACGCCGCATGATGCCATGCTCGTGCACGTGCACAAGTGCCGGTGCGGGTGTGCATGCGGGATCGCTCGATCGCAGTAGCGACAACACCCTTGCAGGTGAACGCATTCCGTCGGCGGACATATGGTGGGGCAGAATACGAGTACGACCAACAAGGAAAAACATCGAAGCATATCGAAGCCTCTACGATTACAAGTACGAAGGGTTTAAGATGGCTATTCGAGAGAATGCCTCGAAGGCTGCGTCGCTCCGCCGCATCTTTAGGAGCACAAGCCCTGTTCCATCTTCGGAACCGCCGCGCAAGTAGACCGGCCTTCCTTCTTCTGCTACAACAGAAGCCGACCGACGCCCCCGACCTTTGAAGCCATGGCCTTTGGAAACCACATGGCCTAATGCACAGCATCGCCCCTGTGTAGGTGCATGGATAACCCGTGGTTTGTAGCGGCAAAGCCTGTTGCACATTTCTTCTGGCTCTCGGCTCGGCAAGCGCAAAGGTGGCATGCGGCTGTTTAACAAGCAAGGCTTGGTGTCGCACGAAGCTGGCCTCCATCTTTCCGCACATATGCAGCCTGAGGCGAAAGGACATGGATAAGCTCCTGACACATTTCCCAAATCCACGAAATCGATACTTTCAATTCTGGAAGGCGCGAAAGAGTTGCGAGCCGGAGAGACGTTTGAACCTGTACTGAGCTTCACATAGGCCGTACGAGGAACGGTTCACGCCAAAGCAAGTTCAAGTAGGGTCTGTTTGGCATAAAGGAGTTTCATGATCCTCCAGACTCCAGGGTAGTTGATTCTGGGATTACTGAAAGCTTCTTGCTTTGATGTGCATCACTGCGATAAGAACTTCAATACAGGGTCCAGGCCAGCCCGGAAACATGACAGAGACAACCGCAAAGCAAAGCCACGTTTTGGATCGACAAGCTCACATTTGAAGACCCTTAGCTAAGGTTTTTTGAGCTGTTGGTTCAGCTTTGGGGCAGCAAGAGGTCAGGTCCAAAGTCTTCGGTTTGCTTTTGAACGTATTGATTCATTTCTATCCTGTTTGAGGGCCGGCGGACTGACCATCCAATTTGGGGGGACACAGCCGTTTCTCAGAAAAGAAAGTGTTAAACATCGCGAACTGACAACATTGCACGCCAGGTGGGGCCTTGGCCCTTTCTGCGCCAACCAGCTCGCCCTGAATCCTACCAGAACAGTTCATTGCAGCCTGCTTTCTTGGGCAGGGGAGGCGGGGCCCAGACATAGAAGCTGGGCAACAATTGACGGAATCGGCACCAAAAAAAACACCCGAAAGCTTGCAGCACCTCGCCACTGCCCTCACGTTTCACGGCACTGTTGCGTAAGCTCGAGGCAGCGCAGTCGTCCCGCTCTTGTCAGCAATATTCGGATCCTCGGTTAGTTTGATGCATGCCCAGAGGCCTGTGAACTGAAGCTCTACTCTAAGATGCACGCAGCCCGGCTATGAAGAAGGGCGAGAGCCGCCTGGAAATCTTCGTGCATTTTGAGGATTCCGCTCTGACAGCGGGCTCGAGATGCACGCACCTCCTTCATCGGCTCTTTGTAAAAATTTGCGACTGTGGCCTCCAAGCACAGGCAACTGCAAGAAGGCAAAAAGCATTCTGAATGCCACACCTGCTCAAGCAGCCGTTCTGACGATTTCCGGTCGAATCCTTCGGCCATGAGGGCTCGGCCTGTCTCCACAAGGCGGAGAAAAGCGCAGAAGAGAGTACCGATCCAAGGTTGGTAGGACACCCACGAAGGTTCTCTTCTTTCACGAGAACTTCGCACCTGCTTCAGTCGGCGCTTATACTGCGCTCATCCATAAACTCCACAAATTCTCGACAAACACAGTTATGGTGATGGTGGATCGAAGCGCACAGAAATAAAATTGATAAATGCGCAAACATGTAATTATCTTCGGAAACAAACAGCAACAGCAATCAAGGAATGACCCCAACCGCGGAGTACGTCCTCCCCAGTTACTGCATGTCCGGGGGCCCCTTCAGTTTTTGTTGAAGCACATGGCTGTTCTTTCGGCTTGGTTCTCAGTCCTCGCCTTGTCGAAAATCTATGTATACCGTTGCGCTCCTGATGCTTAGGACGTAAATCTTGCCTGTGACTGCCTGTTTTGAAAATGTTGCAGGTGCAGTTTGTTGGCTTCTTTCTGCTTGCGTTCGTTTTGCGAACCAGAAAGTTTCTCTTGCCATCCCCTTGCCGATGGTTTTTTACCCTGCCGCGCGAGACATGACCAACATAGCACAAAGCCCAGACATGACCAGAGACGGCTGCATGTGTTGAAAAAGCGAGCACATCTCAAGAACAGAGCTCGGTGCCCAACACGCTCTTGAACTGCTTGATACCAATGACATTCAGAAGCCCGTGCATGTAGTCGAAGAACTCCTGAAGTGAAAGAGCTGCACTTGTGCTGTGGGCCCAATTATCCGAGAACGGCCTCTCGATCGAGCCGGTGGTTGTGGTCTCGGTCCGCTTGACGGAAGAGCCTCTGTGCCTTTCCAACGAAGCTTGACGAAGCTTTCAGTGCGCGTCAACTTCTGCAAGCATCTGCACCTCCTCGCTCGACAAGACCTGTCAAACAGCTCATGGTGTCGACAAGTGACCAAAAGCTGCTTGCAGAAGGCAAAGGATAATTTCGCCTCGGCACGTCCAAGGGATTCTGCTGCAATTTCATGAACCTTCACCACGGTGAGATCGGAACGGTGAAGGATGAAGGAGAAGGACACAACTGCTCGGCTTGGCTCAGGGGCAGGCCCGGCCGTGATGATCCAGGAACTCTTTGAACTGAATCGTTCCACTGCCGTCAACCTCAGAATGGACACCGCTGCCCCTGGGCGCAGGAGGACCCATTCTACACCGCGGACGTCTGCCAGAAAGAAGAGCTGGTTGACCAAATCTTGAAGCCTTGGTCGCGCATGGGTGTGACACATGCCGGGCCAAGATTATTCCCAAGCACGGGGCTCTGCTTCAGTTTCAGGCTTTGCCCCAGTGTTACCTGTCCATTTTCAGCACTGTGCGGACGCAGAAACTCCAGCATGCAGGCACGCCAGAGCCCCGCGATCCCGAGCACTTGTTGCCTGTCAGCGTCCTGGCTGTCGTGGCTACGGCGTGTCATGCAGAGTAGCTCCAATCAATCTGAGGTGCCTACCTTTCCAGACTCGGAAGTGGTCCTATGAAGCTTTGTCGTCACTTCTCACTCTGGTCGACAAAAGACTTAAAACTTGCGATCTACCTTCTCGCAGCACCCCTAACCCCTGCTGCTGCCGACCAGCCATGTACCCAGCATTTGCACGGATCCGGAAGCATTGCCCAAGAGTTCTGGTAGGTTATCCGTTGCAGGAATCACTGGCACGAGCATGCACACTTACTGATTACTAGCTGCACAAGGAGTACGAATCAGCTAGCTACCTTGGCCAGCATCACGCTGCACCAGGCCATCCGCTGGGGACATGGCGCAGCAATATGCCTGAGACAAGAACGATCTGCACATGCAAGATCGTTGAATGCCTGAGGAGCTGAGAAACGGACTGTCCAGCCCTAGGCATGCAAGTGACGGAAAGGCATTATTTCGGCTCAAAGGCGACCACTACACTTTCCTACGTACTCTCTGCTGCTGCATGCTGCCGTATCGTTCTGCAATGACTGAAGTGGAAAGAGGTCTGGATGAGAGAGTCTGTCGTCTGTGCGCCGAACTGGCATGACATGTTCAGTGAGACGAGTCAACGTCATGTGAAACGGCTGCTGATGAGGGAGGTGTCAGAAAAACTCAAGACAGCTTGCACCGACTCTGCAGGTTTGTCGGCCCTGCCCCGGCCTCCACCGCCACATTTCCGTCTCCTCGTCCTCATGCCGTCGCCCAGGCAAAACGAGTCAAAGGACAAGGCAGTACAATGAGACTTGTTGACCAAGTGGCGTCCAATACCATGCAGGCGCGGTGCAGATATTGACCTCTAGGAGGACTCAGGCAATCACTGGGGGCTCATCAGGGCAGCCATCAAGTCGAGTGCAAGAGACACTCATACGCCACCACCAACGAATCTGAGATGCTGGCTTCTTCATTCCAGGCTTCTTCAAAGCACTGAGGGGTCGCGAACGAAGCTGCGGCATGCTGCAATCACCGCCTCGTCCATATTGCTTTTCAAAATCCGAATCATTGCAAGCCTAAAGCAAGGTGGTTCAAGGAAAAGATCATGAACAGTTCACAGTTCCCCAACTAAGGCTGACCTCCAAGCTTCTCCAGCAAGAGAACCTGGCAAACTTGGACCGGCGACAGGTACAGGAACCGACTGCATGGAGTCCGAGCTCAGCTGCCTCCGCCCTCTTGAACTCAACTGCACCGCGGTATACTGCCCAGAAATGTGGTTCAGCCTCAATTCAGAAGGCAGGCGAAACTACTGCATCCCCTCCTAAGAACACCAACGGCTCAAAAAATGGTTTACAGACCCCGCTCGTTAACATGTGAGCCAATTGAGCACGCATAATGGCGATAGAACGCAACTGCAAAAAGCGCGGCAACGCCGGTTGCAGTGCAGTTGAGAATGCCGCAATCTTGCCTTGCACGAGGAAGGTGTGGCCTTTGCCGATTGGGGATGACCCGGATATGACAGCACTTGCAGGTAAGACTGGGGCCCCGTGGGAACTTCGCATGCTTGAAAATGTAAGCAGCATGGGGTTTTCCTCCAGGTTTGGGCACAGGTACCTGCCCAAGGGCAGCCGCGCAAGCAAGACCAGTACAGCAGAGCATGAACATCCAATCTCCAACGCCTCTTTCATGCCTGGCAGATGCCGCATCAGGAACCTGCCCGCAATCTGAGTCTGGCTGCGAAAATCGGCAACTGCTTGCCTCAACTTCTCATCACCCTTCTTGACCATCTCCTTGCGGCAGGGATCTCGCGATTTTCAACGCAGGTCCATTGACGGCATGTTCCAAAGCGAATCGCGTGCCATGTTTTCCACAGTTTCAAAACGAAGTATGATTCAATGATGGAATAGATACTGTAACGCCGAGGCTTCGTTATCAAAGCTGGCCCTCTCCTCTTTCAGGACATTGTCGAAGTCATGCCTCGAAGATGTGTCTGGGCCACAAAGCGCGCAGCGAGAGGCTGAGGCCCGCTCCGTCTGATGACGAAAACCTCCGTGTCTTCCAGACACTTCGCAGAAGCCAGCCGTGGCCTCGAGTCCAACATGCGCGAAAAATTTCTGTACAATGTCGTTTCTCCATCGCTGCCCATTACAATAGTATGACCAGGAACCCATAGCTGAAACGGTGTGATTGGCGGAGGATGGCGGTTTATCGACTCACGTCAGGCACTGTCCGTGTCATGGGTTCGGTTCATGCTGCGGCCATTACATATGACTGCTAGTATTCCCGTTGCCATCTTCATTGACACTGTCGCTGTCTTGTGTTGTTGCGGTGGTTGTATCTGTGGGCGTGGTATTGTTTTTCAATTGCGATTGCCATAACCAAACATATATATATATATGTAACACCATAAACCCTTAACCCAACACCCTAAACGTGAACCCTAAACCTCAGTTTAAACGTTATAACATACGAGCAGCTTAGCTGCGTTTTTGTTCAGGGTTGAGTGTCACAGGAGCCGCTCCCGAGAATACATTGTGGCTATATCGCGGTCGGGCCGAGCCGACATACATCACAGCCCTGGAATGGCTTTCGTGTTTACTGTTTGAATACGGAACTTTGCGCTTGCAGGGCGGAGCTGTGGTGCGCGATGTAATACATTCTGCTGTTGTTGCTGAGATTCTCGGCATCGACATCGTTGTCGCAATTGCTGTTGCCGTTTCCTGCAGCTGGCACGTTCGCTGCCGCGAAGGCCTTGTCGGTGTGAAATGTGTCTGGACAATGGTATTTACGGTGGGTCTTCTGTATGTGCTTTCTGACCTGTCCTGGTCAAACTCGAAGGTTGGCACCGTTTGCATCGGTAGTTGCAGACTTTGTTTGGTGTCCGTCCTGCGCTCACTATGATGTGACATGCATGTCCGCCTGGATGTGTGCCTCATGTTTCTTGTTGCATTGAATTGAATCGAGGGCTGATGACGTGCCATGGCAGTGATCTACGAAATGTTACTTTTTCTGCCCCGGTTTGGAGCCTTCGCACCGACCGCACCCGGGCGGCTTCCAGATGTGTCTCGGAGAGCTGGGTTCAAGGCTTTCGCACAATTGTTTCGCTCTGGTGGTGCGCTCAGCTGCTGAATTTAGCCTCAATGTCAATGACAAAACTGAATCACAGGACATGTCGACTCTGAAACCTGAAAGCGCGCTTTTCCCCACTTGCTCACAGCGGCCCAGCTGGCGCACGACCCCTCGCTGGTGAAGCTACGGGTGTGGGACCGTCTTTCATTTCTTCTTCTCCACCGTGGCCCAGTCTTGGCGGGCACCATGTGGGTGGATTGTTCTGGTAGCCCCGAGATGTAAACATGTCAGTTGCGAAGCCTTATTATCCGTACAAATCAAACCCCAAAGAAGCCTCCAAGAACTGGGCTTGACTGCTCACATTGCGAACACGACCACTGCGCCAGGCCTCCGCTTGAGATGAGTTTGCGTTTCTTATGCGTTAGAGGGGTGAAGGAAGGTCAGCAGGAAAGAAGGAATTACACTGGACTATCCAAAGCCGAACCTTGCAGCCAACGGCATACCCTGTCTCACGTTTTGCTTTAAACCTAAACACTCCAGCGCCTCCCGCTGGAGTTTGCGCACGAAAATGATAGCCTCGGTGGAACCACACCACAAATTGCTCCATTTGTTACCCTGGGCACTTCTGGCCTCCGTGCTACTTTGGGAGGATTTGGGTCATTCCCCATTACAGTAACCGTCTATAATAGGGGTCCGATCAGGGCCTATATATATATGCATATATATATATAGACATCCAGATTGTAGTTCATATTTAACTGTTACTGGGCGGGGGAAATACCCAAGGGAGGATCTTTAACTTTAGGGCTTGCGGGGTTGCACCACGACTGCTTAGGGACTTTATCCGCCAAGGCGCGAAGCCGACAGTGCGAAACTTTCTTCGGAGTTGCTGCTGCAGGTGCAACCTGCGGCGCGCCTCGCGGCACCTGTGTACCTCACGTTTGTCTTCGGGCGAAACGCCCTTCACCCTACACCCTCAACCTTCAACCGTTAAATTCCAACCGTAAATGGTTTGGAGCTTGGGCTTTTGAATTGGGGCTTGTTCTGTAAGGATACCGACATCCAAAAATCCTAAACCACAGGTCCCCGAATCTATCGAACCCCCCGATGTCGACCGAGGAGCGGCATACGAAGCCACAAAAGCAGTGAGCGAAGCAACACTGACGGCTGTAAAGGAAAGGAAGCCAAAGTCAAACAAAGCAACGGAACAGGAGGAAAAGGAAAATAAACTAGGAACAAAGAAGGAAAAAGCACTGGATACCAAGTACAGCTCCCTCCGCTTCATTGCGCCGGTCATCCAGCAGGCAGATGTCATCAGCCATCCTTCATGGGTTCAAGACTGACATAACGCTTGTTGTACCGCTGGTTTCATCATATCATCGTTCACTACCTATGCAAGATACTGCTCGCGAAGCTTCAACGAATCACTAACTCAGCACAACTCGTTTCCGACAAAGACCTAACAGCAAAAACGGCCAAAACGGATGTGCACGCGAGTTCCTTTGGAGCCGTCGTCGTCGAGAGTTGCTCTGGAGGAGGAGGAGGTGTACGTCGTCGCCCGTGTTCGAGCATGACGTCGCCAGAAAGCAAAAAGATGTCGGCCGTCCACGAAAGAAAGAGGCCCAGCTCGTACACGAAGAAGAACTTGCGTGGTTCAGGCAGAAGACGGGACGGAAACTGTTGACAGAGCATCCCGTGCACAAACGAATTCGCTGAAAGCAGGGAGCATAAACTGTTGACAGAGCTCCCCCATGCACAGTAGTCTCAAGGCCTCAAAGGGCTGAGAGGCCCTTGGCCTTGCGGGCCAAACTGCCCTGTGGGCGCACATCCAGGTGCTCGCCGCCGCCTTGGGACTCAAGCAGCACAGCAATGACGGGCAGCGCTGGAATCAGCACACGTGCAAGGTGCGGCGTAAACTCTAAGATCAGATGTGTCTTCTGCGCGGAGGGGCGCGCAGCGCATAGGGCATAGGCTGATCTCACGAGCAATGACGGACATGTCCTCGCCGCCCTCAAGCCAGGGAGAGACTTGCTTGACAAGTGTCTTGAACTCTTTAGCATCTTTGATCGGCATCTGAAATCACGGTGCGAAGCAAAACACAGGCCAGAGCAGTACTGCAGGCACCAAAAGGGTGCGGGTGGCCAGGGCGATGTGGCATTTAAGCATCAGCCCTTTGTCTTTAAGGCTATTCTCAGAGTTGCCGAAAAGCTGGGCTGCATTAACCAAAAATGTTTGATTCAGGGTTTCGGGGGTTGAGGTGTTAAGGTTGGGGATTTCATTGGGGGTGGGTGGGGGGTGCTAAGGGTGTCGGCTTCACATGTAGGATTACGGGCTGAGTGTCACCTGAAGATGGGTCTCCGTGATCAGGCCCTTGAGGCTTCACAAAACCAGCAGCAACTCAACTCTGTTGAGAGGCGTAAGGCTCCTTCAAAAGCTTTCTGAGACAAAGGGAAATGAGAGAACGGCTTTCAGGAACAGCTTCTACGGCCCAACCGCCCAACCCGACACTGGCTTTGGCGTTTCAAAGGTGCGGCTCGCAAGGCTCCGCTGCTTGCAATGCCAAGGAGCCATCATCCATCAGGCAACCCTTCATGCTATCATCCTTCTTGTCTGTGTTGAGACCATCTTCCTTCCATAAGGGACTTTGGCAAATCGCACCAAAATTGCCAGGGGGCTTCAAAAAGAGCTGTGTCCTCGCAACGAGCCTTCCAGAACTGGTTCCCAATTGCTTTGCCAGCTTTGCCAACCAACCTGCACGATGGGCTACTTTAGCAGCAACTGAGAGGATTAGTTTCTGCAGCATCTTGCACAGGTTTCTGCATGCACTTGACGCTCGGCCTGCCTACTAGCTTTGAAAGAGGCACGCACGTTGGTCCCATCAGTCACTTGTTAATGCAAAAAGTTGTTGAAGTTCTCCTGGGACCTGGATGTGGATGATCTCTCTTCCACTGCTTGCAAGCCGCATCATCCAGTTTGCACGAAGACCGGACTTGCAAGTCAGGCCGGGCATATCGGACGAACGCAGACAGCACGTAGGACTTCAGAAAAGTTGAGGAGAATCGAGGAGATCTAGAACTGCTTAAGTTGCAGAATGATAGTAAACGAACAAGACAGCAATAGCAATAGAGATTAGCAATGGAGAGAGAGTGAATGATTGAGTGAGTGAGTGAGTAAGTGAGTAAGTGATTAAGTGAGTGAGTGAGTTAGAGAGAAGGGATGGCCAGCTTAGGCTGTGCCACTTAGCAGATCCAGAGGTGCGCAGCAACACACTAAGACATGGGCGCGCTTGCAATTTTCTTGCTGCGTCGTACCTTCGTCATTGCAAAAAATGCTTTCGGCATAGTGGATTGTCTTAAACAGGAAACTCAACTAGCTGGCGCTCCGCTTCCAAGGTCTGGGCTCACTCTTCTTCACATGCTTCAATAGCGGCTCGTGGCGCAATGTGAACTCCACTCGGCCTTTCCATTCTTTTGGGTCACTCGGCCGCATTTTTGCCAAGGTCAAGACAAGAAGTTTTCTTCCCTGACAATGACAACCGATCCATCCTTGTACCTTTTTGTGTGTCACTCGTTCGTCGACCCATCGGGACATGTGCACTGGCAAAGCCTGGGAAGCTTTGATTCGAGGATCGAACACTTCCTTCTGCCGACGTGCGGATCAATTCAGGTTGGGGTCACTCACTTCCCACGTGTCGTCCCGAACCATGAGCATTCCGGCGCAAACCATTCCGGACAACCGTTTGAACAAGCTCCACTGTGGAGTACTATCCACGAGCTTTTGACGATTCCAGCTTGCACGTGAAACCCAATCAAACTGCCGTCAAACTTCACGAGATGAATCTCCGGCATATTATTTGGAGGAACCGGAGGGCACTCCACTCAACGCACCAATCAACAAGCACGCTCCAACGCACAGGTGCGCCACGATAATAGGCTTCGCACTCGCACGTTAGACAGTCTTGGACGTCACAGAGGCAACATTCTGAAGCGGTTCACTGTTTGTGGCTTCCTGCAACGCATTCGCTTGGCAGCTAGACGCCTCATTGGAGCTCGGCTGCTCCGCACTCCACCCAGTCTCCGTTCCAATAACTCCAGCCGTCATCGAAGCAAGACCTGTCATCGGACTAATATCAACCCAACCTTACTCACTGATGACTCCGGTCATGATCATCCCATGAAGACCAATCGTACCAATCCTTAATCTTGATTCCCCTTTCCTTGTTGATTCTCTTGCTGGTTCTCACCATCAGTCACTGCGACAGAACATGTATCCTTCGCCATTTCTTTTATGCATTCCTTTGCCTTTGCCTGGGTCTAATCTTTGTACACTCCTTTTCCATGATACCCTTCGTCCTCCTTTCCTTCCCTTCTTTCTATGCTCCAATACCCACGTGCTGGACCACCGTCATTCCTCTACGCTTGGCACAGTCAGACACCTGCTCTTGAGACAGCTCTACACAGCCCCCACAACTTCACTGAATGTTGACGTTGCGAACGTTCACGCTCAAATACTGCCGCAATGGACCAGTCGTCTTCTGCTTCATTACTGTGATCGGGAGTCAGGAGGTCATTGTCTAACAGCCTGTCAGTCGTTTGCTCATGATGATTTTTCAGGGCGATGAATCACTCAGTTCACTCTCCAGTTGGTCACCCCTCAGCTTGAACGAACGGATCTCACTCAGGAAGTCGTGGCTGGCGCCCTTTCTGGCCCAGAATTTCTGGCAATGCAAGCTGTCTGTGCAATCATCTCTACATCTCGAAGCAATTCTCTGTGTCCTAATCTCGAACAGTCGCCTAAGCTGCACCTTCAGTGATCTGCGCCAGCATGTATGCCAGGCAGTTGGCTGTTTGTGTTCCCGTCTGCTGCATCAAACGCTTCACTCAAGCCATTGTCGTTAGCTTCGCAACAGGTCTGTACAACCAAACGCAAGTCCATGTTCCCACTTCGTGCTCGTTGGGGCAGCACATTCGGGTGCGTATCTTTTGTTATAGTGAGTTGATCCTGTTTAATAATACACAGCATCAATCATTTCGCGAATCGATCGAAAAGGACGTTCGCAACAACTGGCTTCAGCTTATTCGGGACATTTGGCACGATTCGAGGCACAGTCTGTCTTCGCAGCATATCGGGTGCACTCATGCACTGTACATGGCATCATGGGAATCATTCGCATATCGGGTATCAATCCGTTCAGTATGAGCCTGAGAGTTCAATCGTTCAAGCGTTAGAAAACGGCGCTCAATCTTTCAATCGCGCTTCAATCAACCAAAGCAACACAGCATCACTGAGGGAACTCCTAAATTCACATTGGCGGGCACACGGGTTACGGGGCAATCTCACTTCTGTCCCTTGCTTGGCATTCGTGCGGAGGCACACTATGCAGTCTTCTCATTGTCATCCTCTTCATCTTACAGCATGTCTCGGGCAAAGGAACCAATGTCCAATGCTCCACCCATCTGTTGCATTGAGATCATTGTGTGGGCACCGCAATCCCGCCAAGCTCATGTTGCCAGTCTCGACCGCGATCCAATCATACTCTCGGGCCGCTCCATCCTCGACTCTCTCCTTTTCATACGGGAGGCTCTTCCACTCCACATGCCAAATCATGCCAGATCCGTTTGGCCAAGAACTTAAACTCGGCTTTGGACATGCGGCACTTGCGAGTCTCAATCATGTACTCATTCAACTAGTTCTGGCTCGCTGAACTTTCGAACGGTGACATTCTCAATCTCACAGGAACTCACTGAGCCATTCGACTGCTCTTCGGCAGTGCTCAAATCTGCGCATCAAGACGACAGCATTCGTAATATCGCCGCCTGCCATGTGCTCGCAGACAGACTTAAAAGGGACAGTACGCATTATTACACATCATGGTGGTGTTCATGTCCAGCAGAGCCAAAGATGCAGGAGTTATTGCATTGGTCTGTCCCACTGTGCCGTCCGTGTGAACTGCTGCGATCCTCTCAGGTTCCTGCTATATATCCATGGTCTTGCCGTTCATGTCGCGCTGTGTTTATCTGATGTTTGAAGGTCTGATTGTGGAAGGAACCTGGGTACTTTAGCCGTCGTTCAAGAGTTAGGCAACGACAGATGTGTCGTTTTTCATACTATGCTACAAGCCGGCGGCAGAACGCTTCCTGCTTTCAGCTTTTGTCAGGGCGCGGCTGCATCAAGTTCATGTTCCCCGGGCTTACTGCATTCGATGAAATCTAGTGTGCAATCGGCTGTTCGTGCAGGTGTTGAAGTCACCTTGGGTTCATGTGCTGCTGCGCAGGTACGGCATCCGCTTGGATCGCATGCACATGGTTCATCGATTACATTTCGCACGGCAGCATGGCCCCCTGAACCGGTACTAGTATGATCGTTGCCGCTTCAGGTTTGACGTTCATTTGGGTTGGGCTACATTCTTCAACCTGCCGAACATGCTCGTCGCATACTGCGCAAGTTGGGCGCAAAGGGTATCCACATGTTTTATGCCTCTCAAGCTCTTTTGACAAAATATGCGGGGTAAGCCTTTTCCCTCTGATTGTTATGGAAACTGACTGTTCATATGGAAAAAGCCCTATCGCATCTGCGCAGGGGCTGAACTTCAACCGAGTTTTTGATTCCGACAACACTTGATCCCTCCAGCATCTCGCTGTACACTGTGTTTACAGCTTAATCATGGATTCGTTGGGACCTGCGGTTGCTTGGGGTCATGATTTCTGTCAGTGCCATCGCTCAATTTTCCCAGCTTTTCATTGTCCGAATCGAGCAGCGGCGGAAATCTCGAACCCTACTTTGTCTAAACGATGCCGAGCTTCTAGACTCCCCATGAACTGTTGAGCTGTCAATGTCGAGCATTTGCACGCCCTACTAAATCCCGAGCCCAGAGGTGACTTCGTCATGGCTGGGCATGTGTAGTCTTGCTGACACGACGGGGCCTACTGAATAGCTATTCATATAAACGATTATTTCGAAAGTGGCCTGTCGTTTGGGAAATAGAGGATGTAATGTCGGACAGGTGGAATGTCTGTCTGATGCAGCATGGACGCCGGCATTGTCAGCTGATCCCGGCGGACTCTGCTGGAACTGAATTGAGACCGTTGCGAGGCTGGGCTCTGCTACCTGCAGATCATGCCGCTTCGACATTACAACGTTACATCTTGCATGTCCTGTTCATTTCGACTATCTTGTGTGCTGTTGCTGTTGCTGTTGCTGCTGTTGTGGTTGCTGTCGTTCTTCATGTCATTGTTAAGACTGTTGTTAATTGAATTGTTAATGTTGTTGTTGATGTCGATGTTGTTGTTGGTGGTGTTGCTGCTGCTGCTGCTGTTCCTGATGTCGTGGTCGCCGTTGTCTTGCTGCGGTTGGTAGCGGCTTTTGTTGCTGTTGCTATTGGTGTTGGCTGTCGAAATTGCTGCCGTTAGCACTGCCAACGTCGTTGCCACTGCTCTTGCTACTGCTGTTGCTGCTGCTCTGGCGCTTGTGCTTGCGCTTGCGCTTGCTGCTGCTGCTGCTGCCGCCATCGCTCTTCTTGCTGCTGCTGTCTATCTATCCATCCATCATCTATCTGACTATTTTTTATGTGATATAAGTATAAGTAGTTCTCTAAATTATAAACTGGAGTTCCTTTTTATGGGTCCTTTTCATGAGGGTGCCGTACTGTAGGGGACCTAAGAAATGACCCTAATTTGGAGAACCAGTGGCCGTTCCTGCTACTGCGACTGTCGTTAATGCTGCTATTGCTAGTCCGTTGTCTATTGCTGTCCTTACTGCTGTTTCTGCTACAGGTGCTTCTTCTGCTCTCGCTACTGCTGTTCGCATGGTCACCGTCGAAGAACTACTGGCTCAAGTCACAAGTGAAACCAGGCATCGTGGCTGGTATTTGTTACCAGAGCCTTAATCTCAGTGCCATTCAATAGCTTCCAACCCTTCCAATATCACGTTCGTGTGTAGACTGTATAGATGTCTTCTGCGCAACTGTTTTCTCGAGCTCCGCCGCACAAGGAGGTTAAGCAGAAAAAGGTTGTTGGTAGGCGCGCTCTAATGTGTTTCCAGAGCGGTTTCTCGCTTCTTCTAACCGACTGTTCAGTCCCGCCGGCAAGTTGTGGGAAGGCAGTAAGTTTTGGAAGTGAAGGTCGGCTATTGCTTCGGAAGGTGAGTATGCACCAGACCTTCTTTCACAGCTCCATTTAACGTAGTACAACATCTCCTTACATCGTGTTTAGCATCCTGACCCTTTCGCAGAGGTCGCGACTGATCATTCATCAGCGCGAGTTCGCCCACCACGCTCCCGGGCCTGTAACATCCGTTGCAGTCGTCACGAAACATACACAGCAAGGCAGTAGCAAGGTGTAAAACCTGCAACAGTTGGATCATTTCACTGAAACCACTGTTCCACACGGCATTACTTCAGAAGGTGCGTGGATTGCCAAAGAGCCAGATATCCTGAAGCCATAAACTTTGCCGGGCAAGGGACCCAAGCTTGGAGACCCGATTGCCCAGGTTCGTGTCATCGTGGTATCGACTGAACCTGGTCCGCTTGGGAGCATAAGGGCAGCTTGATTCACTGCAAAGTCGGAGCACCCATCCACTGTCTTCTGGCCAGGAAGAAAGCTCTGCCTCATCCAAGCGGCGGACAAGCATTCTTTCAAACGAAGCAGCTGTGAACTTTGCAAATTCTTTCAGCGCAAGACATGAAGTCGGTCTCTGTTGCCAATCGGGCCGTACCCTGGCCGCAACAAATCTATGCTATCGGTCATGTGAGAGACCCTACTCTTGCTCACTCGAGCTGTTTAGAATTACTATGAGCCGTGCATCGCTGCTTCAACCGGCTGCATCATCTGTGCTGAATATGCGTTTGATGTCGAAACCTCAGTAAAGCACATCGCGGCCTGTGCAGGATGAGGCGGCATTTCTTCGTCGGACCTGGGTGTCAAGAAAGAGGAAGGTTAGCTTTCTTTGGACAAGACGGGAAAGGTGACATGGAGGTACCGGTGGCTAGCCATTGGAACGAAAGATCGTTGGTGATGGAAAAACAGCCACATCAAAATCGCCATCAGATCTGCAAGTCAACACAAAAACCATGTGCCGACATCGCCATGTTGTTCCCAACATGCTCCTGCATGCTCCCGCCCTACAAACATGAATAGTATTGTGGCGTCTCAGCTTCTGGCAGCGCAAAGACACCGACTGCTCCACCGATGACGACCTGAGGCCACTTTTCTTGATGAAAGTGGCATAAGGCCCTTCTTCTGCATTGAGTTCTCCTTCCCACCCAAATTGAAATGCACGCAAGCAAACAAACAAACAACCAAACAAGCAACCACACAAACACAACAGATAGTAGCACACACTTCCGCGGACTTACCGTGACCAAAGCTCTGGCAGAGTTATCAGATCGACTCACGTTGCACATAGCGTGAGGCACCCATTGGTCACCGTTAGTCAAAGGAAACCGAAGTCTCCTCTTGGCGTCCGCTTGCAGAAGGTAAGCGCCTGGTCTCCGCAATGCTGTTTGATCCATGTCTTGGCCTCCTCTTTGTCTGAAGCGGTGGCATGACAAATTTGTGTTGCAGTGGTTTGCAACCCGGGGTGTTACCCCAAGAACTAGTGGCTTTTGCTGCGGCTCATGGTATTTTTTGACCCGAAGTGCCTGCAGCAAACCACTGGTCGTGCAAAATTGCAGAACATCCCACGAGCAAACGAAAGACGAACAAGATGGACGTCGAGCTGGCAACTAGCATGATACGTCAAAATGCTTGCACGTTATAATACACTCTCTGAGCCGGCATCTGAACATCTGGTTTCTGCTGGATGCGGCACCACATGCACAGTGCCCATCTGCATGCTTGAAGCTCCCGGACACGTCGCGTCCACCGAAAGGGTTGTGACATAGCTGGGGGTGCGTCCTTCCTTCATGTAATGTGGTGAGGTTCTGGCATTGTCGGCCGAACACTACACTCGCAGCGCGTGCGGAGCTGCCCGGGGAGACACCGGCCCCACCGGGAGTGTAGTCAATCGAGGGATGGCGCCGAACGGCGGAACCGAATACGCCGTACTCACCCAGAGGGTTGTCAATCCGAGCCATTTCGAGACCACTGCCAGCATCTGCCAGCTCCATGTATACACTGCATCGCGGACGACGAGTCCACTGCACACAAAACAGCATCGAGAGCGTTGTCATGCAACTGTTCGGGCCGACCGGACATGCTGCTCACCGTGGCCTTTGCGTTAAAGGATATTAAACTATAGGTCAAAATAGCGCCAGAGTACTCTGGCCAACCAACCTCGCACCAACCTAAGAGATAACTTGACGTCAACATCATCATTACATTCGCCATCCAAACCACCTCCACGAAAAAAACACTCAGAACCTGTTCGCGAATTCGAAAGTCCTCGTTTAAGATTGAATGTACCTGATATGACTGAATATGCGCGTTATAAAAAAGGCCAGTCAGCTCCTGTTGCCGTTCCCTTTGATCTCTCAGGAAATGAAAAGTTGACATGCGCAACAAAGACAGAGGGAGGGAGGGAGGGAGGGAGGGAGGGAGGGAGGGAGAGGGAGAGGAAGGGAGAGGGAGAGAGAGAGAGATAGACAAAGAAACTCTGACAACTACGCACACACAGAGACAGACAAGCACCCTCGAACATGCACACAGGTATGCAGTCACATACACTTAGAATGACCCTCCTCAATTTGAAGGAAGTCCTTCCATGGGTTAGCAAGCTAGTCTCATCTGCTTTTCCAATCTGTTCATGCTCACTCTTTCATCCTGTTGCATCTCTGCGAATTTCTTCAAGGAATGTTTTCAGCTCTTGTCATTGGCCGCTTCGTTGGCCATCCAACCAGGACCAGAGGGATGGCCCCCTTGCATTCTTTAATTCTGTGTCCCTTTAGAAACAGTGTTTCGCACACACACACAGACACAAACACACACACACACACACACACATGTGCCCCTATGAAGGGGTAGCAATCAGCTGTAGTTGATCGCAGTCAAGCAATCCTACATATCCCAACTCAAACGTATTTGCACATGCTGACTCTACAAATTCCAACATACATGAAATTGCACATGCCGATCCTACAGATTCCAACACACATGAACCTGCGCATGCCGATTCTACAGATTTCAACATGCATGGATGATGAGGGTCATGATTACATTCGCAAGAAGATCACAACGAGTGGAGATGCGTGAAACCCTGCATGTGGTATCCGTTTTCGTGGTGCAGGCATGAGTGAGGGAGACTTTAGGGAGACAGGCCAGTGAAATGAAAGGGTGATGAACACGCACGCAAAGAGTTCACAATGAGGGGAGGGGTACGCTCCCTGGCAAACAGACTCAGCTGAACACCTCTGAACACGCTTACTGGAAGGCCGCTGATCGTGCAACTTGCGCATCCTCTTCTGTGGCTGGAGCATAGCAGCTGCCCGGTGGATCGCCCTGCTTGAACAGCACGGTACCGGCCTGAGCCATTTGCGAGCTTCAGCATTTGGAGCTGGCCGTGCGCTTAGTCAGCGGCCTGGCAGACAATGGAGGTCACTATCTCAGGAATCATCTGCATGACCGCAGGGTCCAAATCCTTCACAAGCTGGTGACGTATAGTGACGCCCGAGCTTCCATGCATCAGCACCTTGCACACCGTCTTGCCTTGAACAACTTCAGCGACGAAAGGGTTTTTGAGATACTGTCCTTGGTCAGTACAACCATCAGACACGAGCATCAAATGAGGGCTGCACTTCGCCACATATATGCTGCGTATCATTTTCGTGCCATGTTTCTGCCTGCGCAAGATATCGCAAGATGGAATCTAGGTTCCACACGCTCGACATCTCCATTGCCGTAGGAGTCACGGAGACGCGGCGAACGAAACCTCCAGGCACACAATCTTGCAACCGTGCAGCCAGCGTGAACTTCAACCAAAACCAGCCTCCATCTGGCGGGTCAAGCCTCGACAGCAGGGCTGGTCAGAAGTATGATCGGAAAGATCGCGTAATGGGCGCCCTGCACTGATTGGCGCGAAGCCTGGAAACAGGTTTTGCAGTGATGTGTAAAAGGCCTGCAAGTTCGATTCTCCAAGGTGGAGGCACCGCGCGCGCCACCAAAGCCAGCCTGGCGAACGGGGGACCCGCCGCAATCTAGCCGAGATGTGCTTGACGACTAGGGGCGGTCCTCAATGGGAGGCAAAACGGAGCGTCTTCCCGGAAGCGCGAGTGTACTGCCTCCCAGGCACCCCCAGCAATGCCAGCTGACGAAGCTCGAGAGCTCTCTGCCGACATGCAACACATCCCTGGCACCTCTGGAAGCAGAGGCAGCCTGCAGCACTGGCATCAATGCACTTGTTCGCGATTTGTCTCACGAAATCTGAATTCCTGCCTGACCCCTTGGAACTGAAGGCAAACTCATCATCTTCAGCTGAGGTCCTAGTGAGCGATGAAGACTTGCAAGTTAAGATACAGTGCGATCGCAGCCATCACTGAAGCTAAACATGTTGCACTGCACTGAACTCACTGGCAAAGTTTGCAGTCCTTTTCGATGCTGCACAACTTGCAGTGAGAACGCTTCCGCTCATGTTTTGTAGCTCTAATGGACTATTACTGCTATTGAGCACAATGTGGTGCGAACCTGTGCAGTGTATTCCGTGGCCTGCACTGGAGACATCTTGGAGTCACAATTGCATACTGTCACGCACAACTCCTTTGCGGCTTGCACCAGACCACGCATTTGCGTTGCAACGTAAGCGCATGTGCACCCGAATCCCTCGATTTCTGGAGCCGAGGATCGCAGCAAAGTCAGCAGATGATCAGTGCATTGCAACTGGAACCCGCCCAGGATCTCCCAATTTATGGCACTATGGAGAAGGATGGGTAGTCCGGGTAGTCAGATCAGCTGGCAACGCATGTCTTTCGCTCGTATGAAAGCACAACCTTAACTTAGAGAGCTGCTGTTTGCAAACCTTTGCCGCCTTGCAGATTCGCTTCGGCAAGTGTGCTGCTCTCTATTTGTGTGGCATTGTGGTGCTGAAATCTTCCAAAATGCTCTCAGGCTGCTGCCTAACGGAGTCATTGTGTCAACTTGTCAAACTCCGCGAGGAGGCATTGTGAGGATGATTTAACTGGGGCCCCTTGCAAGAAGGTTGACTAATGTACATTCCCTCTTGTGCAGCAACCTATCAGCTCGTGCTCGACACTTTTTCGCAACTCGCACTCACAGCTGCAACACGTTCGAACCTATGAAGGAGAACCCGGGCACACCGGGATAGTGCTTTGGTAAAACCTCGAGGTATCGAGATGCAACCAAAGGTCAACCCCTTTCAGATGCAAAACCCCGGACGGAATACCCGTCCCAGGAAGAGGGTCACTCCCTCAGACCTCAAGGTAGTCGCAACTCGCGCAACCCCAACTAGACCGGGGGACTCCACGGGAGGCCGGGTCTAATCAGGGCGGGTGGGTGGGCAAAATCAGCTGCCCGCCGTTTTGGATCAGACTTGAGCCAAAGTGGCGGACAGCAGCAACAAGACTAGAATGATGCATGTGCACCCAAGCCTGCCAAACTCTACACATGTATACATTCCCTCTTGTGCAGCAACCTATCAGCTCGTGCTCGACACTTTTTCGCAACTCGCACTCACAGCTGCAACACGTTCGAACCTATGAAGGAGAACCCGGGCACACCGGGATAGTGCTTTGGTAAAACCTCGAGGTATCGAGATGCAACGAAAGGTCAACCCCTTTCAGATGCAAAACCCCGGACGGAATACCCAATGCACTTAGCCCCAAAGCACTCCTTCACAGAAACTCGAACACCCGCAGCACGGCGAGGAAGGGGAGACCCACGAGCTGAAAGGGAAAAGAAGCAACGTGGCAGGAGAAGCCACGCTGGTGGAGCCAGGGGTCGGCAAAGCCGACACGACTGACTGCATCAGCCCAGTTCGTCTTCGACGGAATGTACTCAAAGAAGAAAGAAGTGCGCAGTGCAAACATTGCAATGTGAATCAACTGCGCCAGGCATTCGAGGTCAGGAGAGCTCGACCGGCCTCTGATGAGGGACATCAAGGCGGCTACATTGTCAATATACCAGTAGCCACGCCGCCCACGAAAGGAAGGGGCCCGAACGGCAAGGGCGTACAACACCATCGCCAACTCGAGTTGGGCAATTTTATGCTCTCCCGGAGTGAACTGAGCATAGACCTCGGGACCGATGTTGGCTATGAAGCTCTCTCGAATCTCCGGGGCATCAAGCCACACCAGGTGGAAGCCACCGGATCCCGCCCCGGGAGTGTCCTCCGCTGCGTCGCTCGCAGCGCAGAAACGGGCGACGGGTCGAGGCAACACCTCGAACTCCCGCTCTGGCCGCACCGCCAAAACCGCGCGGATGAGAGAGAAGCAAGCAAGGATTGGCGGGGTCAGCTCCCGGCCACCTTCATCTGAGCGTTCGCGAATCGCGCGAAGCCCACCGGCGCCCACGCGCCCATACATCCCTTGCTCAAGGAAGTTGCAGGTCCCATAAATCTTAGCTGCAAGGCCCGGGGAAAGGGAACTGGAAGCAATAGCCTGATCCAACATATCATGCACCTTCGAGACCAGCCGATCGCGAACAAAGAAGCGCACGAGACCAGACTGGAGACAGCCCTCGAAATCAAAGTTGAGGCCCAGGAAGGTTCCTCTCAAGGCCATCGGCTGACGCTTGGCGGGTGCAAAGGGGGAGCCAAGACAGGTGTTCAAGCCAGCAAAGCTAGACTGCGCGGAGCCTTTGGATGAAGCCCAATCTGTGAGATGAGCGTCATCGAAGTACATAGAAACAAGAATGGCAAGGAGGCGCCGGCCCAACGCTTCGGCCGCCCGACTATAGCGGTTGAAGCTTGTAACTGCCAAAGGGAGGCCAAACAGCAAGCCAGTGTAGAGCTGATAGGCTGGCTCACCCCAGTCCTGGTGCCACCACACCACAACGCAGCACCTGGATGATGCACCATCCATGGGGCAGTGGCGGTAGGCCTCGGGCCAGTCCTCGCCCCCACCTTCAAGCGCATCCTCGGCAGCTGCCCGCTGGCGAGACGGCTCATCGAGACAAGCGAGCAAGGCCGCCGCATGTTGTGCCGGCCGCAACGGGGAACACAAGACGAGCTTGTTCGGATCTGAGCTCAGCTCTGATTGGCCGCCAGTGTCGGCATTGTCGATAATGCGCTGTTTGCCGCTGCTTTGGGTAATGACGCAGCGCGGGATCAGGCGAAAAGGAAGGCCACCCACTGCTCGAAGGAGCTGTGGGTAACGGAGTGGCTCGGAGCAGAACCCGCTCTCGGCATCACGAAGGCTCTGCTCCAACAGGAATGCATCGTCCCGCCCTGGACGCAAGCTCGCCCGCACCCGAGCGTTGGATGCCGAGGCATCAGCAAGCACCTCTGCGTGAGAGATATCACGCGCGGACTGAAGGGGGAACACCATAGACTGGGGCTGTGCCGACTGCCGCCATCCCGAAAAGGAAATCGTGTGGAAGTGTCGGGTCCCCCCACGACACCAAAAGGGACAGCAGTGCCAACAGCCCGATATCCCTCTTCCGCGTCACTCGCCGGAGAGGGGCCTGCTGGCTCGCCCTGAGACGGGAATCCACGCCCGCCCAGCGCCGCTTGAGCTCTCGGATAGCCCCGAGAGAAGCCTGGCGCCACTCGCGAAGCCCCCGCGCTTGCTGGCCGTCACCTCGGCCGCATAGCAAAGATCAAGATCGAGGGCAGGCGGTTGCTCGAACGGGGTGGGGTACCTGGCAAGCTCAAGGGCAAGATCGAAGTGCACATCGGGTTGGAGACCGAAAGGAAGGGCAGGAGGCAAGGCTGCACGGTGGGCCATAGCCCAACCTGCTGGCCCTCAGCAGTGCGCTGCCACTGGCGCTGCTGCGCACTCACCAGCTGAGGCAAGAGTGGGCCGTCCCACTCCTCTTGCCGCCCGCGGCACCATTGCACGTAGTCAGTAAACGGGGGTGCATTGATCAGGTCCTCGACCATGGGGAAGCGGAAGTCACCCCACTCCACCCCAGGAAAGAAGGATTGAAATGTGGCCACCACTGAATCTTGATGCAGGTATGGAATAACTGCTCCCACTGGAGTGGGAAGGGCTGAGGCAGCCGCCGCCAGCAAGACACGGCGACTTCGCTTCTGGGCAGATCGGCGGGGCCGGCCCGCTGCACCCTGATGAGGTATGCCCTGTGGGCGCCCGGCATCGAACACGAGGCCTGCTAGGAGATCACCTTCACAAACCTGATTGAGTGCACAATCGCAGGCCAGGGTACGCCCTTCGAGCTGCACCAGATCGTCTGCAAATTGGACAGAACGTGCTCGACGTAAAGGGGGAGCCACTCATGGGCGCCGCAGTTGTGGCCTGGGACGAACGGCGAGGCCCACTGTGTCACGGGCAGCCTGTGGGAATGGTGACCTCGCCCCACGTAGATCACGTCGGGGGGCAAAGATTTGTCCTCCCGAAGTACCGAGGCGACCTCCACTCGCACGGGGACCCGGGCCGCCTCGCCCGGGTCGATCGGACGAAGACCAAGGGAAATGGCCAGGGGCGACATAGCCCATTCCCGCAAGGCCCGGGAGTCAATCTCCAGCCAGTGCTCACGCCGGCCGACACACTGAATCGGGGGACCCCGAGGCACTCGCAGCTTAGCTAGTCCCAAGCGACCAGCCCACCAACTGCAGGCCACAGCAATGTGGAATGCGAGCGGGGCGGTGTACTCCGCCTCCTCCTTGGAAGGGTAGAATACCCTACCCTGTGCCTCCCAAGGCTGCCACTCCTGTGGGTGGTGCGTATGATGGCACAGCAAAGAAGGGCCCTGGGTCAACTCCCAGATGTTGTGCCGAAGACGCTGTCGCTTCCGCCTGGCGCCCATAAAACAACAAGCATCATACCGGGTGTCCCACCATTGGTCCGATGCCCACATCTCTGCCTCCTGGGGGATGCACCAATGTAAGCTGTTGTTGGGGTTCTCCCGAATGGCGCCGCCACCGCGCTCCAGTGCTCTTCCAACACGAACTGGCAAGCGCAGTTATCCTTGGACACTCTGCGCTGGTCGTCGATCTTGAGACCTGGCAATCCCATCGGGTGTTCGTGGCTGCGAAGGGGGGGCGGGCCGGAGCGACCACTCGGCAGTCGCAATCGTATTTCACGAATCGCCGACTTGGTGCTGCAATCCAAAGCTGCAAAGAGCAAACATGCCTGATCGAGGCTCGGTCTCAGTTCAGCCTGGAACTCCGACCGAGAAATATCCTGCGCTGGATTTAGCAAGAGATCGACCGGGCCTGCACGCCAGCCGCAAAACAGGAAGGCACGAGTCAGGGGTGCATTAGGCCCGCACATAAGATCCATCATCAGGGGCGGGCGGTCGCTGGAGTGAACTAGAGGATCCACGGCTGTCCCCGAGGGGGGGCACCCTCACCGGATCTTCTCATTGCACTGCGCGGCCCCATGGGAGGAGGAGCCGCAAGCCCGCTGGGCGCGTACGATCACCCCGCAGCGATGGGCGCCCTTGGCGCACTTAGGGCCTTTGCACTTGCCTGACTGAAAATCAGGGCAAAGCTTTGTACCATCTTTTAGCACCGCCGCCACTCGCTTCCCACCCACTTTGGGTCCCTCCCGAAAGTGGGAGATCTGTGGCACCGGCGGAGGCGGGATTGCCGTGACCTGGGTCTCTCCCGAGCCGGCTGACAAGGCGGCACCTGTAACCACCCAGTGCGCGTCACGAGCTTCCATAACTTGCTTAATAATAAGCCCAAGGGAAGAGTTGCCTTCTCGGAACCTCGTGACCCACTCGCTGCGCTCTTCGACGTCCTTAGTCAGCAGCCACTGCAACCGGCGTGCTGGAGGCAGCTGGGATGCACATCTCTTTGCCCGAAAGAAGTAAGCCATCGCCACATCCAGGGGGACACCGACGAAATCGGCCGAAGAAGCACTCAAGACCGCCTCCTTGCTCATATCGACACCCGGCAGTGGGAACACACCTGCCATCGAGTAGGCCAGAAGCAGCGTGTACAACTTATCAAGGTAAGTGTCAGCATCCTTCGTGACTGCCTCCTCGGTGTCGGGCTCCTCAGTATACAGGTTATCGCCCAGCTTCCTCTTACGCTGCACTGTTGTGAGCTGGAAGTAGAGCGAGCGCACCTTCCAGATAGCGTACACGCAAAGCATGCGTTTGTTTATCTCCCGGGACACCCGAGAGAGGAGGGAGTCCGCCGGATGGACCTCGGCGGGGAAACGCATCCGATAGCGCTTCCAAAACGCGAGCTTCACATCACGAAGCTCGGAGTCCTCGAGAAGGGTGTCGAGGTCCGTAAGGGCCACCTTAGAGCGATCTTGCTCTGACGTAGAGAAGTAGAGCCTGACGGCCGCCCATGCCCGCCTGAGGCGAGATGTCTCCAGCATGGTTTTATCACCCAGGCTAAGCTTGGCGACCCACCTGCCCACATGCTCCTCGTTGTCGAAGAAGAAGCGAAGCTCCTCCAAGTGAGACAACCCATCACTCAACAACCGAGCTTGAATCTCCGGCGCCAGAGAAAAGTTCAAGGACTGGGTGTCCAAGGCAGCTTTGAAATCATTCCCGTCTCTCGGGACAAGGGCTTGCGACATGATGCCCACTCGCCTGTCACTCAGGCCTCGGCTCCCCGCCGACTGGGTCTCTCCCAGGAAAGCTCGAATGTACCTCACTCAAGCCGAAAAATGCGCGAGCACCTGCCCAGCATGAGACAGCAGTCACGCGGGGGGGGCATGCGAGACAGGAGACACCTGCCCCGAATCTCAGCCGACTGTGCTACCCTACGACTGCTGCGTGACAACATGTGGGGGCAAACGCTCGCAACCTTTTCTCACTTTGCCCTCGCGCGCTAGGTGCACTCGAACCGCAGAAAAGCGACGCAAGAGGGGGCGCCAGGCGGGGCCCCCCGGCCGCGGCGGCGGTTGATGGGCTCACGGGGATTGCCACTTGGCTCCCGCCATACCGAAGCACTGCGTGCAGCACGCTTTGGCCCACGCATAGGCTTCAAATCGGTCAGTTGTACGCATCGGCCTGACCAACTTCCGAGCCCCCTTACTCTGTCGATGCTGACACAAAGTGATGCCGGCCGCATTCTCAAGGTGCATCAAAGAAGTGTTCGTAGCCACAAAGGCCACTGGCAGCGGCGGCGCAGACCGAGCCGGGTAGTCCTTGCTGCACGCAGCATCCAGGTGGCCAAATCACGGTTGAGCTCGATCTCGCGCCGGGCCTGAATGAAAGCCTCGCATTCGTCCAGGCTCTCGCCGCTCAAGACCGCCCGCAAAGTGGTGCCCGATGCGGCTCCTCGGTGCCTGCCTGCCATACAATGCGTCAGCACATTCTGGCCCTCCAGCAGGGTAGCCCGCACCAAGGGGAGCAACGCTTGGAAGTCGGGCTCGCGTCGGTCGCTGGAGGTGATCTGCCACTGCCGATGCAAGGCCCCAGGCAGAACAATACCACCACGGTCCGCCGGGGACTTGGCCATGGCTGTAATCTGGAGCGCAATGGGCGGAAACAGATGCTGATTGGCTCTTGTGGGAAGCGCTCCCAAGAAGAGCTTCCCCCCACCCTGGCTCTTCCAGATCTCCGTCGGGTGCTCCAGCGCGCCCCTGTTCACCGGGCGGCCTGGTTCCCGAGCCAGCCGGTCGAACTTCTCCTCATCGCCCTCGCGCTGGCGCTTCCTGCCCCAGGCTCCTGGGCAGCACGACGGGCCTGCGGGACATCACGTGAGCCAGAGGCCCTCTCTGGAGAAGCCGCCCGAGGGGGACGGCGATCCGACCAAGAGGCGGCGGGCCGAGACGAGGCCGAGGCTCGAGGTCGCTCCTCATGCTCGCCCCGCGGTGTCAGCCGAACCGCTGCCTTTGCCTTTGCCATCTTCGGCTTAGGCTTTGGGCGGGGTGTATCCTCCTCGCACTCCACCTCAATCTCCACCAACTCCGAGGAGGAAGGCTGCGAGGGAGCAGCGACCAATGGCAACGGGGGTGGCCGTGAGCGAGGCAAAGCAGGGCGGGTCACTTCCGCTGGGCTCTCCTGAGGTGCTGAAATCGCTGGCAGAACGTCCTCGGGGTTAATCCGGCGTCTATCGTGACAATCTCGAGCTGGATGCCGCCCGCCACAAACACGCCCCGACCGCAGGACTGTAGCACAAAGGTGTGATAGCGAGCATGAGTCCGCCCTGCAGGACCCCGACTGAAAGGCGGGGCACAGCCGCATACCATTGCGCAGGAACGCCGAACAGACTCTACCATTGACCTGTGGCGGCATTCCTGGCTCCGCTGGCCGAGGGCGGGTCTCTCCCGCTGTGGTGGCCCGACTCTGGCGGCGAAGCTTCAGAGCGGTTGTCTTGAAAGCCAGCTTCGCCTCAGGGCCCGGTGTCCCAGCTGGGGCTTTCCAGATGACGGTAGAATCCAACCTGATCTTCTCCGCCACCTCAGCCTGAAGGCTCGACTCCTCTCGCTGCAGCATGCTGGGCGGAACCTCGGACCATGTATCGTAGGTGAGGCACCTGGAGGCTGCCGACCAGACTAGGTGTTTGACCCGCACACTCATGGCGTACTTCGTACCACTGTAGTGCAGCGGCATGGAGGCGCCCGTCTCGCGAATTTTACCACGATCGGCCCAATCGCCAAGCGCCAGCAAGCTGAGCTCGTCGAGCTGGAGGAGCGATCCGACCGAGGGGGCCACTCTCCGCCACGAGTAGGTGGTAACCGGTGGCTCCAGACCGCTGAAGATCTCCTGCGTCAGCAGAGTGACCTGGCGCAACTCCCACGGACGCCCAGCAGCATCAAAGCAGATGCCACACCGCTTCCTCGCAGCCGCTGGGAGGGAACCGTAAAACTCCACCCAGGCCTCAGCCCATGCAAACCCACAGGAGAAGTGGGACGGGGCTGCCCATCTGAAACCGGCTCGTGAGTGGGCTTGCTTGCCACGACACCAAAAGAAGTGGGCAGTAGATTGTGTGACACACACCGGGAACGATCTGGCCAAATGCTTGTGCCGCACGCACCCGCTGGCGATCAGCCAGTCCGCCAAGAGGCACGTCCACCTGGGGTCGCTCTGATCATACATCTGGGCCACTCTGTGCTCGAGCTCCTCAAGCATACCCGGCTCGGCCACTGCCGCTTGAGCGGGTCCCTCCCGCCCCAGCGTCGGCGCCGGCTGTAGGCCACCCAGCTCCCACGGGAGATTGGCCATCTTCGTGAACCAACGCAGCCCGGATAACGCTCGAGCTGGTGCTTGCGTGCCCTCGCGGAGGAAGGCGAACAAGTCGATGGAGTCGATATCGCCCAACCCCGCAGCACGACCACGAAGCTGCTGCCACTGCGACAGCTCCCGCAAGGTCTTGAGAGCCCTAGTCACGGTGGCATGCTCGGAAGAGGCAGCCTTGTTCGCCGCCAGCATGGCGCCGCTCCCCGCGCAAGTCAGAAGGCCTGCGCGCTCCGGCCTCCACCATAAAGTCGGCCAGCTCGCCTGCATCGGGGCCCGAGACCTGCGCCGCCGACTGCCGCCGCTTCCGTGGCGCTGTCTCGCCCACTGGCTTGACAAGCTTGCTAAGCCGGACGACCGGCCGGGCCGACTCGGCTGCCGCAGCCCCAGCTGCTACTGCACGGTCCACCAAGCTCAACAGCGCATCGTCCTGAAGGTCTTGGGAAACCTCAGACCAAGCATCCGCCACGGCATGGCCGGCATTCGAGGCGGCCTCCTCCCAGGAAGCGAAGGCGTAAGCAAAGTCGCCATCCTCAAGGAGCCCATGCATCTCCCGAAAGGCCAGCACTTTCTTCGCCGCGACGCGGTCAACCACCGTCTCCGCCGCAGTGCCAGGCGGGGCATCCACGGCCCCTGCTTGCCCCTCCATCGCCTGCACTGCGTAGATGCCGCTCATTGGCCCGGCCAGAGAAGCAGCAAGGAAGACCCTCAACCTATGAGCCGCAGAGGCAGGAATGCGAGCAGTCAAGGCATGCTGGCTCTCGGCAACGATGGCAGATGAAAACTGACGGCGTGCCGCAACTCTTGCAAGGAGCCGGGAGAACAGCCAATCCCGCCTCGATGGCACCCAGCAAGAGCCAAAGGGCGCGATGGGCCCGGGCACGACGGTCACTCCGTCCTTCGGCCCATGATGGAATCGGGTAATAAGCTGGCTCCCTCCAAGTAAGCTCGCCCTGCTGCCAGTCACGCCAAAGCAGCCACAACTGACCCGGGGTCGCTCCCCGAGGATGAGCCTCCTCGCCCACCCGCTGAACCAGGCGGTTGGCATGGTCCGGCAGCATATCGGTTGGCCACAAGCCTGACCCCATCTCGAAAACATTCGCAAAACTGAGGCGCTCGTCGCCCCCTTGGTGATAACCCTCCCAGGCTCGAGCCGGAGAGGTTGCTGCCGACACCACGATGGACCGGCGTGCATACGTACCAACAAACGGGAAGCGAAAGCCACCCCTGCCTTCCCGGCACCTGGCACAGCCAACCTCGACGCACGGCACGGTGCGAATAGGGGGCACCCCGGGAGGAAGGCCCTCCAACAGCCCACGGGGAGGTGGTGGATAGTGCTGCACTTCCAAAACTGAGCCCCACAGCAAGGCGGCCTCATAACTCTGGCCTGCCTCGACCAACTCGCGCAGCCTGGCACGGAACTCCAGCAGGGCTGCCGGGTGGAGCAACTGCGTACCTGTATGCACAGCCAGGCGGGCGAAGGCATACAATGCTGCAGGATCCGCCTGCATAGCATGAAGAGGGTCACTCCCTCAAGTAGAAAAGAGGGTCACTCCCTCGGAACACAGAAGACAATGGGGTCAACTCCCCACCAAAATCAGCTGCCCGCCGTTTTGGATCAGACTTGAGCCAAAGTGGCGGACAGCAGCAACAAGACTAGAATGATGCATGTGCACCCAAGCCTGCCAAACTCTACACATGTATAAGTAAGCAGCTTCGTCAACCGAAGCAAGCTTCCCGCTAAACACGTGTTAGCCAAAACTACGGATGCAGAATTGCCACTTGTCTTTTCAGAAATGATTCGAAACGCGAACGGCACCAGGCCAGGCATACTGCCCCGAAAGCCTAGAACAGACCTTTTTGAACATATGCACGACTAGTCCAGACAGAGGCGACCCCAATCTGCATAGTCGGGACTCCTCTGGTAAGTACCAGTATTGACAACAATGCCAATAATAATCGTCAGAATTACACCAATGCAAAATAGTGGCAGTATGTAGTAGAAGGAACGCTGAGGCTGATAAACTCGCGATAACTTCGCACAGCACTGCTATTTTGCAGCTTATTCCAGAGATTCACGTACAGAGCTTTTGATTTTGAGCCCGCAGCCGAAATCCATGCAGCAAGGTTTGTTTATCAACCCTAAAACTCAGTCTGGAGTCCGTCAGCATGGAGGCAGGCAGCCTGTCCTTGATGTATAATGAGAATCCGCGGCCGGGACTTGAAGATGCTTTGTATTGCTATGCCATGCCCCGTTCCGAAATACAAACTCCTGGTGGACGCTAAAGCGCTCAATTGTTGAACATATTGACACCGAGTAGTATTTAGACTCGTCACACCGATGCGGAGGAAACCGAGCGACCCTAGGATACTGCATACTGGATGCTGTCTTGCATACTAGTCGATGCTTTGTTCGTCGGAATGTATCGGATCTGGGGGATGGAGGTCTTCAAAGGCACAGATAGCACGGGCACGTGCTTGCAATATGCCAGCAAGCCTAGGTTAGAGAGAGGCTACACAACTTCAGAACTCCTCCACGAGCACATGGGTTCTAGCGCATCCCTTCATGCGCAGCACGCCTGAACAAAGGACCTCGTAGCATCGATAGGACGAGGACCACGACAAAAACACCAGCACGACCATGACCAGTATCATTACCCCTGCAATTACCACACCCACTACCACGACCACTACCGCCACCATTGCCGCTACCGGTACCCCTACCACATCAAAGATAATTTTGTGCTGCGATTCTCCCAAACTGAACTATAGACAGCCTAGCCGCACGAGTAGCATCTGCAATGCATGTTTTCTTCGCAAAGTCAAGTGCGATGCGGCCAGAACAAGTACCTGCAAGCCATGCTGAGATCTGTGTAGTGCCTAAAGCTTCTCCCAAGAACTCAACCAAGACACAGAGGCGCTGATGACTGCAAAGGGCCTGCAAAAGGGCGGCAGTGCAACGGCATCGCACACAAGCAGTCCGCTTGCTGAGACACTCCTACTACACGCGGCCGAGGATTATCACCGAGCTCTAGATTCTGCGACTCATATCATCACAATGCTATTCGGTATGTGTGGGGCAGCCTCCTCCTTCCACAAGGTTGGACGACACTGCTTGCTTTTTCATGTGTGGATCTGTAAAGTGACCTTGCTTGCCCCGAAGAATGTCAGTCGAGAGATTTGGCGTGCGAACTTGGGACCGGCCTTATTCGGTAAAATCGTGGAGGGTTGGCTGCATTCAGCAATGCTGCTGCAGATGGACGGAAAGGCCAAGTGCGCTGCTTGACGAAGGTACTCCATTGCCGGGTTCATTCGCCGGAGGCTGGGCGAGGCGGTGGTCCGCTTCTGTGACTAAGCATTAAGTGCAGTATCATCTTCGCCTCTCGCCACACCGTGGAGCTCGGCTCGAAAATCTCTTTCATGCCGTAGTCGTTATGTCGCAGACTCGCTTCCGAAATGCCGTAAATTGCAGTGTGGTGCTATCTGGAAGACATTCATCAATCGCGGAAATACGGGGGTAGATCGGAGCAGCACAGCATGCCCTCGCAACACACTGTTTTTTCGTATTTATGCTGCATGAGATGCTGAGCAGTTTGAGCAAAGCCAACGACTGCACATTGCATACTTTCACGAAGCCTGCTTTGTGAGGCTTCAATCATTGACTCGCCGAAAGCTGCGAGATCTGTCCTGAGTGCTGCCGCCCGATGATTCGTGCAAGCTGGTGACCACTTGAAATGTTTTCTCAGAGGCCTGCGGTTTCGTCACCCGAAGTCGTTGCAGACCTGGGCACGAAAATTCTGGGGTTCCCCTCTTGAGAATACCATGCAACAAACCAGCACGGCGTGTGGTTCGTGATTTAACCTTTAAGCATTGAGCTGCTTGTGGCACATGCCCGCCATATCCAACCACTTTCTTGCAGGCAGTACGAAGATGGTCTTCATACAACCCCAAAACCCGCATGTTGCTCAAGGCAAAACAAGTCCTTGCGGAAGTTCTCCACGATATTGCTTTTGTCAACAGACCTGCTAAGGCCGTCGGCGCAAGCAGCGAACTCAAAGAATGACTGGCATGCCTGACGTGGACCCTCGCTACGCGGAGCTGCTGCTCACCTTCCGGCTGAAAAGAGCCAGCGGCCAGCGCAACTTGGAGGATGAGGCTGGTAAGCCGCTGGCTGAAGCCCGGACAGCTAGGAGTCACACCCTGGTAGCCAGGGATGTGTAAGGTACCTGCACAGCGTGAGGCTCAACCGCTGCTGCACGAGAAGCTTTATCCTTCTTCAAAGGCTTGCCTTTCGTGGTCCCAGCATTTAGGTCGGTCTTGAACCTCAAACTGGAACATTCAATCCTGCTGGCACAGTGACACCCTACACATGGCGTATCACCGTTCTGAGATTCTGTAGTTGAAGCAGGAGCATCAAGGCATCATGGCTTGACACCACGGCCAATGGTACGGAGCTCATGGTCGCGGTCCTATGGCTACCAACGCATTTGGCAACGAGGTTTTCCCACAACACAATCGTTCAAAATTTCTCGACCTCCACCAGCTGAGGCATCAATGGCCCAATGGCCTACTGATCATGGCAGCTAGCTCCGGCATTATTTGCAGATCTATGATTATGTCTATGTAAAGGGTAAAATGGCCACTTCTGAGGCCGGGTTAAGGATGTCATTCTTGAGCCTTTTGCAGCATCTAGAGTTGCTGATGCCAGCCCTGAGACGAACTTGAGGGCCGGGGGCATGAAGAACTCCGCCGCTCGGCGGCTTCTTGTGCGGTGTCGGCCCGCGGGAGTACTAGTAGTTGTCGCCGCCGTAGTAGTAGTAGTAGTAGTAGTAGTAGTAGTAGTAGTAGTTTTAGAAGTAGCACTAGCAGTAGTAGCACTAGCACTAGTACTGTTGTTGCGGCTGCTGCTGATGTTGGCCTTGATGTTGTTGTTGCTGCTTCCGCTGCTGCTCGTTTTGTTGTGGTTGTGGTTGTTGTTCTGGGTGTGGGTGTGGCTGTGGCTGTGGCTGCGGCTGCGGCTGTGGTTGGTGATGCTTTGTTGTTGTTGTTGGTTGTTGGTTGTTGGTTGTTGGTTGTTGGCTATTGGCTATTGGCTGTTGGCTGTTGGCTGTTGGCTGTTGGCTGTTGGCTGTTGGCTGTTGGCTGTTGGCTGTTGGCTGTTGGCTGTTGGCTGTTGGCTGTTGGCTGTTGGTTGTCTGTTGTTGCTTGTTGGTTGTTGGTTGTCGGTTGTTGGTTGTTGGTTGTCGGTTGTTGGTTGTTGGTTGTGGCTGTTGGCTGTTGGCTGTTGGCTGTTGGCTGTTGGCTGTTGGCTACTGTTGGCTGTTGGCTGTTGGCTGTTGGCTGTTGGTTGTCGGTTGTTGGTTGTTGGTTGTGGCTGTTGGTTGCTGCTGGCTGCTGTTCGTTGCTGCTTGTTGGTGCTTCTTGCTTGGTTCAGTTGTCAAGCTCAGCTGCGCAGGTGTTGCTGACGCTTTTTGCGGCAGACCAGGCGCTCTTTCGAAGGGTCGCGCTCACAGCTGCTGGATCCTTGACCGAAAGCTATCGGCGGAGACTTATTTCGGCCGCTAAGCTCCGGACATCTTCGATGCGACCAGGTCTGCCTAGCCAGGCGACCAGCGCAGCAGCGGTACATGTCCAAGAGGGCAAGCCGCTCGCTGCCGGCCGCTAAGCTGCAGGCCAACCTGTAGCTGTCCTCTTAGACCTCCTCGCCAAGTCGCAAGGTCATCGTCGCGATGCACTGCGATTTGCTGCGATGAGCAGCAGCCTCGATGTAGCTCAGTGGCACGGCGTCCACGACCACCAACCGTATCTTCGCCTGTGCGTAGTCCTGCGATGGATGTTTCGGCCGATGGTTACAATTCGGTGCCCGATGCCTCAATCATCTTCTGCGTCTCATAGCGAAGATGCTTCGCGTTGCAGTGCCGGTTCGTGCAATCGTTGCCTTCGCATAGTGGCTCTTTGATCCGTGTGGTTTTGACGGTGCCTGCCTGTCACAAGGAGAAGGACCTCTCTCTCCTCCGCGATATTTTTGTTTGAAGGTTACCAAGAGCTGCGAAGCCGTGGGGCCTTCTCTTCCAGCGGCTGCAAAAGGTTCCAGAGGTGGCGATTGAAGCCGCCCCAGCTGAATCCCTTCCCCCAAGCCGGGTGAACCGGCAGGCCGAGAAGGGAAGCAGCCAGGGCGCCCCGATCGCCGCCCCACCATTGGTCCTCCTGGCGACATCGCTCTCCCATGTTTTTCGTTTGAGAACCGCACTCTTCATGAAATCTTGCCTCGGCAGTGGCTACGGCGCAAAGTGCGGAATAAGAGATGACTATGTCCGCTGCCTGAATTTCGAGAGCTTCTTTCTGGAATAATAGTGTTTCGTCAGTCGAGCGAGGCCTTCGCGAGGGCCGGCAAGTATTTGATCACGATTGCTCGGATGCCGCGCGCATTCAGATGGCATCCGTCGGAGTAATATTCCGACCCTGAGCTTCACGTGGTTGTTTCGGAAGATAACTTAACGGCCAGCCTGCC